ACGCCGCCTGCGTTGTTCACCGGTCCAGACGCCGGTCGGGAGGGGTGCTCCGTCGCCCACACGGGAGAGTCCCGTACTCGTTCGCCGCATGGCGTCTCCTCGCATCCTCCAGCCGTGCCTCCAAGGTGTCCACGACGCCCGCCTCAACTACGGGGTCCACCATGGCGTCCAACACAGCCGCCGGCCTACGAACAAGCTAGGTAAGTGCGAAGTTGGCTACACCGAAGGTATCGTTGCGGGGTCGTCCACGCTCACCGCACCATGCGGAGATAACTCTGTCAACGGGAGCTAGACTACGGGCTAGGCACGGGGCAGGAGTGATATCTGCGTTCGTTCCTTAGTCGCTTGCCTGTGTTCACACTACTTGCACATTCACGGGGAAATTTGGCAAGAGTTCCACTAGCAAAAGTTTACAACAATCAGGTTCAGAATGATGGCAACAACATTGGCATGCAAGGCTACATCAGAGCTAGCACAGCTGCTGGTCGACTTCCAGCGCAGCATGGTCGACCGCGGTCCAGCGCAGCAGAGCTCGCACCGCTCCAGCGCAGCAAAGTAGCGGCTTGCCAACGTCGCAAGTCTGCGGTGTGCCAACGCTGCAGCAGGTCGGCTGCACAGCGTTGCACCCGCAGGACAACGGTGCATCTGCTTCGCAGGTGCGCGCAGCTGGTTGGTGCGCTCGTTTTTGTCACGTGCACAGCGCAGACGTCTGGCAGACTCCACGCCAGTGACTGCGCCCACCAGCCACGTCGACCTCGGGATACCACCCCCGAGGTCGCCTTCGCAGAAACCATCCCGGCGACTTTCGCACACGTCGCCCGGGTATCCCGGACGACCGGGCAACCCCACCTGGTCGTCCAGCCCAGTCGATCGTCGGCTACACCAAACTCGGCGTCCGAGGGTTGGCATCCTGGCGTCCAAATCGGCGTCCACTCGCCCAGGACACCGTCCAGGCACCCAGGTTGGCGTCAAGGCGCCCGGGACGCCGAGCAGACGCCCAGGTTGGCGTCCAGGTGCCCAGGACGCCGTCCAGGCGTCCAGGACGCCGAGCAGACGCCCAGGACGCCGCCCAGACGCCAAGGACGGCGTCCACCTGTTCGGCGCCCTCCAGCCAGGCGCCCCCCGTACCCACTGCTGCAGGTCGGCTGCATCCCCCGCACACCCGACCACGAGATCGGCTCCGCCCAAGCGAGGACGGGGCCAAACACAACTCCCGTTGACAGGGTATGCGCGCGCCACATGCATCACCCCCCGCGAGCTGTGCGCGCTGTTCAAGATTCGCAACCCGATAATAATCGAGCGTATGGAGCGGGCGTGCCCGCCTCTCAACCTCAACGCGACCCCGATCGCCACTCCCCGGCCCTCCGCCACCCCGGATGGCAAGCGCACTCGTTCCCGCGGCTGCGGCGCCCTCTCCCCGCCAGTCGCTCATTGACGCCGGTGCTTCCTCTATCATGGACGGCTTCATGAACGCGGCGAAGTGGGTGCGTCAGTGAATGCGAACAAACTCCTCTCTCAGGAATTGGTTTTTCAACAAGTGCACCAATGTCAGCATTTCACTGACATTGGTGCAATGCCATTGATGGTTGGTGCACTTTGGAGTTGGCTGATTTGTCTAGCTGTGATTGGGCCGGGAGAGCAATGTTGTTGTTTATGAGAGTTTGGGTTGTAAAATGTAATCGGGCAATATAGTTTCGAGACAACAAAGTGGTAACAACAAGCACACACATAGAACAAATGGGGCAACCCAGTACTATTTCTGTAAAAACAAACCTGTAACAATTTGTGTGTTTTGTAAGCCCCGGTGGCCCTGGCAAGAAGCCTCGAAATTAATGAAATGTCAAAATCACTTACAAGCCTGATGTACGGGACAACCTTGGGAGACTCAACGAGCATCAAGTGTAGTGGCCCTGAAATCAGACAGCTGTGATTCCTGCTGGTGGGGGTGCCAGCCAGCCTGGCAACGCCCCGACTGCCTTGTGTTGTGTCATCTACAGTAAACTAATCTGCTGTGCATTTATGACAATTGCTGAGGGTGGTGTGGTGGAGCTTGACGTGGCGAAATTTTGGCCCGAAGCTTAAAGAATGTGTTTGGTCCTACTGTAATTCTTGAACTGTGCGCCAGTGGCTTTCATTCAGAAAATTGGCTGGCTTGATTCTTGAAGGTTGTTCGAATCAAGTGTCACTGGTCCCGCCCGTTTAATGCAAAAATAGGACGGAGGCGAAAATCGACCACCTGATTTCTGCCGCGTAATCGCCGAATCACGTGAACAATCATTGATCAGCCTCGTGGTGACTGTGTCAAGCAGGTTGGCAGGCCAGTGGCAATTCCTCATCCCCGCTGGCTTGGACGTACACTGTACACTGGGAACTTTTGTTCACTTTATAAACTTAGCGAACTCTTACAACATCAAATAAGGTTGAAGTGACTAGGGCAGTGTACAGAGTTTGTATGAGTTTGTATGCAAAATCATTTTGCACCTCAGCAGTCTGACTCCAGGTGATGACATCATCAATGTCTGACGTGGATTACAGTCACCAATAGGTGGCGACTGTTATATCCAACAGCCCCACGGTTTCTTGACGTCATTGTGCTAGGCGCCGCTCTTGGTGGTGGTTTATAACACAAAATTGCATGTTCTGTAGTCATTCGGGCTAAATATACGATCCATCCGTCTAGACTCAAGACAGGGTGCGTTGTGAAAAATTGTGCCCTACCCAATGGGTTGAGAAAACCTGAGAACCTGAACGCCTTGCCGGCTGAATCGTAGCACAAAGAAAGACCCATATTTCTCGCACCAATAACAGCTATTGATTCTTAGTACCGAATTAGGCATCACGCAAACAATATTAGCCGCAACATTTAGGGTGCCAGTGAATGAATACCTGCTGTGAAGGGAAAGCACCTCCATTCCAACTTTCCCTCCTTTGCGGAAGCTTCCTCACTGGCACCCGTTGACGGGAGTGGTGCGTAGCGGAATCAGGATGGGATTATGGGACCACATACAGTACAGTAGTATTGTTGGCACTGGACAGGTGGGGCTTCGCACGCCGACAATCAAAAGACACCTGACCGTCAGCGGGAAATTCGAATGGTTTCCAGCTTGAATTTCCCGCCAAACGAACTCGGCTCAAGCGTGGGCCTGGCGTGGCCCCTCCACTTCACCGTTCCAGCCTCACCCCACCGAACCGAACCCAGCAAGCCTAGTGATGTTCGTCCCCCTCACTCAACAAGCCACGTATCGTAACCAGATTTCGGCGTTTTTGCGGCTTCCTCAGGTTCTTCGAAAACCGGCTCGGCCAATCAGCGCATTCGCGGGCGTGAGGGTGAGGTCAACGCAAGCACAGCTTCCTCCCTCATCGTCCCCCCCAAGCAGCCCTTTGGTCCCTTTTCCCTCCGAACCCTTCCCCTTTTCCCCCTCCTCCCGTCCCTCTTGGCTCCCCTCGCGTGGAATCAGCAGCCTCGTTGTCGTCACTGCTACGAAATCGACCCCGCAAGCCCACTTCTTCCCCCAAACTTCCCCCACACCTCCCCACTTTCCCAATCTTCTTTTCTTCTTTCTCCCCCCACACCTCCCCGCTTCCCCCATCTCGTTCCCTTCTTTCTTCCCCTCCAGCTTCCTTGTCTCCAGCACAAATACAGCTCAATGCTGCAGCTTCATTTTCAGTTTGCTGCTCTTTGGTTGGCTTTGGGTGTTTCTCGACTGATAATTTGCCGAGTTGGAAACAACTTTTCTTCGATCGATCTGTGAATCCTTTCCGCGTTTTTCTTCGTCTGTTGGTGGTTGACATTCGTGCGCCGCTCAGACGTCAGGCGACCTCCTATTTGTACATCTTCCACAGCCATCTGCATTACTCATATCAGTTTCATTCGTCTATCTTCAGTTCACGTGCATCTGCAGCTCAACCCCCTTACATTTCGTCCCTCATGGCTCCGACGTGTACGGCTCATCTCCTGCCAAATTCTTTTGAAATGGCGGGCTCGATGCAGCTTCGATGCAAGAGCATGAGTGATCTCACGGCAGTCGATTTCTCGGGATCAAATTTCGCAGCCAATGTGACTGAAGCGAGAGATTCAGGCGCAGCCATGCCTCGCCTGTCGGTTAAACGGTCCCGTGGACGGCAAACCGGCTGCATTAACGTCGAGGTTCTCGGAACTCCGTTGAGTACGCGTGTTTCCGTCCTCGTCTGTCCCGGAGCACCTGTCAAGAGCAAAGGAGCGTTCAAGGTCTTCGGCGCTTCGCGGAAACCGATGTCTCGAGGCTTCATTCGTCGTCTTGACTTTTCATTGGTGGAATCTGACTCGACAATGCCGATATCAACGGAGAATTCCAACTCCAGCACTGTGACGACTTTGCATGAGAGCCACTGAAAACATCGCACGGCAACCGGCAACATCATCGTCAACATAATTTAATCTGGGAGCTGACATAGTACCATCTCGCTGACTTCTTCATCCAAGATCCCTGACTTGCCAAACTTTGCACTCGGCCCGACGATATCAATAAGAGCTGACGCACATTCTTCTACGTCGACCCCTGCTTCGGCGCAAGCGAGGCGAGAGCGTCCACGTGACTATCTGGGACTGACACCAGAACCTGAGATCTTTGGACGGAGAACTTTCATCAAATACGGTAGGAGTTGTATCTGGTGATAGGTGTTTGCAGCACTATCCTCTCATCCGCCTTGTATATCCGCATCCAGTTATTGACTGTTGAGCAATGCGCTATGTTTGCCTTAACTGACAGAAACCCGTACCACAAAAACAACAATTTGGAATGTCTAGCACCTTTCTCAATGACAGGACAGGATTGCACAAGTACCGTAGATCAGTCCATGACACGGTTTAGGGTCTCCACTCCTAGCAAGTGCTAGTAAGAAAATCTCATTCCGTACCGTATGTCCCTAATTTTCTCATCCCCTGCATTAACAGCATTCTAAACTACTCATCTGAATGTTTCCTCACACTAACCCTCAAGATAGTCACCTTGGGCCAAGCACTAAAACGAATCCCTTCCCAAGCTCCCTCTTTTGCCTTCCACCACTCGTGCTATCTCTTCAGACGCATCCTCCAGCGTCCGGGCCCTGTGCGTCACCTCATAGGCTTCGATATAGTCACCCTGCTGCCACCCGTTAAAGCCCTCCACGCCCACACCGCACTCCAGCCCAGATACCACCTCCCCCACATGCTCCTTCACCCGCCGAAGGGACGTCACCAGCCCTGAATGCACCCAGCGACCCTCCAACTTCTGCTGCTGTTGCTGCTGCTGCTGCTGCTGCTGCTGCTTTATTCCAGATGCTTCGCCCACCTTCTCTCTCTTGCCCTTCACGTTCTTGCTTTTCTCTTGTTCAGCAGCCATCGCACCAACACTCCCACCCCTCAAACCGCCACCCCTTCCCCCACCGCGCCTCACTACAATGGTGCATCCCTTTTGCAGCCGCCCGTCCGTTACCATAACTCCTGCCACCCGCGTGCTGCCCGTGCCGAAAACTGCCCGCACTTCTGCCCGGCCAAGGAACGAACTCTCCTGAAGATTTCACGCAGGGGATACACAGAATATACCGGTAGGCAACGATGGAGTGGAAACTTCCAGCTACAAGCCCTAGTATAGTAACCCTAATAATCTATGCGTAGTCCTTTTTCACAAGTACCAACCTATTTGTATGTATTCATAGACATACGAAGTAAATGTAACGAGCATATAAATACCTCTAGAGTATGAAGCAGCCCCTCCATAATTGCCCGAACCTCCTCCACCACATCGTACATCACCCGGTGCTGCCTCACTCGCACGCCCCTCATCTCCGCCGCTGCATTGTATATCCATGTATAATATGTATATGAAATAACGAATGCGTAACATACCTCCACGGTGTGAAGCAGCCCCTCCATAATTGCCCGAACCTCCTCCACCACACCGTAGATTACCATGTGCTGCCTCACTCGCACACCCCTCATCTCTGCCTCTGCACTTCATAAGCACCGTATATATATTTTTTAAAAAAATGTATAACGTAACATACCTCTACAGTATGGAGCAGCCCCTCCATGATCGCTCGAACCTCCTCCACCACATCATAGATCACCCGGTAAGACCTCACTCGCACGCCCCTCATCTCCGCCGCTGCCGCGACAGCTGGCGACACGCCCACATTGAACGCCAGCACGACCGCTGAGCTGGACGCTGCCAGGTCAACGTCACTGCTTGACACGTCACCAGGGGCCTGAGGACAGGGGCAGGGGAGGAGGAAGAATCGGAATTGGAACGGACCAATTGAGCTGTAAGTAAAAGTTTCTTTGAAGACTTGGGTCGAGAGATATTGGCATGCAAGCACATCCATCCTTTCTCCCTCTCCCACCTCACCTGCAGCACGAAGCGCAGAGACACGGTGTCCTGAGGCAGACCCCCAAGACCCTCCCCGATTGCCTCAACCGACCCCTGGCAGTCCACCTTTAGCACCACATTCAAAAGATTCACCACACACACACCACCACCCCCTTCCTCTCCCCCCCCCCTTTTTCTGTTCCTCACCTGCAACAGGAAGCGCAGAGACACAGTGTCCTGAGGCAGAGCACTTAAAGCCTCCCTGATTGCCTCCACCGACCCCTGGCAGTCCACCTTTAGCACCACATTCACCACGTGTAGTTCCACCTCCTCCCTCGCCTCTTACCCTCTCCCCCCAACTCTGCCCCGTGCCTTACCTGCAGCAGGAAGCGCAGAGACACGGTGTCCTGGGGCAGACCCCCCAGCGCCTGCAGTGTTCAGGGGCAGCCCACTTGACCCCTTTCAACATGCATCTACCACCCTATACCCCTTATTCCCCCCCGTGCCTTACCTGCAGCAGGAAGCGCAGAGACACGGTGTCTTGGGGCAGACCCCCCAGCGCCTCTCTGATCGCCTCCACAGACCCCTGGCAGTCCACCTTCAGCACCACATTCACCACGTGTAGTTCCACCTCCTCCTCCTCCTCCATCTCCTCTCCTGCTCCCCTTTTTGTACCAGCAGCACTAGTGCTACCAACACCAGCAGCACCATTTGCAGCAGCAGCAGAACCAGCTGCAGCACCACCAGCGCCAGCGCCAGCGCCAGCAGCAGTGGCGAAAGCCGAGAGAGTCACTTTCCCCTCTGCTTGCATCGCCGCTAACCGAGCCACTCGCGCCTTCTCAGCAGCTTCCTCCGCCATGCCCCTGGCTGCATCGATGCACGGCAGCACGTGGAACTCGTCTCCTGCCACCGGCACACGGGACAGCCCCTCCACCTGCACTGCTGCTGAGGGGGTTGCTCCCTTGGCCTTCTTTCCCTTGTCATCCACCAGGGCTCGAACCTGCAGGAGAGGAAGAGGGGAGTTGGGGGGGGGGGGGGAGAGTGGGCATGAACCCCTGGCTGCATCAATGCACGGCAGCACGTGGAACTTGTCCCCCGCCATCGGCACACGGGACAGCCCCCCCACTTGTACTGCTGTGGATGGGGGTGCTGCTGTTGCCCTGGTCCCCGTATCACCTACCAAGGCTCGAACCTGGGAGAGAGGGGGAATAGGGAGGGGGGTGGGCAGGGAGGTAGGCATGAGGTATCCTGGCTGCATCAATGCACGGCAGCACGTGGAACTCGTCCCCTGTCATGGGAACGCAGGAGAGACCCTCCACTTGTACTGCTGCTGACGGCCCTGCTGCCTTGGCCTTCAATCCCTTGGCATCTACCAAGGCTCGAACCTGGTAGAGGGGGGAGGGGAGTGAGCTAGGCATGAACTCTACTGCTGCTGACGGCCCTGCTGCCTTGGCCTTCAATCCCTTGGCATCTACCAAGGCTCGAACCTGGTAGAGGGGGGAGGGGAGTGAGCTAGGCATGAACTCTACTGCTGCTGACGGCCCTGCTGCCTTGGCCTTCGATCCACTGTCACTCACCAGCGCCCGAACCTGCGTGAGGAAAAGGGAGGGAGAGATGGAATCCTCACGCACTTCCATCTCAGCCTCACACACGTCCTAGTACAGCCCCAGCTCCTGCCGCGGCCTGCCTGAGCTGCCCAGGTGCTGCCGCGAGTCAGCAGAGACCCTCACTCTGAATGAACCGGCCCCGAGACCTGGTAGCTCCATACACCCCACATGGAATTGGCCCCACAAACGAACAGACATCTGGCAGCATTTCCTTGGGGTCATGGCGAGCACAGCCTCCCTCACGACGTGTGAAGCACGGCTCATGAACCCGCCCATGAACATCTATAATCTTGTAACGGACCATCCCATCTTGTTCCTCAAGCACTCTCAGCATGCCGTTTTGCACTAGCAGCGTTGCCACAAGCCCTCACCTCCCCTCCTTCCTCTCATTTCCCCCAACAACTTTCACACCCAGGACCCCCAAACTCTCACCTTGCCATAAGCCTCCCCACAGACAACCACGTCTCCCAGCTTCAGGGTCCCATTCTGCACCAGCAGCGTTGCCATGGGTCCCCACTTCCCCTTACCCCTTCCCAATCCCCCCACCCACTCTCCCATCCCGACCCCCCCAAGCTCTCACCTTCCCATACGCCTCCCCACAGACAACCACGTCTCCCAGCTTCAGGGTCCCATTCTGCACCAGCAGCGTTGCCATGGGCCCTCTGTGCCGATCCAGCCGTGCTTCTATCACCGTCCCCACTGCCGGTCTACTCGGGTTGGCTCGAAGCTCCTGAATCTGCAAGGAGGGGAAGACGTAGAGCGGTGCAGAGGGGTACAAAGAGGTGGAAGCGTAAATATTTTGCACGCCACGGGCCCTCTGTGCTGGTCCAGACATGCTTCTATCACCGTCCCCACTGCCGGTCTACTCGGGTTGGCTCGAAGCTCCTGAATCTGCAAGGAGTGGCAACAGAGGGGCACAGAGGCGGTGCAGAGGGATGCAAAGGGGTGCAGGGAGCGAGAAGCAAGGTGTAAGCAGGTGCATCACCCATGCACCAACCCCTGAGACTAACTGACCCCACACTCACTGTCCCACCCATCCACATCTCCTACACCACTCAGCCCTTCTCCACCACTCTCCACCACTCTCCACCACTTTCCACCCACCGCCTTTCGTTTCTCACCTCGGCCAGCAGCATAATCGTCTCCAGCAGCTGATCCACGCCCTCTCCGGTTTTGGCGCTCACCTGCAGATTAAGAAAACAGGGGATTGTAGTGCGGTGGGATGGGGTGAGGTGGGAGAAAGAATGAAGAGTTGAGACGTCTCTCAGGCTGATTCACGCCCTCTCCTGTTTTGGTGCTCATCTGTAGATAAGGAGAATAGGGGGTTAAGGTGCGGTGGGGTGGGGAGGGGTGGGATAGGGATCTAGGGTAAATGAAACGAGTCCAACTCCTTCTAAATCCTAAATACTCACACCACCAGCATCATAACAGCATAAACTACTCTCCCTCCCTCTGCTTTCATACTCACCGGCACCATAGGTGTGTCCCCTCCCCTCCCCACGCCTCTGGCAACACTCCAGCTTGCCCCAGCTGCTGTCAAGCTGACTCTCGCGTCTGACCCCCCTTCCCCACCCTCCACACCCTTATGAATCACTCACCGGCACCATGGGTGTGTCCCCTCCCCATTCCCCTGGCAGCACCCCTGCATGCTCCTTTGAGCCGACTCTACCATCATCCCCTCCCCATATGCAATCGTTGCCCCCTCCCACACTCCAAATCTCACTCACCGGCACCATGGGCGTGTCCCCTCCCCATTCCTCTGGCAACACCCCTGCTTGCCCCAGCTGCTGCTTCACCCTCTCCACACTCGCTCCCTCCCGGTCAATCTGGGTGGAAAGACAAAAACAAAAAGTAGGGAAGAAGAAAGCGGGATCAGACGTCATAAAAAGAAGTTTGCGCACCTGTTAGAATCACAGCTATAATGGCGCCAAGTAAACAGGCATCTGCAAACAGCATCTCAATTCCATAGAAGGCATCATTTCCTGAGTTGACTTTTGAGTCGACTCAAAAGTCAACTACCAACTCAAGCACACATATGCAATCGCACACCTCACCACAGGCACACCTTTGTTGGTAGCGATGAGCATGGAACGTTGGAAGCCCTGGCATGGTCTGAAGGGCATGACCCCATCGTGTGCTGCCACCACCAGCAAACGCGCGTCTCCACTTACCAGCACAGGCTCACAACTGTTCAGTCTTGAGACGTCTCAAAAGTTGTTCAGTCACACCGTGCTACAATCACACCTTGTGTATAAAGTGAATTTTTGAGACGTCTCAAAAATTCACTTTTATACACGTGTTTAGTCACACCGTGCTACAATCACACCTTGTGTATAGAGTGAATTCTTGAGACGTCTCAAAAATTCACTTTTATACACGTGTTTAGTCACACCGTGCTACAATCACACCTTGTTGATAGCGATGAGCATGGGAACGTTGGCAGCACGCGCATGGGCGATGGCCTCGGTGGTCTGAGGCATGACCCCATCGTCTGCTGCCACCACCACCACTGCTATGTCCGTCACACGTGCACCCCGGGCGCGCATAGCGCTAAAGGCCTGTACGGGCAAAGGAAAAGCGGGGAGGGGGAAGAGGGGCAGGGTGGGGAAGAGAGGGAGGGGTATGGGTGTGGCCCTGTGAGACGATGGATTCTGTGGCCTGACATGGAACCGTCTGCTGACGATGGATTCTGTGGCCTGAAGGGCATGACCCCATCGTCTGCTGCCACCACCACCACTGCTATGTCCGTCACCCTTGCCTTGCACCCCGGGCGCGCATGGCACTGAATGCCTGCAAGGCGAAGGACGAGGGACCAGGGGATTCAAGGATGAGAGGGAGCAGTCCGCGCATGGTACTGAATGCATGGTACTGAATGCATGGTACTGAATGCATGGTACTGAATGCATGGTACTGAATGCATGGTACTGAATGCATGGTACTGAATGCATGGTACTGAATGCATGGTACTGAATGCATGGTACTGAATGCATGGTACTGAATGCATGGTACTGAATGCATGGTACTGAATGCATGGTACTGAATGCATGGTACTGAATGCATGGTACTGAATGCATGGTACTGAATGCATGGTACTGAATGCATGGTACTGAATGCATGGTACTGAATGCATGGTACTGAATGCATGGTACTGAATGCATGGTACTGAATGCATGGTACTGAATGCATGGTACTGAATGCATGGTACTGAATGCATGGTACTGAATGCATGGTACTGAATGCATGGTACTGAATGCATGGTACTGAATGCATGGTACTGAATGCATGGTACTGAATGCATGGTACTGAATGCATGGTACTGAATGCATGGTACTGAATGCATGGTACTGAATGCATGGTACTGAATGCATGGTACTGAATGCATGGTACTGAATGCATGGTACTGAATGCATGGTACTGAATGCATGGTACTGAATGCATGGTACTGAATGCATGGTACTGAATGCATGGTACTGAATGCATGGTACTGAATGCATGGTACTGAATGCATGGTACTGAATGCATGGTACTGAATGCATGGTACTGAATGCATGGTACTGAATGCATGGTACTGAATGCATGGTACTGAATGCATGGTACTGAATGCATGGTACTGAATGCATGGTACTGAATGCATGGTACTGAATGCATGGTACTGAATGCATGGTACTGAATGCATGGTACTGAATGCATGGTACTGAATGCATGGTACTGAATGCATGGTACTGAATGCATGGTACTGAATGCCATCCATCCCATCCCATCCCGTCCCATCCCATCCCATCCCATCCCATCCCATCCCATCCCATCCCGTCCCATCCCATCCCATCCCATCCCATCCCATCCCATCCCATCCCATCCCATCCCATCCCATCCCATCCCATCCCATCCCATCCCATCCCACCCCCATCTCATCCCATCCCACCCCATCCCATCCCATCCCATCCCATCCCATCCCGTCCCATCCCATCCCATCCCATCCCATCCCATCCCATCCCATCCCATCCCATCCCATCCCATCCCATCCCATCCCATCCCATCCCATCCCACCCCCATCTCATCCCATCCCACCCCATCCCATCCCATCCCATCCCATCCCATCCCGTCCCATCCCATCCCATCCCATCCCATCCCATCCCATCCCATCCCATCCCATCCCATCCCATCCCATCCCATCCCATCCCATCCCATCCCACCCCCATCTCATCCCACCCCCATCATCCCATCCCATCCCACCCCACCCCATCCCATCCCATCCCATCCCATCCCATCCCATCCCATCCCATCCCATCCCATCCCATCCCATCCCATCCCATCCCATCCCATCCCATCCCATCCCATCCCATCCCATCCCATCCCATCCCATCCCATCCCATCCCACCCCACCCCATCCCATCCCGTCCAATCCAAGCATTCCATCCCATCCCATCCCATCCCATCCCATTCCAAACAGACCCAGGACATTCATCTATGCCCATCTTCACACATCCCCTCACCTCATGCCCTGGAGTGTCAAGAAAAACACAAGTCTCCGCAGCATCCCTCCCAGCAGCAGCAGCATCGGCAGCAGCACCAGCAGCACCATCAGCACCACCAGCAGAATCGGCAGAATTGGCAGCATCAGCAGCAGCAGCAGCAGCAGCAGCAGCAGCAGCAGCAGCAGTAGGAGCAGTAGGAGCAGCAGAGGGCACATGCACGCGGTAAGCACCAATGGCCTGAGTGATTCCCCCTGCCTCCCCTGCTGCCACCTTGGTGTGGCGAATGTAGTCGAGAAGTGACGTCTGTTTCATGCACTCATGCCAACATACAGACACATGCGCAGAAACACATGTGCCCACACACACGCATGCATGCTCACACACACACGCATGCATGCATACAAACACATACAAGCACACACACACACACACACACACACACACACACACATACACCCACGCATGCACACACACACAAAGAAGGCAGCAGGAGAAGAGGGAAAGAAAGAATCCGATCAAATTATGTCAAAAAAAAAAAAAAAAAAAAACGTCGAAGCTGGAAGAAGTAGAGCACAAGGCAACGAGCAACGGAATGTGCCTGTAGTCACAACAGGCAGCCGCGGCACCAGATGCTTCATGTGAGTCTCACCTGGTGGGCCATAGAACATAAGAGCTCACCTTCCCATGATCTACATGACCCGTCACAGTCACAACAGGTGGCCGCAGAACCAACAAGTTCACGTGAAGAATACACAACCACAACACCATGCGCGTGTCTCTCACCTTGCCATGGTCAACATGACCCATCACAGTGACCACAGGAGGCCGCGGCACCAGATGCTCCCGATCCTCCTCCCCCACAAACTCACGAACCTTCCTCGCACTTTCCTCCACGCCGCCCTCCTGCGGCCCCAGCACCTCCACCCCAAACTCCCCGCACACCACCGCCACCATATCCTCGTTAAGAACCTGATTCACGTTCGTTATAACGCCCTTCATGAACAGCGCGCGCACTATATCCCCGTCGTCAACCGCTAGAAGCCCCGCCAGGTCTTTAACCGCCATTCCTGCTTTCCCCACTTCGATTATCTCAGCTCGAGTGGGTGCTGATGCGTTAGCTGCTGCCTCTCTAGCTGCCCTCCTCTCTGCCTTGCTCGTTCTCCTGTGCTCTCGCTTCTCCGCCCCTGATATCCCCGTTTTAATCATAACCGCTGCCGCTGCCGCTGCTCCTTTTGAACCAGCCGATTTGAAACGGCCCGATCTGGACGAAGCGGATTTCGAAAAAGCTGATTGTGGGATTATGGTAGCAACAGCGGCACCACCACCACCACCACCAGCAGCAGCAGCAGCAGTTCTGCCTGACAGACCTATTTCTGTTGCTCCTCCTCTCTTCCTTCCCAGCCCTTCTCGCTCAGACACCCATTCTGGCCGTCTGACCCCCTCCCCTACTCTCACCCGCTCCGCCCCTCTGGTCCCCCTTCCTGTCGGTGAGCCTTCTGCTACCACGCCTGCTGCTACCGTTCCTGCTACCGTTCCTGCCACCATTCCTGCCACCGTGCCTGTCACCGTGCCTGTTGCTACTGTAGCTGCTGCTACTGTGCCTGTACCACCATCTCCTCTCCGCTCCTCACTCTCCTTCTCTGCTAAACCCTTTCCTTCCTCTGCTTCTCCCCCTGCCCCCTGCTTCCCCACTCCCACCTCCACACTCCACACTCCTCCTTCCCTCCTCCACCTCCTTCCCCCAGCAACTACCACTTTCCCCTCCTCTCCCTCTTCCCTGTTCACAATCACTCTCTCAGTCCCTTCCACACTCCCTCTCTCCCCCACTTGCTCCTCTCCGTCACTCAGTCTCACTCCTCTGCTTCTGTCTATTCCATTGCTCGCCAGCCCTGCCACCTGACCTTCGCTATAAGCACCCTCTGTAGGCTCAACATGCACTGGAATATAAGCGCTAACCCTACCCTGAGCTACTGCTTCGTTATTAGCACGTTCCGTACAAGCATCTTCCTTAGGTGTTTCCAGTCTTCTAAACACTCGAACAGGTCTGGAGGACAGAATACTAGCGCCCGATGACTGAGCCTCGCCCAAACCAGTTCCGGGCCTGACAGGCTTGGGCCGAGCCTGCAGCATTGGCAGATCATCAGATTGGTCAAGGAAAGTGGTTCTTATCTGCCGAGCATCGGTCTCAGGCTGGGAAATGTCGAGGCTCGGTAAATGAGGCTCGAAATCTGTTGCTGTTGCTTGGTCAGTGCTAGGCTCGGAAACCGAAGCAGCGGATTCGAGAACAGCAGCAGGAGGAAGGGGAGCAGGGGGAGCAGTGGGGGCAGGGGTTGCAGGAACGGCAGGGGGAACAGCTGCTGCAGCAGCAGGAGCAGCCGGAGCAGTGGCACCAGGACGAGGAGGCACAAAAGCCACAGCCACAGTTGTCTTATACATGTTCGGCTGGGCGAGCTGGGTGGAATAATGCGCCCCAAACCCTTCCTTAAACCCACTCGAGGCCACAGAAGGCGCCCCTCCGCTTGAATCCTTAAACCCTGAACCTCTCACAAACCCTGACCCATCCAGCCTCCCCTGCGGTTGTACAGCTGGCACAGCTGGATTGCGTGGCAAAGAGGGTTTTGCCTTGATGGAGGGGAGGGAAGAGCCCGGCTGTGTGGGAAGAGGCACTCCCACGTGCATCCGTGGAATAGCACTGGGGGATTCACCCTCCCCCCATCCAGCTTGTGGGATGACTCTCCCTCCTCCTCTGCTGCCGCTGCTGTTACCTCTGACTTATCCTCTGCTGATACACCAGAAGCAGGAGTATAAGCAGGTGCAAGGGGAGAAGGAGGAGGAGGAGCAGGAGGATGAAGGGCATGAGGACGATGAAGTATAACAGATGAACTACTTAGAGGCACAGACTCAGGCTTCAGCAGTTCTGAGTCGGTTACTGCTGGTGGTGGTGGTGGTGGTGCTGCTGCTGCTGCTGCTGGTGGTGCTGCTGCTGGTGCTGCTGGTACCACTGCTGCTAGAGTTGAAACTGCTGCTCCTGGTGTTGAAACGGCTGCTGCTGCTGCTGGGGGCGAAATGGTTGCATGCACTGCATTTCCTACCGACATTGCTTCGTCTGCTGCTCCTGCTCCTGCTATCTCTTCTTCCCTCTTATTTGCAGCACCTTGAGCTACCTTCTTGGAACTCACCTCGTTACTATCACTCCGAAAAGAGTCAATCAACTCATCCATAACACTCCTCCCCCTCCCCTTCCTACCATCCCCGTCCGTTCCCTTCTCCTCTTTCCCCTCCCCCCCCCCCCCCCCCTCCCCCTCCCCCTCCCCCTTCCCCACGCCACCCTTAAGCCCCCCTGCCGCTCTAAAACCCTCACCCCCCTTCAATCCGAAATTCAAAACCCCGCGCGTACCCTCCCCCTCCCTGCGCCCCGCTTCCGCCAGCATGTCCCTCAGAATGCGCAGCGCCTGCGCCTTTTGCGCCGCTGACACAGGGGGGCGCGCAGGGTTGGGCGCAGAAACCCAGGGATAGGGGGAACGAGTGGGGCGAGGGGGAGATATACGGTCTCTGTCTGTGCTGCTGGTAGCAGAAAAGCTCCTGCTGCGCCTGCTGCTGCTGATGCCCCTGCTGCTAACCCCCCTCCTCGTGTAAACAGTGCTGCTGCTGCTGCTGTTTTCAAACCGCAAGCCCTCATCGCCGCTATCCGCGCATCTACCTTCCCCTTCTCCCTCGCGAAATCCCCAAGGCCGCGGAGCCGTGGGCGGCGACTGCTCGCGCGGTTTAACCGGCTTGTAAACAGACGCGAAGGTTGACGAATGGGGGGTTTCCACAGATCGCTGATTCCGACCTGAAATGGCAGGGTTTCGGGGGGGCGTATTCCGAACCACCGGTTTGCCCAGCTGCATATGAAAAACCCTGGCAGCAAGAACCCCCGCTCTGGTCCGCGACGCCATTCCTTCGGGGAGCGAAATATAATCTCCGCCGTTGCCCGTCGAGCTGCTGTTGCCGCTCTTCTCCTCGCCACGGGCGGTCAGGTCGAAATCTTCTGGGCTGCTGACCGGTCCTGACGTGGCAATCGCGTCTTTAGCGGCAAGATTATTCTTTCTTGACGGAAACTCGTCCCGCTGCTGACTTGGCTGTTGCCATGGTGACGCTGACGTCAGCTTAGAGGGGAGGTGCTGCGGCGAGACGGATCTGTTTGCATCGCTCCGATTGGCTGCCCCGAAGGAGCCGCCAGAAGGGATGGACGATGCTGACGTGGCGCGCACGGCGGAGAGACGAAGATGGGCCAAGCGCTTGCGAGAGCCCTGAAGCCCCTTGGGTTTCACTTCAAGGGCGTTTACACTCACGGCGCTGGGGAATTTGCGAAGATGATTGCCCTGGGAATGCTCTTGCAGGGCCTTGAGGGTTGAGAGAGAGGAGAGGCGGGATGCGCCGTTCACGTGTGCATGCGCACATGGGCAAAAAGACGAAGCGGCGGAAGCGGAGAATGAGGCGGAAGCCGCCATCCTTGCACGGACTCAACGGGGGTTTCTAGGCGTTGCCAAAAGATCTAGTTTCGTGAATGAACTTACGATCTTCGCCACAAAGCTTGAGATCTTGCCAATCAGACCGTTGTGAAGCAGGCGAACTGTTGCAGACGGATCGTCGCGAAGGGCAGGCAAACTTTTGCAAAGTGGATGACTCGTCGCAGCCACAGAACCTTCAGAAGCGGCTGATGCGTGATGACTCGGGCGATGCGTGACGACTCGGGCGATGCGTGACAACTCAGACAGTTGAAGCACGACGGTAAGCCTTAATTTCCGAATGCAGATCACTGAGTTGTGAGATAACTGCGTGCCGTGGCAGCAGCTAGCAACTAATGCTAATTCACCAAAGCAGCAGCTTGGATCTCCTTCGCCACGACTCGGCTGCAGAGGGTTTTGCCACAAAAGTCTATCTTTCGCACGTTGCGGTCCACGGCAAGATCGCACGGGCAGGAAATGCGATGTTTGCTCGATCGCAATTCTCAAAAGTCGTCCACACGCGGATTGTTTTGCCGAAGAGGATGGGCCAGGCACTGGTTCTTACGAGGTTGTGTGAAAGCACTGGCTTTCGCTCAGAAGATAGGACGACGGGACGCTAACATAGAGTCTGTTTTGCACACCCAGCTGAATCGTTATTCAAACTAATATATCTCTTCTGAACGTATACCACCTCACTGAAGCATGATGAGACTTCGTGTTTTATTTGATGTGCCTTCAGGATGGCAAGCTAGAAAGGCGCGCCAGCAGTATGTGGGTCAGGTCCGATCACTACCAAACCGAGATGGCGGCGCTTCGGTTGAGATCTCGAGCCCACAAGTAGCAACCCACTCAACTGATTGGTTATGGTGGTAAACTAAACGAGGCTCGTGTTGCCTGGCCTAGCTAGGCTGGAGCCACCCAAAAGCAAAATGCTGTTTGGTTCGCTTGGGATGGGCGCCATCGTGGCAGCATTGCTGCGGTGGCGAGAGGCGTCACTGGCGTGGGATGGATCAAGTGGGCTGACAAAATGCTTCGCAGTGCTGTGCACGACAGCGCACGAAAGTGTTGTAATCCCGGATGTCCTTCGCGAATTCGAGCGCCAAATTATCTTGCCCAAATCACCAAAGCCGCCTATGTCAGCATTGTGGGGTCCTGACGTGGTGATCACACCACGAAACATGAGGATCTGTACTCGTTAAATAACGCTCTAACAGCATTTTTAACGTCCGTCCACAATGTGTACCTTCTGCTCAACACTTATAGCCGCGAGTTGTTGTGAAACACATTGTAATTTGGCTGGAGATAGAAAGCATGTTTTGGATCCGTGTATTCCATATTTTCGGTGATAATATTCATCCATACACAATGGCAGCCTCATTGGGGCTTCTATGCTGTGACACATGACAGTCGGGGGATACAACGGACGACGAAATGTAGTCCTCAGCTCGACCTTCCAATGGGAACTCTCCTGAACTACCAGCATATACATTCGTCCTGCCAATGCCACCACTCTCCGCATCACTTTTCTGTTCACCACTCAGTCTAAAGCTGTTTCTCTCACCTTCTGTGCCCTCGAGCCCACTTCCCGGTGCAATCAAGTCCGGTGACCAATCGCCCAGCGACACGTCATCAACAACCGATTGGGCACGAGTCATGAGATTTGCCAGGATGGCATAGCTGAGGTCGTGAATTGATCTGCACACGTGGGGAACAATGGGTGGGTGTGGTGAGAGCGGCAAGAGGGAACAAAGTTGTTACAGTAGCTCTAGAGAGAAATGCCTGTCCCACCATGCTATGCACACTAGTTGAGTACAGGATACTTCCAAGGTCGGTACCGTTCACCTGGCCTGCTCATTGCACCAACCAAGCACGGGTGGTGCATATATCCCCATGGCACGCTCACATCAACCCTCCCGTCTTTCCCCGTTTCCCCATCCTCCCCAACTCATCCCATTGCTCCCACCCTCCCCCCTTTCATCCCATTGCTCCCACACGTACCCTTCATCTCGGTAAGCCTGCCCACCACGCCATGCACTCTGGGGGAGTGCTGGATACTCCCAAGGTCCGGTCACCCCTCACCGTCCATTGATCCCCCTCACCCTTCACCTGCCCTTCCCCACCCACCCTCCCCATTCCCCCCAATTTCCTCCCACGCTCACCACCCTCTTACTCACCCTGCATCTCTGTACGCCTGCCCCACCACGCCATGCACTCTGGGCGAGTGCCGGATACTCCCAAGGTCAGAATCCCCTACAGCCCCCCTGCCCCCGTCCCTACAGGCCCCCCCCTTCCTCCCCTGGCCCCACACTCACCCTGCATCTCTGTACGCCTGCCCCACCACGCCATGCACTCTGGGCGAGTGCCGGATACTCCCAAGGTCCAGCATCAGGTGCACCTCCGCGTCCTCCTCCTCTTGAAGTAAAGGGTGGGCTGGGCGCAGCCGGACCTCCGCCTGGAAGATTGAGTAGAGGGAGAAGAGTGGCAGAGAAAGAGAAGTTATTAAACAGGTGGATGCTCCCAATTGGATACTCCCAAGGTCCAGCATCAGGTGCACCTCCGCGTCCTCCTCCTCCTCTTGAAGTAGAGGGTGGGCTGGGCGCAGGCGGACCTCAGCCCGGAATATGGACGCACAAGGAAGAGAATAAAGAAGGTTATCAAGGAAGATGCTCCCAAGAGGAGAAACTCCCAAGGGGGATACTCCCAAGGTCCAGCATCAGGTGCACCTCTGCGTCCTCCTCTTCCTGCAGTAGTGGGTGGGCTGGGCGCAGCCGAACCTCCGTCTGGAATGATGAAAGGGCAGGGAGGCACAGGAAGAGAAAGAAAGTTCCATGGGTATTTCATCGCTCTGGGATACTCCCAAGGTCTGGCGTCAGGTGCATTTCAGCATCCTCCTCCTCCTGGGGGGTCAGATGGGGTTTGCCCCCCCAGCACTCTGGGATAGTCCCAAGGTCAGGCAGAGGCCGGAGGCTGACCTCCGCCTGGAATGTGAGAGCTCTAAGCAAGGGATCGAAGCAAGTTTTTCTGAGCTCGAGGATACTCCCGAGGCGGTCCCCAAAGGAAGATGCCAGCACAGGATACTCCTCCCTTGCCTTGCGTAAGAGTTGCGGTTCCTTCTCCGAGATTGTATTGGTAGTAATCTGAGTGTATGACATAACGCACGTACCTCCAGCAGCCCTGCCAGCTTGACAGAATACACATCCACATCGTAGTTGCTGCTCCTCTCCTGTCGCGCGTAGGTCACGGTGCCTTCTCCGTCGAATAGGCTCAACTCGTCACCCAACTGCACCAGAGGGACAACATGGGGGGTTGAGGTGTGGAGAGTAGATTTGAAACCGAGAGGGGAAGGATGAATACACTTCCACGTGGATCTACATTAATTGGTGTTACAAACACCTGGAAAACACAAAATGCATATTCAGAATCAAACACTAGATTCTACTCTCCCCGCCACGGACCTTCGCCGGTACCCCCCTAGATTCTACTCCGCCTTCCACAGTAGAACACTCACCCCCAGGCGCGGAACCGCGATTCCGTCCACCTCGATTCGCCCCATGAATCTGTCGCTTTTGAACATTGCAAGTTTTAGGCAAAATATTATACAGACCCTTTTTCAGGATGCAAAAACGCTCGTACACGACCCTAGAACACTCACCCCCAGGCGCGGAACCGCGATTCCGTCCACCTCGATTCGCCCCATGAACCCCTCGCCGCGCTCCTGCTTCGGGCCGCGCCGCGCGACCAGCCGAAGGGAATGCTGCGCCCCGCTTCCGCCTTGCTGATTGGTCCGCCATATGAATCCCAGCTCCCTGATTGGTGGGAACGGAGGTATGCGGCACGAATGCGGTGTAATGTGGTAAATGATGGGTTTACAATATACAATTTACAACCACCACTTGATCCACTTAGATCTTTGAGTCGACAAAAAATCGTCTCATCACACGAATGCGGTGTAATGTCGTAAATGATGGGCTTACAATTTACAATCTACAACTACCACTTGATCCACTTAGATCCCCGCTCTCGGCTCACCTAATCCACGTGCGCACTTTGGCGCCAGCGACGAGCGCGGCCATTATATCGGAGCGGTTGTTATCGAGGTACCCCGTGAGGCGCATGTTGATGTGCAGGCGCGCGTCGGAGACGAGGCAGAAGGACGTCGGGCGCAGCTGCTGATACGGGCGCGCGGGGGGAACGACCTCCGCTGCATGGGGGGAAGGAGCGGGGAAAATGGGGGACGGAGTGGGGGCGGGGGAGGAGGGGGGGGTGATTGAAGACATGCGCGCGTCAGAGACGAGGCAGAAGGACGTCAGGCGGAGCTGCTGGAAGGGACGCGCTGGGGGAACGGCCTCCGCTGTATAAGGGGCGGAAACGGGGAAAATTGGAGGCGGAAGAGTGAAAACGGTGGGGGAACGTGTGCAGGCGAGAAGCGGAGAGGACGCGGAAGGAGTTTGAGCGGAGCTGTTGGTAGAGGCGCGCAAGGGGGTCGATTTCCGCTGGTAGACCGCAAGGCGCGCTGTTGGTAGAGCGCAAGGCGCGCAAGAGAAAAGTTGGGCCGGGTAGGGGTTGGGTTGAGGGGGAAGGAGGGGAGGGAGGGGAGTGGGAAACCGGAAGGTTTGGAAGGTTCAAGAAGGCTGGAATCAGCAACAGAAACCTGTACCACATACCCGTTATTAGCCGCCTCACCTTGGTATCTGTACTCGTGCTGCCGGTGCCAGCTGCATCGCCCGCCCACACTGCCAAGGAGCAGATTGAAACACGATCAAGAAATAGAGGACAAGAAGTAGGGAAGTCAGGAGGTTGTGACAGACGCGTGTTTCTTAGAAGGTAGTTTTTGGCGTGTCGTCGGGAAAGAAAGGCGAAACATTAAGGCGTAAATTTTGCTGCTTACTAAGAATCGGGCTCCCTGGGAGAATAGACGCTTCGTATTCCGTTATTCGCGGCGCAAATCCCGCTGGTGTACAGGTAGCAAGTGCCGGAACTTGCGAGGAAGTTCCAGTAGCTGCACTGCGGTTGATGGCGACACATTTGGCAGCAGTCTGCAGGCGCAGCACGTCGCCCAAGTCGCAAACCGTCGCGCGCGGATCGCACGCGATACTGCGCGACGTCGCTGTGACTGTTTGCGAACGCGCCCTTGAAGACGTAACGGCCGCAAGTCGTGGCGCCGCATGCAGCCTTTTCGCCGACGAATGCGGGACAGGAACCGGCAAATGCGGAGGAGAGAAGCGCGCTTAGGATAGGAGCGAGTAGAGCAAGTGAGAAAGCGTTTGTGGTTCGATTCATGGCTTGTCCGTACAGGAAACGATTTGATACTCTGCTAGCCGCTGGATACTGATACCTACCCTGGGGGTTCTGACGGCTACGAAACGCTGAATTACGTAGAGGACAAACCATGGCGTGGTAATGGTCTCGTGAAAGCACAGCTAGTATTGATTACAGCAAAATGACCGAGTTAGAAGCCTAGCTAGTCATCAGTCCACGGTTTGGCTGAAGTTAGTTGCTCAGTACCAGAATCTCAGGTCAATTGCTTTCCAAAATGGATTAGTTGTGAGCTGCCTTAGGAAGTATTCGTCTTGTCTCGCATTGGGCACTATTGTAATGAACAACGGGATGTTGCTGCTCACCAGTCACATCGAACAGACATCAAGGGCTGAGGAAGAATTATTCAAGAGAATTGTGGCTGGAAACAGCAGTCGGCATGCAGCATGTCTGCTTGTAGATGCGAACAGTTATCATGGTGCTGTTTCTATGCTGGGACACACAAAACGGCAGCTTTGGAAATTGAGAAATTGATAGGTCAACTTGAAATGCTCCAGAAACGCAGCGCGTCTCGCGCCATCTAGGAAATCGAAATTCGGCGCGACTCGCCTGGTCATGGTTCGCCTCACTCGATGCGCTGCGGGGTGTGGTAGCGCTGACTGACAGGCTGGGCTTGGCACGCAAGACCCTTCCGTTTTGGTCGGTGGCGATGGTGTGGTCGCATAACGAGGTTGTCGCGACGGTGCTAGCCTTTCGTGAGTTGCCCGAGTTACACAGCGACGGCTCAGTTTTGAGGCATTGCGTTTTCTCTGTCGAGATCTACCCCTTCACCAGATGAAGCTTTCATAATCCGCATGTGTACACCTCGAATGCGTTCTCCCTATATATTCCACAACCCCATTTTCCCCCGTTTCCAAATCCCCGTCGAACCACATTTCCCCCATGACCCTCTGCGCACCACTCTCTCCCACTCTCCCTGAGTACAGTTTCCCCGCATCTCTATTGCTTCCTCTTTTCTCCGCCTTTCTTCCCCGCCCGCCTCTTTCCCCGTTCCCTTCCTCCCTCGCGCCCCTCAAACCCTAAAAGTTTAACCTACTTTATTCTGCTCTTTCCTTTCCCTTCCCCTTTTCTCGCTCGCCTCCCTCGCGCCTGAGCTCCGCAACCATGAAGGTGAGCCGCGTTTAGGGTTGCTAACTCCAGCGTGAAACACGGCGGATTCGTGGGATCGTAATGCCAGTCCCTGTATTAGCTCCTTAGGCAGCTGCCATCGAGATCGTAGAATCGTACGGATGAGCTTGTTGAGAATCCCCAAAAACCTCTCGATATCAAGTAACTCACCTCGCCTGCCGTGTCCGACCAGTCCTCGCGTACTTCCTACAATTTCGCACTTTCCAATGTCTCAACGCGTCTCAGATCGCGTTCGCGTTTCCTGACCTTACCCTCGGGCGTCATTTCTTAAGCTGCCGAATCTCATCTTACTCCCCAGTCTCTCCACGTAATGGCGCCAAACCTACAGAGTGGACTCCTTTTGCTATAGCTGTGAGCTTCACTGACGACGTTTCTTATCCGTCCTGTGATGTGATTCTATTTGTTTTGATTTGCAGCTCAACATTGCCAACCCCACGACGGGGTGCCAGAAGAAGGTCGAAATCGATGACGATCTCAAGCTGTAAGTCCCCTCAGCGTTCTCTTCTATCAGAATAACATATCACAGGCGGTTCGGATGCGGATCTTTAGGTACAAAAGCGAAGAAGGTGCAAATGTGCAACGGAAGAGATTGCTCATCACCCGGAGTACCTTTCTTCGTGGTTAGCAGCGGCGCGGGCTCAGCAGCTAGACGTTACCTTCCGCCTTGTTATTGGTCCATTGGTCGTCAGGTTTAGCTTAACCATTACGGGGTCGCTACGGGATTTAGATGAAAGTGAAGCAGGATCGAGTATCAGAGATGGCGTATCCGTCAAGGTGAACAGGTTCCGATACTGTGCGAAGGAGTATCTGGAATTATTGCGACGATTCTATTGGCGGGATAGCCAGAGCAGTGTACGCCCTGTCAATAGGAAACGCCTTCCGTTCGTTGGCGATGCGGAGAGAAACGTTGTTGATAGCGGCGACACGCCCACTGTAACAGCGGCGCGGCGACGAAACTTTTCGTTTAGGGTGTGACTCCGCCAGAATTCGTTCGGACTTCGAATAGTGCTGGAGATTGGTGGGAATTCATCAAGAGTGACTTAGAAAGCTCGAAAGCTTGTGACAGTGTAAGCTTGTGAGGTAATGCTGGAGATTGCTGAGGATTCACCATGGGAACCATGGTGACTTGAAAGCTTGTGAGAGTGACTTCCAACTTCCTCCGACCTTTCCGGCGCGTAGGTGCAAGACCCTGATAACGACGCCTCGTATGCAGCTTGTATTGATCATCCGGTGTGTAGTCGTTTAGGTTCAGTTCTGTTGGCTCAATAGCGAACATATGATTGCACGATGGAGGCGTGAAGGTTTCCGCAGGACAGTACGGGGTACTTAAGAATTCCTTCCTTATGCTGTTGTGAGAATCTAAGACGGTTTCTCCCTTTTCTCCCTCGACTTACCCTGTTTCCCCACATTTGTTTCCCTCTCGATCCACGTGGCGTGCAGGCGTGCGTTCTTCGACAAGAGAATCTCTCAGGAGGTCAGCGGCGACTCCCTCGGCGATGTAAGTGGTCCCAGCCCCAGAGTTTCAAATCGGTAAACCTTTTTTTTCCGTGGTTGATGTCGTTGTCAAATTTCGCACAGGAGGTCAGCGGCGATTCCTTTGGCGATGGCAGTGGTCCCAGCTCCCCCTACCCTTCCCCACACAAGTTTCCTTTTCCTCACCAGCCACCATAACCCACACTCATAAAGGTTTCAGGATTTTTTTTTCAGTCGGTCAAGCGCATCCTTTGTCCTCACGCATTCAATCTTTGGTCCCCCGCTCCTCACCATTAGGAGTTTAAGGAGTACATATTCAAGATCAATAGGGGGTGTACCGAAGACTGTCAGATTCAACGCGTCCCGCTCATTGCTATTTCCCTCGTTTCTCCCGCTCTCCCCCTCTCCCCCCTCTTCCCCCTCCCCCCTCTTTCCACCATCAGGAGTTCAAGGGGTACGTCTTCAAGATCAAGGGAGGGTGCGACAAGGACGGTTTCCCCATGAAGCAAGGTGTTCTCACACCTGGCCGCGTCCAGATTCTCATGCACAGGGGTAAGTTCCTACTTTAGCCCTCATATCCAAGGGTGATCCCTGTCTTTGCTCGTTACAAGGACGGTTTCCTCATGAAGCAAGGTGTTCTCACACCGGGCCGCGTCCTAATCCTCTTGGAGAGTGGTAAGTTTTGATCCCCTCGTTTAGGCCACATTCTTCGCTATTCTTACCCCTTCGCCCTCCTTTCTCTCCCCCCCCCCACACAATCCCCCGTTGCTTTGATGCAATTCGTTGACTCAAACCACCACCCTCGTTCCGATCTTTCCTCCTCCCGCCTCTCCCCCCCCCTCTCCTCCCCTACCCCATCCCCAACGCCCTCACCCGCCATTCGCTTCCTTCCTTCGCTTCCGCCCTTGGCCTGCCTCTTCCGCCCTCTCCCCCATCAGGCGTGCCCTGCTTCCGCGGCTACGGCCGGCGCAACGGGGAGCGGCGCAGAAAGTCGGTGCGCGGGTGCATCGTCAGCCAGGACCTGTCCGTGCTGAACCTGGTCATCGTCAAGCAGGGTAAGTTGTTTGTAGGCCCTCTGATAATCAAAGTTTTCGGTTTTGTACACATATGAAGTAAGCCAGGACCTGTCGGTTTTGTATCTGGGTGTGTTAAATAACGCACGTTAATAAAACGTAATCTTTTTCCTCTCCACGCCCCTCCCCTTCCCTCCTTCCCCCCTCTCCCCGATCAGACGACAACCACCTGCCTGGTCTGACCGATGCTGAGAAGCCGCGCCTCCACGGCCAAGATCCGAAAGCTGACACTCCCCTCCTTTTCTTTACCCTTCCCTTCCCCCCCTCCTTTCCTTGCTCCCCCCCCCCCCCCCCCCCCCCCCCTTCCCCTCCCTCTTCCCTTTTCCCCCTACGTCTCTCCCTTCCCTCCCCTCCCCCCGCTCCCCCCCCTCTCCCCCGTTCACAATGCCCATCAGGCGACAACCACCTGCCTGGTCTGACCGATGCTGAGAAGCCTCGCCTTCGTGGTCCCAAGAGGGCGTCCAAGATCCGAAAGCTGTTCGCGCTGAGCAAGGAGGACGATGTGACCAAGTATGTCAACACCTACCGCCGCAAGTGGACCACCGCCAAGGGTACGTGTGACGGATTGTGACTGTTAACGGGATGAGTGTGACCAGAACAGGGAGGAGTGTCTAAGGAGTAGGAGAGAGGAGAGGGTGAGTGGAATGAGAATGATCCTGTTTAGTGAGTCATGAAGGACAATAAGAAGGATGTTAACACCTTGGCACCTCTTTTATCCCACTTTTGAAATTTCTTACATGTTACCTTCTTCGTCCCACCTTCCCTTCCTCCCTTATTCGCGCCCAACAACCATGCGGGCAAGAAGAAGAGCAAGGGCCCCAACATTCAGCGGCTGGTGACACTGCTAAAGCTGCAGCGCAAGCTCTGTTATCCCCCGTGCCCATCTATGTCCACCCCTAATTCTCCCTCTCTCCACCCCCTTACCCTCCCCTCCCCCCCCCCAGGCAAGAAGAAGAGCAAGGGCCCCAACATTCAGCGGCTGGTGACCCCCCTGAAGCTGCAGCGCAAGCGCGCACGCCTGGCAGAGAAGAAGCAGCGCGTCGCCAAGGCTAAGTCCGCTGCTGCCGACTACCAGAAGCTGCTTGCATTGCGCATCAAGGAGCAGAGGGAGAGGCGGTCGGAATCTCTTGCGAAGAAGAGGGCTTCCCGGGCATCGCAGGCCAAGCCGGCTGCTGCCCCTGCTGCCAAGGAGTAGAAATTGATCGGATGGAAAATTACAAGCTGGGCCGTAGGGTTTGGCTGCTGGTGATGTTGCTTGTTGGTGCTGCTTTTGTGAATTAGAAGTGCAGTTTTCAATGTAACGGCTGATGAAGTATACGAAATTTACCCGTAACGAGCCATCCAAAAAAACTGCTTGCGGAATATTCATGTTCTCGTTTCATTTTCTGTCCTGTGATGTATCTGGGCTCGATATCTAACCCACCCAACCGTTTACGCATCAACTCTATCGCTCTGAACCGTAGGAATCAACCCTCCCACTCACACACTTCATGCCTCGTATCCTCGCACACTTCACCCCTCCTGACTTCATGTGAGGCCTCGTGTTTCCCGCCTTTTGCCGCGAAATTATTCAAGAATTCGTTCACCTCCATGCTCTGTTTCTCGCTAGAAATCGTCCTGAAAAAAATGTAACTCGTGATCGGGTTACCCGAGTGACATTTTCGTCTTCCAGTTTTGCCGGTTCGCGTGCGTCGCGATGGACCTGTCATGGCAGAAGCTCTTAATCTTCTCCGCTGTCGCGCGACTACTCATGATAGTCTTCGGCGAGTGGGAGGACGCGAATTTAGAGGTCAAATACACGGATGTAGACTATTTGGTATTCACCGACGCGGCTCGGTTGGTTACCCTAGGTCGTTCGCCGTATGAGCGTTACACGTACCGCTATTCGCCGCTGCTCGCGTGGATCCTCGTGCCGAATGTACTGGTTCACCGGCTTTGGGGAAAGCTGCTGTTTTCTGCAGCGGGTAAGTTGATATGAGAAGCACAGGTGTTAGGTAAAGCTTCTCCTCTCCGCAGAGGGTGCAGCTGGTGCAGCTGGTGAGTCTTGTGCCCTTTGTGTATGCATTTGTAAAGCATCTGACAGGCATTCGAACGACTTACATTCGGGTCTTCCGTCAGGAAGTGCAATCAAACATTCAAACAAAAAGTCCGTCCGACGTTCGGTCAGGCAATCAAACATTCAGTCATGCTTTCGGTTTTTTCTTGAGCGTTTTCAGTCCAGCATTCAGTCACGGATTCAGTCAAGCTTTCGGTGAATCATTTTCCAGGATTTTGGTAATGTATTCGCTCCCTTGGTTTCCCTTACTTTGCCAGATCTCCTGGTGGGCCATCAAATTCGATCACTCCTGCTCCTACGTGGCATTTCCGACCGCGTGGCAGTCCTGTGTGCTGCCACGTGGCTTTTCAACCCCTTCACAGTCACCATTGCAACACGTGGCAATTGTGACGCCCTTGCTGCTGCTCTCATCCTGCAAGTGCTCCTGGGACTGCTGCAGGGTATGTCTGTTGGCTGTATGTCTGTTTTGTTCAAGAAGGGAGGAGGGAACCTGTACAGACGACTCATGGGCGAATCCGGAGGTAGCATATATTGTGACTTCCTTGCTGTTGCTCTCAGCCTTCAAGTGCTCCTGGGACTGCTGCAGGGTATGTCTGTAGTTCGGTTTCGTCAAAGAAGGGAGAAGGGATTCATACAGACGACTCATGTTATCATCTGGAAAAGGGACAACTGTGACGCCCTTGCTGCTGCTCTCATCCTGCAAATTCAACTGGGACTGCTGCAGGGTATGTCTGTATTTCTGTTTTGTAAAAGACGGGAGAAGGGATTCATACAACTCACGTTAGAATCTGGAGAAGGGACAACTGTGACGCTTTGGCTGCTGCTTTCATACACCAAGTGCTGCTGGGACTGCTGCAGGATTTGTTGTGTTTGTTCTCTCTTTTGAGAATCATAAAGGTGTGCGCATCTCGAAAGACTATGTAACTTTATAATGTCCAATCTTTTATTTTCTCTCTCCTCTCCTCTCCTTTCCCCTCCTCCTTTTTCCCCCTCACCTCCTACCTCCCCACTCCACTCCCCTTTCCCCTGGACAGGCCATATTTTATCTGCTGCTTTTTGGTTCGGCATCGTGGTGCATTTCCGAGTCTACCCGATAATCTACGCTCTTCCCTTCGTTCTGTACCTCTTCCACGCGTATCCGCTCCGAAGCAGCCCACAACATGATGATCCCAGTGACAGCAGCAGTGCTTCAGCTACGAAGCGACCTACAAACCGCAGTAGTTCCAAGAGTGCCAGCTCACCACCCAATACTGCCATCCCTGCTACAGCTGCTGCTTCAGTCACATCTAAGTCAGGACAAAAACCAGCTACCGTCACTGATACAGCCAGCTTCAAGTTAGAACACAAAACAGTTACCGCTGCTGCTACAGCCAGCTCACTGTCTCGGCTTGTCAAGGGCCTTCGATTGCTGGTAGTGTTTGGTGTGGTGTCGGGCGGAACTTTCATCCTCGTTACAGCGCTGTGCTGGAGACTGTACGGGGATCAGTTCCTTAATGAGTCGCTGCTGTACCATGCGTCCCGATCTGATCATCGCCACAACTTCTCAACTCACTTCTATGCAATATACCTGGTAAGCATTCTTTTCGTGTTTTCAGCTAATGCGTCAGATGCTCTCTGCCATGCCACATTCCTAAAATCATGGCCTGCCATGTGTCTCCATTGTGTGCCTCTCCACTCTCTCATTCACCTTAGATGACCAATCAGGGAGCGCCATCTGTCTCAGACCGGATTCTCTCCTTCCTGCCACAGCTGCTGCTGCAGCTCACCTTCTCCCTCAAGTTCTACCGCGACCTCCCCTTCTGCCTCTTCGCACAGACATTTGCCTTCGTGGCCTTCAATAAGGTACGGTTGTAAGGAATGTTCTATGTGGCTGTAACATTAGGCTGCTGCAGCTCGCCTTCTCCCTCAAGTTCTACCGCGACCTCCCCTTCTGCCTCTTCGCACAGACCTTTGCCTTCGTCGCATGCAATAAGGTACACGATTGTTACACGCCTAAATAAGGTACATGCGTCATGCGCCTGAATATGGTGAATCAGAATGCTGCAGCTCACCTTGTCCCTCAAGTTCTTCCACGACCTCCCCTTCTGCCTCTTGGCACAGATGTTTGCCTTCGTGGCCTTCAATAAGGTACATGTGTGTTAGGCGCCTGACTAAGATAATGTAGACTACTGCGCAGCTCACCTTCTCCACGTGATAAAAGAGTTGTTTTGAGACGTCTCAAAACAACTCTTTTATCGCCTGACTAAGATCATGTAGACTACTGCGCAGCTCACCTTCTCCCTCAAGTTCTTCCAGGATCTTCCCTTCAGCCTCTTTGCACAAACGTTCACCTTTGTGGCCTTTAATAAGGTGCCATTCTCTTACACTCACTCTTTATTCATCCCCCCCTTCTACAAGTCAGCAACTTGTCAACAATTGACTGGTACAGGTAAACTTTTACATGGCTCAAGCAGTCTTGTGCTGTTTTCCTTCGTTGACTCTCACTTTGCATCCGTGTCTGCTTGCTCCTTCTGACTCTCCTTTGTTGGTCGTTGCTCCTCTCCTGGGCCCTCACCTCTCCTTCCTTCCCGGATATTCTTTCACCTCCCCCTTTCCCCTTTCCCTTCCCCTTCCCAATCCCTCTTGCCCTTTCCGCCTTGTCCCTCCATTCCTGTTTCCCCCTTTCCCCAGGTAATAACCTCACAAGACTTTGTCTGGTTCGTCTGGTTCCTATTCCTTCCCCTCCTTCAACTTCCCCATTCCCCTTTCTCCCTTCCCCCTACCTGTCCGTTTCCCCTTTCTCCAGGTGATAACCTCACAGTACTTTGTCTGGTTCCTCTTCCTCCTCCCCCTCATCCTTCCCTTCACCTCGCTCCGCCTCCAAAGCTACGGCGGTTTTTGTCTTCTTCTTTGGCTTGCCGGCCAATCATACTGGCTCTGGTGGGCGTATTACCTTGAGTTTGGGGGGTATTCTTGCATGCTGCCCCTTTGGGCTGCTGGTATTGTGTTCCTTGCGACAAATGTGGTTATTTTGGCTTGCTTTATTCAGTACCATACATTTACTTGGTATGTCCCTGCTGTTGTTTCTATACAGAAAGAGAAGCTGAACTGATTGAAGCCTCCATTGAGTTGTACATTCGCATATGTATTACCAAAACTTTCTAACTTTCACTTCCAGTTGTTTCATCAAACACAAACTCACAAGCTTCAAGAATCTCTTACTGGTACAGCATGCTTCTCTCCTTTGCATCCAGGCTTAGTGAACAGGCTAATGAAATTACAAGAATGAGGCATAGTCAAGAGTTCAGCATGAGCTGGAAACCAACAGCCAAAACAATGCTGGGTATAGCTAGATAGATTAGGGTATGTTTGCTTCAATCCACAAGTACTGGGCTACAATCATTCTCAAATGCCAGAAAAGGTCCAACTCGCGTTGAATGACAGGGGCAGTTGCCCCAAGGCCCCGAACCAGGCGATCAAACCGCAAAACAGTAACCTGCTGCCGCCAAGCCACCTTCGCAGGCTTGATTTGTCATTTTTAGATCCGAACCTCGTGCGAAACTCGGACGTGCGATCGTTCGGCTTGGACGCCAATCAGAGCGCTTCGCAGCACGAGCCGCGTAATTCTGAATCTTTGTTGAATGCCAACTAGACGAGAGCATTTTGCTTATCGCGAAAGCTCGGAGACAACATGGACAGCCCGCGTACGTGGAATACCGCCTCCAATTGAGTCTGCCCATGCATGAATGAGTCGCCGCATTTGGCCGAAAATTGTCGAAGCCCGCCCTTGATGGCTGCCCAAATGCGAAGTGCGAGTCGCGACGCGTCATGGTCGACTCGGCTCGTTCTTCGCTTCAAGCTTGGTTTAAGCTGTAACCCTACATGCGAGGAACTGTTTGTCTTCGTGAAACAATGTTTCGCCTCAATTTCATAGTGGGTGCGACGCCGCACCTACTGCGACCGTACGGTACCTCTCAGCACGGTTTGTTTCCAACACAGCATTCCCCCATTCACCCTTTCTTACCCAAGATCCATCCGAATCGGATCGCCATCTCAACTGGAACGGACGGTCAGAGTTCAAGATTGTGAAAGCGACGAATGTGCTGGGCTAATCGCAACCGTTCCTCCGTTCTCTAAGAATCAATGCTCCATTCTTCTCGCGTTCCTCCCGCTCTCCCGCTCCTTCATGCCACAGAATTTGTAAAACCGCCACGTCCAACGTAATGGAGCCCAAACCAGCCCCTTGCGGAGTCATTGTCAGCCAATTTTGTGGACATTGGCCTGGAACTACAGAGAAGAGTTTGTACATTTTGTATACACCATGGTTTCTTTCACGGAACTGTAGTGTACAGTTCACGACTACCAAACAGGTAAGCCGAGTTGGCGCCAGCTCACTGCCGCCTGTTTTTGTGCGACGCAACCAAGCGTCACTATCTCTCGTCATGCGACGGACGGCACACGTCTGGCGACGATCTCGGTCGCCGTCTCGTCTCGCGGCGTACCCGTAGCAAAAGGCCAGCTCTTCAGCGATCACTGGCGATGAATGAAGCAACCATTGGTGTTCGTTCAGGGTCGTCGACTTGAGCTAGAGGAGGAGATTTCAGCGTAGGCTCGTAGTCTCGAAATAGCAGTGTCAATTCACACACCTTAGTGACCTTACGTGATTGGCCGCCACATGCGGGCAGTCACAAATAACTACCACTTCTACAAGTTGTATCCGAACTCGTAGTAGCTGGTGCTTCGATCTGCTGCTGAACCGTGTCTCGCATTCGGGTAGTTCCCGCCATTCGGGTATTTCCCGCCATTCGGGTATTTCCCGCCATTCGGGTATTTCCCGCCATTCGGGTACTTCCCGCCATTCGGGTAGTTCCCGCCATTCGGGTAGTTCCCGCCATTCGGGCCCCCGCGCAAACACTCTTCCACCATTCACTCCCTTGTTCGCCCCCCTCAGCGCAGATCCCTGTAACTGCCTCTTTTAGTTCCCACTAATGTAACTCAGGGTTGGAGTCAAACACTCGTTTTAAGCTCCCTCCCAGCTCAGTTTTGTCCACGAAATTTAGATAACGCCTCTATTCTGATAATAGCGGGTTCTCCAAGGGTAAAGACGTGACCAACGATATGTGGATCAGGCATTCCGAATCGGCATCCAACCAGCGCGATTTGCGCCAGCAGCGATGCTGCGTGCCGCGGCCGCCGCAGCTCCCGCGCGCCGCTGGTCAGCGCGGCCTGCTTTTCTCCGCGGCGCTCGCGCTTGCGCTCGTGGCAGCGTGCCACGTGGACTCAGCGGAAGCATCCGCCTTTAGAGCGACGGACGCGTTCAAGCCGCCATGCGGGCTCATGACGAAACCCGGAGCAGGCGGTAAGCACTCCACACCCCTTTTTCGGCGATGTCAAGTTATAAACCCTGCGACGCCTCTAGCTTGCGGATCCGTTTAGAGACTCTGACGAGTTCAAGCTTTGAGAAATCTCAATGCGCTATTTTTGGTGCTGTATAAAGCCTGTGAGGCCACTAGATTGCGGGATCGTTTAGACACTGACGAGTTCGAACCGCCACGTGGGCTCTTCATGACACCCGGAGCCAACGGTAAGCGCCGCCGCGGCTACGAGAGATAAGGCTGGTCTTGAAATGTCTCAAAGCTATTTCCCGAAATGCGGGCTGATGACCAAACCCGCAGCTATGGGTAAGACGATCGTTTCGGCGCCGCAATGAGCACTCATGCGGACGGGCCCAGGAGCCTATGGTAAGGGCCGCCGCGGTTTTGAATTGACTGGTTTTGAGTCCGACTAGAAAAATGAGCGGTGGGGAGAAGGGGGGAGAGGGTAACAATTGCGTTATTTCGGAAGCGGATCGCTCGTATCGCCAGCTTCTTTACACATTCTCCCCCCTTCCCGACTTTCCCCTTCCCCTCTTCTTCCTCCCTCTTCTTCCCCGCCGCCGACCTTCCGCGTTTCCAGGATGGAAGCGGTGGAGCGATTGGCGCACGTGGGGCGGCCCGATGCGCTTCTTGGGCGTGCCGGGGCGCGGGCTGCGGAAATGGCAGGACGTCACGATCCCGTGCGGCGTCTCGATTCTGCTCGACGTACCCGATATAAGCGTGAAGACGCTCACCGTTAAGGGCTGGCTAAAGTGAGTTGCGCTGGTACGGGTTAAGAGGCGACTGTTTTAGGCGCCTCAATAGACGTACCCGATATAAGCGTGAAGACGCTCACCGTCAAGGGCTGGCTGAAGTGAGTCTCGCTGGTTCGGCAGCGCTTCGGAATGGGGACGTTCGTATTGGCGAATCTGGATCTGCCTCGCTACAGAATCTGGAATATCGACTCGTGCTAGATCTGATTGGATCGCATCCCGTCCCCCGCTTTCCCACCCCACTCCACCCCTCCCTACCGCTCCACCGCCATCCCTCCCTCTTCGCCTGCTCTCCCTCTCCCCGGCCGCCCCCTCTTCACAACCTCCCCTTCTTAGGGTTCCGCATCCTTTTTGCCGCCCCCACGAATCAGCGTCAACGCGTGTTACATCGTGCGAAGCCTCCCCCCCGCGTCTGCGCTCTTCTCCCATCCCCGCTTTCCCCCACCTATCCGCCCTTCGCAGAGTGCTCGACTCGCCATCACTCCCTCAGATTAACATCAACGCGCATTTCGTCGGGGTGATTCCTTCTCGCTCCCCCCTTCCTCCCCTCTTCCGCCACACTTCCCCCTCCGCAGGGTTCTCGACCCGCCATCACTCCCTAAGATTAACATCAACGCGCATTTCGAGTCGTCTCAAAATTCGACTCTAAAATTTCGTCGTGGTGATTCCTTCTCTCTCCCCCCTTCCTCCCCTCTTCCGCCACACTTCCCCCTCCGCAGGGTTCTTGACTCGCCATCGCTCCCCAGCATCAACGTCAACGCGCATTTCATAGTCGTAATGGGACGCCTCACGGCGGGCGAGCCGAGCCGCCATTTCTCGAGCCGCCTCACCTTCACCCTCTTCCCCGGGAGCCGCAAGCCGTATATGCTGTCGAAACTCTCGCCGGCGGACGCGGCGAACCCTCGCGATTTGGGCCACAAGGCGTTTATTGTGGTAAGTAGGTAGGGAGCGGTGAGCCGCGGTGGGATGCGGTGAGCCAAGTCCTGGAACCTAGAGGTGAGTTGCCCGCAAGCCGTACATGCTGACGAAACTCGCGCCGGCGGATGCGGCGAACCCTCGCGACCTGGGTCACAAGCCGTTCATTGTGGTACGTGGGGCGGGGAGGAGCAGGGGGAGGAAGGGGGAGGGTGGGTCAGGGGGAGGAAGGGGGAGGGTGGGGCAGGGGGAGGAAGGGGGAGGGTGGGGCAGGGTGCTGACGAAGCTCGCTCGCACCGACAAATGGAACAAACCCTCGCGACCTGCGCCACAAGGCGTTCATCGTGGTACGTTTGTGGGGAGGGGCAGGGGCGGGGGCGGGGAAGGGGGAGGGGAAGGGGCAGTGGGGGCAGTGGGGTGGGCGGATGCGGCCCTGGGCCACAAGGCGTTCATCGTGGTACGTTGGGGGGGGGGTTGGGGGGAAGTGGCGGACAGGTGCAGTTCAGGTGGGCGGGCGTGTACAACTCAAGTCGCCCGGGCTTTGCAATTCCACGGCATGCCGGGCGGGCGGCAGTTGGCAATTCTAGAGCTATTCAATCTCCCATGTCCCGCTTCTGATTTCCCTCAGGTGGGCGGTCAGGTGCAATTCCACGGCATGCCGGCCGGGCGGCAATGTCAGTGTCACAGCCCGTGAGCGAATCCGACTCTTCCTAATCCGTTCCCCCTCTCCACTCCACCAGGTGGGCGGCCGGGTGCAATTCCACGGCATGCTGGGCGGCGGCAACACCGCTGTTTCAACATCACTCAAAGATACACCCCCTGCTTGCCCCATGTGCTTCTCAGGTGGGCGGCCAGGTGCAGTTCCACGGCATGCCGGGCGGCAGCGACATGGGGACACCAAAATCACGAGCACAATTCCTCTTATAAATGGATTTCCGTCTCTCATGTTTTACAGGTGGGCGGCCAGGTGCAGTTCCACGCCATGCTGGGCGGCGGCAACACACCGACAACCCATTGACCTACATGACTCCATTTTGTGAATGTATCATGCCGGGCGGCGTGCTGTCTCTCTCCTGTTGCTTCTCAGGTGGGCGGCCAGGTGCAGTTCCATGGCATGCCGGGCGGCAGCGACACGCCCTCGTGGGTGCGCCTTAGTGAGACGGCCAATGCCGGCCAGCGCTTCGTTCTCGTGGACGGTGACGTCAGCAACTGGAGGGCAGGGATGACGGTGGCTCTGGCCTCCACCAGTAACGACCTGAACGAGGCGGAGCACCATTTGATCGCCTCAGGTGTGAATCGGATGTGATTTGATTTCTTCCTGAATCACACCTCACCTCACCTCACCTCACCTCACCTCACCTCACCTCACCTCACCTCACCTCACCTCACCTCACCTCACCTCGCCTCACCCTGTTGGTTGGAACAACTTATTTCCCTTTTCCCTATCTCTTTCAAATTCCTTACTACTACAGACAGTGATGCACAAGGAAACTCAATCTTTTTTGTCCTCCCTCCCCCCCCCCCCTCTCTCTGACCAAACCCCCCCAACCCCACCCTAACCCCGACTCCCCACCACCAGTTGCCGCTGACATCAGCAGTCCTGGCGTTTTCCGCATCAACCTGCAGACCCCCCTGAAGCACACCCACCAGGGGGAGGCGTTACCTGACGGGGGCACGGGCACCGTAGGAATCTTCGGGGAAGTTGCGCTGCTGGACCGCCACGTCAGCATCCAGGGGACGAATGAGGAGGCGCCACATCAGCTCGACGGGGGCCACTTCATCATCTACATGACCCCGACAAAACAGACCCTGGAGGGTGTGCAGTTTAAAGGCCTCGGAAATCAGGGGACACTGGGGAAATACCCCGTGCACTTCCATATCTGCGGGCAGAACGGGCAGGACCACGTGGTTCGGAAAAACGCCATCGTATTCACCAGACAGGTACGGCGAGTGAGACAGGTACGGCGAGTGAGACAGGTTTGGGAAGTGAGACAGGTTTGGGAAGTGAGACAGGTTTGGGAAGTGAGACAGGCTCGGGAAGTGAGACAGGTATGAGAACTGGCACGCACAATTCTTTCTCTTAGCAATCTGTTTCCCTCTTCTCTCCCTCTGTTGTTCACACCCCCCCCTCAACACCCTCTCCCCTCCCTTTCCGCGTTCCTTCTCCAGCGCTGCATGGGGATTCACGCCACGGGCAGCATGACCATAGAGGACAAGATAGCATACGAGACCAAGGGCCACTGCTTCATGTGCTCCCTTCCCTTCTCCTCGTTTTTCCTGTCTCCCAAATCCTCAGCGCTGCATGGTGATTCACGCCACGGGCAGCAAGAGCATTGAAGACGATGTGGCATGTGTGCGAGACCAAGGGGCACTGCTACCTACCTGCTGGAGGAGGGGAGCAAGAAAGTGAGCTGAGCAACCAAGGCGGCATCTGATGATACCAGTCCCATGTGCTTCATGTGCTCCTCTTTCCCTCTCTCCTCCCCTCTTCAGCGGTGCATGGTGATCCATGCGACGGGCAGCATGACGATTGAGGACAATGTAGCTTACGAAACGAAAGGCCACTGCTACCTGCTGGAGGAGGGGAGTGAGCTCAACAACAATTTCAAGCGCAACCTTGGAATCAACGCCAGAAAAGGTACAATATGATATGATATTTTGATACGACACAATGTAATACGAGATGATATGATATGATATGATATGGTATGATATGACATGATATGATATAATATGGTATGACAAGAATATGGTATGATATGATGTGTCATTATATGATGTGTTATGACATGAAACGATATGATATGATATGATATTAAATAGGATACGAATATGATTTTGAGCAGTCTAGCCACTCTCCGCTTGCCCCGCCTTCCTCTTCCCCCACCCCTCCTCTTTATTACGCTCTCTCTCCACTAGCAGCAGCAAGCTCGACAAGCAAACGGACCGACAGAGAAAGGGGCCGACAGCCTCTGTTCCGCTCTTCCCATCCTTTCCCATCCCTTCCTCCCTCTTCCTCTTCCCTTCCCATCCCACGCATTGCAGTGGAAAAAGTAATCCCCCTGCCAGCAGCAGCAAGCTGGACAAGCAGACGGACAAACAGCCCACCACGTTCTGGCTGGGCACTCCCCACAGCAACTTCATTGATAACGTGGCTGCTGGCTCGGAGGATTCAGGGTGAGTAGTGTATGTATATATACATGATAAAATATATATTTTATATATACACACATATGATGTATGTATGTATTTATGCCACTGTAGACAACCCACCACGTTCTGGCTCGCCACTCCCCACAGCAACTTCATTGGCAACGTGGCCGCTGGGTCGGAAGGTTCTGGGTGAGTATTTGGTGGTTCAGGTTTCCTTTGGAGTTTGCTAATTTCTTCCTATGTTTTTTTGTTTGTTTGTCTTTATGTCCACTCAACCCCCCCACACCCCCCCGTATCTCTCACTTCCCCCATCCCCGTTGCTTTGTCTCCCAGGTTTTGGCTGGAAGCAACGCCATTCATGCGAGGGGTATCCCTCCCGCTGCCTGCAATCGCGACCATCAACCCCCTCACCTACACCTGGGGGGAGAACACACAGGGGGGACGAATACCGCCCTGCCTTGCATGTGTAGAGAGGGTATTTTTGAGACGTCTCAAAAATACCCTCTCTACACGTGAATACCGCTCTGCCTTGCACCAACCAACGTGTTTGGGTTCACTCGGACCTCTCTCTACCCCCTCTCTCTCCTCCCTCCTCCCCCCCTTTCCCCCCTCCCCTTCCCCCAGCTTCTGACTGGAAGCAACACCGTACATGAGAGGGGTGTATCCCGCCTGCTGCCTGCGATCGGAGCCATCAACCCCTCACCTACACCTGGGGGGAATACACGGGGAACGTCGCCCACAGCAACCTGCCCTGCCCCTCTGTCACCCCACCCTCTTCCCCTGTTCCCCAATCCTAGATTTTGGCTAGAGGCCACCCCATACATGAGGGGTGTATCCCGCCTGCTGCCTGAAATCGGAGCCATCAACCCCCTCACCTACACCTGGGGGGAATACACGGGGAACGTCGCCCACAGCAACGTGTTTGGGTTTCGCACGTACCCGCACGGCTCGTACGCTCGCTACCCGGTTTATAGTGAAGAGCCGGCTCCCTTGAAAGACTTTTTGGTCTACCGCAACAGAGTGGGGTGAGTGGGGGAGTGCATGTATGTGTGTGTGTGTGTGTGGGGGGGGATGGAATGGCACAGCAACAATACCCCTCACAGCAACGTGCTTGGGTACATTCAGCACGTACCCGCACGGCTCGTGCGCTCGCTATCCGGTGTATAGTGAAGAGCCGGCTCCCTTGAAAGACTTTCTGATCTACCGCAACAGAGTGGGGTGAGGGAGGGAGGGAGCATGGGAGAGGGTGACTGTAGGAGTGAGTTCGTGTGTGTGTGTGTGTGTGTGTGTGTGTGTGTGAGTGAGTGAATGAGTAAGTGAAAGTAGGTGAGTGAATGACTGAACGGGCGAGGAGTGATTGAGTGAGAATGTGAGTGCGGGAGTGAGAGTGCGAATGGGAGCGTCTGTTTTTCTCCCTCTCCCCTTTGAGAATTCTCAAAAGTGATTTCAATTTACCCTGCCTCCCTTCCCCCCTCTCTCCAGAATGCTCTTCTTTAACAGCAAGCAAGGTCCTCGTTACCATACCAGTCTTTTTGGCACACGACACTTTTTGAGTCGACTCAAAAGTCTCTCCAGAATGCTCTTCTTCAACAGCAAGTGCATTGTGATGCAGGGCGAACGGAATTTTCCCTCTCCTCTCACTTCCTCCCCTCCCCTCCCCTCCCCTCCCTCTGTTCTCTCCAGAATCCTCTTCTTCTTCTTCCGCGAATGCATTGTGGTGCACAACGGAATCTTCCTTCCTCTCCTCTCAACTCCTCTCCTCCCTACCCATCTCCCCCGTCCTTCCCTCATGTCCTCTCTTCCGCTCTACGGTCTACCCCTCTCCATCTCCTCCTCCTCCCTCCCCTCCCTCTTCCCCCCCCCCACCCCACAGAATGTTTTTCTTCAACAGCGAGCGCATCGTGGTCGAGAATGGAATCTTCCTGGAAAACGCCGTTGGCATTGACCTGAGCCGCAACGTCAAGCTCTCAGCCTCCGGCTGCAAGTTCATCGCACAAGCCGCCGCTGCTGCCGGTGCTGCTGGTGCTGCTTCTGCTGCTGCTACTGCTGCTTCTGCTTCTGCCGCTGCTTCTGCTTCTGCGGCTGCTTCTGCTGCTGCCGTTCAGTACATGGGAACCAGCAGCTCCAGCAATGGTATCAGAACTCTCGGCAGCAGCAGCAGCGCTGCTTCCGGAGCGGATTTTGAAGGGGACTTGGCTTTGCTGAAAGGCCCCACCACCCTCACCCAACCCGACAGCCTCTCCCTTGCTCTCGGCCCACTAGACGAGGTCTATGGTGCTGGTGAGCTATTCTCTGGGGGGGGGGGGGGGGGGGGCGGGGCACCTTTTTCTGATTCAAACGTGTTCAAGCAGCCAGTCCCACCACGCTCACATCCACCCAACCCGATAGCCTCTCCCTTGCTCTCGGCCCACTGGACGAGGTCTGGTGCTGGTGAGTGGTGTGTGTGTGGTGTAGGGGGTGGGGCTGATTCTGATTCTGAACCTGTTTCTCACTCCCCTAGGGTGAAGGGTTTCAGCTGTCCACCCTTTCTCAACCCGATAGCCTTTCAGCTGCTCTTTGTAAATGCATGTTCCTCTGTCTCCCCGCTCCCACCACTACAGTGGTGGACTTAACTCGCTCAGAGGAGCAACTGTTTCAAGAGCTCAGGAGCAAGCTGGGGGCGCCTCTCTTCCAACCAGCCGTTCTGCACCTTGCACTCTTTCACCAGTGCTGTGCTGTGCTGTGCGGTGCCGTGCGGTGCCGTGCGGTGCTCTGTTGCTTGCAGGGGTGGACTTCACTCGCTCACTCAGAGCAGCAACTGTTTCAAGAGCTCAGGAGCAAGCTGGGGGCGCTGGCGAGAGCGAAGCAGCAGCAGCAGAGGGAAAGCAGAGGGCGGGGCCGATGCAGGTTGCTGGATGGAAAGGTGGCTCCGCCTACTGATGCTGGAAAGGTGGCATTGACTGACTGAGTCTGCCCCTATCTGCCCACCCACTGCACTGCAGGAGTGGATTTCACCCGGCCAGAGGAGGAGCTATTTAAAGAGCTCAAGAGCAAGCCGGGCGCACTGGCTCGAGTGAAGCAGCAGCAGAGGGCGGGACCAATGCAGCGGGTGATTGGGGACGGCAAGACGGGCAGCTTTGAGTCGCCTGTGGGGATTGTTGTCAGCCAGTGCAACCCCTCGGACCCCCCTGGACCCAACTCCATCCAGGACACCTTGTGAGTTGACTCTCTCTTGACTTTGTGTGACTTAGTTGCCCATGTGTTGACTCTTGTGCTGGAAGTTGGAAACAGCTTTGAGTCGCCTGTGGGGATAGTCGTCAGCCAGTGCAACCCCTCGGACCCCTCTGGACCCAACTCCATCCAGGACACCTTGTGAGTGATACTGCTTGCACTGGTCGACTTGCCTTGACTAATGAGACCGGTTTGGTTTCGCGTCGCCTGTGGGGATAGTCGTCAGCCAGTGCAACCCCTCGGACCCCTCTGGGCCCAACTCCATCCAGGACACCTTGTGAGTGATACTGCTTGCACTGGTCGACTTGCCTTGACTAATGAGACCGGTTTGGTTTCGCGTCGCCTGTGGGGATTGTCGTCAGCCAGTGCAACCCTTTGGACCCCCCTGGGCCCAACTCGATTCAGGACACCTTGTGAGTTGACTCTTCTGACTTCATTTGACTATGTTTTGACATTGTGATTGTTGTCAGCCAGTGCAACCCCCTCGGATACAGCTGTGCTCTAGTTTTGAGGCGCCTCAAAACTAGAGGTCACTGACTATGGCACCGAGTTCACTGCTGTGCTCTGCTCTGCTGCTCACACACACTGTCTCGCCCGTTCGCACATGTTTTGAGCCGAATAAACCATAACCCCTTGCCTTCTCAATCCCAATCTGCCTCCTCTCCTCTCTTCCCTTTGTTCTCTCCCTCCCCCCCAGCTACTCAGGCTACGGCACCACGGACAGTGCCAGCTTGGCTGTGCTGCTCGCACTGCAAGCCTTTCAAGTCAATTACCATTCCCCATCGCTCCCTCCCCTCTTCACTCCCCACCCCCCCCCCCCCCCCCCCCCCCCTTCTGCCGCCCCCCCCCTTCTGCCGCCCCCCCCCTTCTGCCGCCCCCCCCCTTCTGCCGCCCCCCACCTTCTGCCGCCCCCCACCTTCTGCCGCCCCCCACCTTCTGCCGCCCCCCCACAGCTTCTCAGGCTACGGGGCCACGGACGACGCCAGCTTTGCTGTGCTGCTCACAGCCAACCATGCGGGCGGATATTGGAACAGTGCTTTCTTTGTCAAGGTATGTGAAAAGAAATTTATGTTACAACATGGCAATCCTTTTTTTGTCTCATCATTTCTTTTCTTACCTTGCCCCATCATGCCCGATTCATCCCTCCTCCCCACCCCACCCTCTCACTCCCCACCCCACCCTCTCACTCCCCACCCCACCCTCTCACTCCCCACCCCACCCTCTCACTCCCCACCCCACCCTCTCACTCCCCACCCCACCCTCTCACTCCCCACCCCACCACAGGGCCTAACCTTTGGTTCTGGAACCAATAAGTTCTGGGCCACTCCCAACCCTGTAAGCAGGAAACTTCTTTTGTTTGTATTGTGAAAGTACCTTTTTAATGCATTCCTGATCAATACTTTTGTTTTTCATTTAGAAGTTTAATGAATGCATGGATACCAAATGTTGCAATGATTTGTTTTTTTTCTCCCCCTTTTGCTCTTTCCATACTTTTTCATATGCATCACAGCACCAAGCCTTTGGTTCCTGTACCTCACCTACGATTTTTTTTTTTTTTTTTAAATCTCTCCAAAACACTTTTTTCCCCGTTATAATCACAACCAGCCCGCCGGCACCCCTCCCAGGGGGGGTCTGGTGGCGCGCTTCTACGCCATCCGGGATCTCGACGGATCTCTCATCGGCCAATCAGGCTACGCCGTTGCCAACTACGATCCGATCCTGCCGCCCGCCGCCGTCCGGGCGGCAAAGTGCTCGTTGGACAGTGCGCAGAACGTGTATGCGTGCACGGATGTGTGCTACCGAGCGGTGGGGATCGGGTACCAGGAGTGGGGCGTGCGACCCAATGGCATGGCTGGGCTGCCAGCTTACGTGCTCCGACCGTACAGGTGAGAGGGGGGGAGAGTGAATGGGTGGGTGAGTAGGTGGGTGGGTGGGTGAGTGCGTGAGTGAGTGAGTGAGTGAGTGAGAGAGTGAGTGCTCATTGGACAGTGCGCAGAAGGTGTATGGGTGCACTGGCGTGTGCTATCGAGCGGTGGGGATCGGTAACATTGAATGGGGAGTGCGGTCAAACGGCATGGATGGACCTCCGGACGATGTGAGGTGCTGAGACCGTACAGGTAAGGGGATGTACGGGCAACGACAACCCTAACAACGGCCCGGCTGTACCAACCAAGAGGGTCCGCCGCTATCTCACTGCTTCCCTGCTCGCAAGATACACCTACAGCCTGCGCATTGTGCCGGCACCCACCAATTTCTCTCTTGCACACCCCACACCCTCGCTCCCTTCCCGTTCATGCTGAGCAGTTATGTGGTGGTGACGAGGGTAGACGATGGCGCGCAGTTCACGGACTACGGCACGGATAACGACAACCCTAACAACGGCCCGGCTCTACCAACCAAGAGAGTCCGTCGCTACCTCACTGCCTCGCTGCTCGCGGGATACACCTACCGCCTGCGCATCGTGCCCGCGCCCACCAACCCGCTGTTCTACCCCGAGGGGGTGTTTGTGCGATCGTACGACCAGGAGGGGTGTGCGGGGACAGTCACTATCGTGCTTGAGCCCAAGGACGCGAGCACCCAATGGGTCACGAGCATCCCCACCTTGTGAGTAAGGGAGAGAGTTTTGTCCCCGCGCCCACCAACCCGCTGTTCTACCCCGACAGGGTGTTTGTGCGGCCGTACAACCAGGAGGGGTGTGGGGGGGCGGTTACGCTGATGCTCTACCCCTGTCCTTTTCCCCCTCCCAGACCCTGCTCCAATCAGAACAGCAGCCTGGCCTACCAGCAGTACCAATGCATCAACAGGGAGGCCAAGCTAGCGATTCACATAGGGGAGAACAGCCATGGCAATCATGCCATTGTCAATGCCACCACTGTTGCCAGCCAGGCGTGCACAGAAGACACGTGAGTTCAGCCAATCCCCGAGGGAAAGGGGAGGGAGGGTGGAAGGGGGCGGGGGGGGGTGCACGTGCCTATGGGGGGGTGCACGTGCCTATGTTTCCTTTTTCATTGGTATACGCATTTGAGCTGTGCTCACCACTCCGCTTCCCACTTTTTCCTCAACGTCCCACGCGGAGTTCTAGGTTTAGTTGCTCAAAACCTGCCGACTCTTGTCCACGCGTCTCTCTAAACCTGCAACCACTCTTTCTCTTCCATTACCCCTCTGTACCCATTACTCTTTCCACAGGCCTTGTTCCACAACCACCACCACTACCACCACTCCCTCCTCTCCCCAAACCTCCCCCTACTCCTCTGATCCTCTCACTCCCATGTCCACCTCCCCTCTGCCTTTCGCCCCCACTCGCACAACGGCCGGCAACATCGACCCTTTCTATGACCCTGCGTTCTATGCTCCCTCGTGATTCTCGCCTTGGCAGCTTCCTCGATCAGGTTTCTACTAACACGTCTTTTCACAAAGCTCGGAACCATTCTTGGCAAGATCTGTTGATGCGATATTGTGAAATGGGCCAAGTCCGCACTGTTGGTAGAACTTGCTCAATAGATTTAGAATTACCCTTCAAATCGAACAGAAGGGTGGGATGTGGGACTAATGCCGAAAATAAATGTTACTGGATCAGCTAGTTGGTAATCTGTATATTAATTCTAGCCCACCTGCAAGCGCTTTTTGGTGTAAACATTTACACAACATGTCACCCTGAAACGAGTAGAGCTCATGTGCTGCATTCTGCTTTTACACGTGGTATTTTGGCCCGATACAGATTCCAGCACGGCATCTTGACGCTCCATGGGGTTGCGTCAAGAATGCCACGCTGGCTTTCTCTTTCATGGCTCGAATGCTCTTTCCCCGTGCAGCCCCCAGGTTCCATGCCCTTGGCTCCATATCCATACTTCCTTTTTGGCTGACGTGTCGAAGGCTGACTGATCGAGCCCAGCCAGACGCACCAGCGCTACCTTCCCCCAAGGCCTGCGTGGATTTTGAGGGGCTTTCAGCCTTCGCCCTTCAGCCATGGCGTCGGATGAGTTATACCCGTTCAATCATGAAATGAATAAATCCTGGCCGTCGTTTCGTGTTCCTCATGAACGGAGTCTAGACCCCCGTCCAACTTACCCATTTTAAAACTTGACGTACTACTTTTGCCGACTCGCCGTTTTAGGAACTCGATCAGGCGGTCGTTCTTCTGCAGCCCTTTCTTTGGCTTCAATAGTCCTGTCAGGTCCTTTTTAACCAGGGCTGATCTAGCCATAGAAAATGGCTCTCCTTGTTCGCGCTTCCGCGATGGCCGTCGCAGAGCTCGCAGTCGCCACGCGACTATCAGCGACGTCGCCTTGCGAAAGCTTGTCTAGCGTCGCCTCCTTCGCGCCGACTCGCTGGGTTGCCGCCACTTCCGCCGCGCGGCAACCACAAACGAGCCGTGCCACCCGATTGGTCGTCCGTGCAGAGACCCAGAGCAAGGGCTTGACCCGAGAGGGAGTGCTCCAGGTACTTTTCCTATATGCTGAATGCTGCAGTTTGATAAAATTGTAGTTTTGAGACTTCTCAAAATTACAATTTTATCACAAGCCGGGCCACGCGATTGGTCGTCCGTGCAGAGATTCAGGTCAAAGGCTTGACCCGCAAGGGAGTGCTCCAGGTTCTTTATTTTTTAACCTGGCCAATGCAGCGGTTTTGAGACGCCTCTAAACTAGGGATTGCTCCTGTTTCTTTTCTTCAACGCTAAACGCGACGGCTTTAGTTTTCGCCTACTTGTGGTTCGTTTCGGCGATGTAGCGAGCTGGCTTCACGGCGTTGCATTGATTATGATTTACTTTGGTCTCGGTAGTTTATGGGTGGTCAGATAGTCCCTGCATTGTTCTGAGTCAGCTCTGAACACAACGGGTGGTTACTCACTCACTTATCGTAAGTGGTTCCAATTTGGATTGGGCGAATGCTACACTGCGAGTTCACGGCGGTTATTGCAAATTATCACTGTGCATTTCCGATCGTCCTCCACAAGAAGCAGTGTGTCAGGCGGGACCCTGTAGGAGTCTCTACTAACAAATGCGGCACATTCAGTCCGTGTTTCTCTCACGTATATTTCATTACAACTGAGGGGAGCTCCATACTAGAATACCTTGTCCGTTGGTTTAGGACTAGAGTGGGGAGGTGAAAGGAGGTGGTGGATACGGAGAGCCATGGTTTGAGATACGGAGAAAGGGGGAGTTGGAGGGGAAGGGGTAAGGCCCCTCGTTGGACTCGCTACGGATGAGTTCCTCCATGAGCTGTTCAGGGAACCCTAATTTGAACCCTAACCGCCAACCGCCTTGCGGTCGCTTTCTCTGCCTCATCAGTTTCCCAGGCGAGTGTGCTTGTTCTAGAACAAATGCTTGGGCGGCAAGATGCTCTCTCTTTCCTTCGTTTCATGCCTCCCTTCCTTCACCAACGGGTGAGCTCCGAAATCACCATGTGCATCTACGTGGGTACGTTGCCTGAGTCCGCATACGGTGAAGATGGATCAGACGCAGGCTGACGATAATTCTCGCTCCACGCACTCACACCCCACCCTCCCCCTCCCACCCTCCCTCTTCCGCTCCTTCTTAAATCCACCAGAGTGGCAGATGGATGAGCTTCAACGTCCTCCACATGCGTATCCATGTGTCTACCAACAAACGAAGGACACGGGCCGGACTCAGACTTTTTTTTCCTGCTTTTGTCATCCCCCCTCCTCCTCTCTTCACCAGGATGGCAGATGGCTGAGCGCATCACGTGGGGTACATCAACCCACAAACGAAGGGGAAGGACCGGACTCACAATTCCTGGTTCTGATTTTTCCATTCACCCCCTCCTGTCGTCACCAGGGTGGCAGATGGCTGAGCTCCAACACCCGTCACGTGCGAATCTACGTGGGGTACATTGACCCGGAGACCATGGAGATGGACCAGACGCAGTCAGACAAGCTGTCGCTGATGCTGGATACGGACAATGAGTTCCTGTGGACGCCCGAGACGGAGAAGAAGGTGTATGACAAGTTCACAGAGCTCGTGGATGCCTATGCGGTGAGTGGGTGTGGGAAGGGGCGATGATGGCTGGTCCCAGGCAGACAAGCTGTCGCTGATGCTGGATACGGACAATGAGTTCCTGTGGACGCCTGAGACGGAGAAGAAGGTGTATGACAAGTTCACAGAGCTCGTGGAAGTCTATGCGGTGAGTGCGCTTGGAAGGGTATGTTAATGAGGTGGGGATTGTCGATGCTGCTGGATAAGGACAAAAGGTTCCTGTGGGCAGGAAAGTGGAGAAGAAGGTGTATGACAAGTTCACAGAGCTCGTGGAAGGCTATGCGGTGAGTGGGTGGGAAGAGGGGGTGGTGCTGAGATACCGAGAGCTGTCACTGCTGCTGGACAGATACTTAGTTTGTGTGGACAGGGGAAATGAATTCACAGAGCATGTGAAGGCTATGTGATGAGTCAGTATGTGGCTTTTATGAAAAACGTTGACATGCGTTTAGGGCAGTGAACAGTGGGTGGCACTAGATTTTGGAACAATTACGAGGCTGAATATTACTGTTTAGTTTGCTTGTTGCAAATCCCTAGTCAGAGCAATCCGTTTTCCCCACTCGCAGGGTGCTGAGATGTCAGAGTACACACTTCGTCTGATTGGCTCTGACTTGGAGCACTTCATTCGCAGTCTGCTGTTGGCTGGAGAGATCTCGTACAACTTGGATTGCCGGGTGCTCAACTTCAGCATGGGCAAGCCACGCATGCCTGATCCTTCTGCTAAGTGAGGCCAAGGCCATGGTCTCACGTCAGAACACCATCTTCCATGACAAACTTGATTCTACACTGAATGAGTCCTTGCTCCGATTCAGATGAAGACGTTTTTGCATTCTTGTGGGCTGTCGGACTACTTTTTTGACAGTAGCTATGTGTGCACAATTACCGTAAGTACTAAGTACATATAATCAATAGATTTGTTTAGAGAAGGGTTTATGCAGGTGCACTTGAAACACACCCAGCATACTGGTGCAGAAAGTTATTACTGTAAGAGACTCGGTTGAAACATTATCGAGTATTAAGGTACAGTTGCGTTTTGCACATTACTGTACTGTATTAGTCCTTCGCAAACTCGATAACGACAAACTGACTGCTGTGCCGAACAGCTGGCCTCACACGTCCCGTCCCCGACATGCGTTTCCTCACAAGAAGATGGGGTGTGGTGCGTGGCAAATAGGGTCGTCCTCGTCAGCCTTGGCGTGAGCGCCAACCTCCTTTTGATCGCGAGGCAACCAAATAACCTTTTGCATTGCTTTCACATTGGCCAACGTAGGCACATGCCTCGTGTATAAATGCCAGCATGGACGCATGATCACAGCTGATTCGTCTATCTGGATTGCGCCACGGCAACAAGCCTTCCTTCCCCTTGCGCCGTCCCCCTTACGCACTCCCGAACCGAAGGTCTCATATCCACCCTCCCTCCCCAACCACCACCCCATTCTTTCCCAAGTTTATTTGTCCCCTCAACTCAAATCTGCCAGCAAATGCACGCGCAATTCTGGGAAGATTTCCGCGCGATTACCGCGTCAGTCAAGTTGACGATTCCGAAACCAAGACCGTCAACCACCATGCCGCCAACTTCCTCACAACCCTATTTCGCACATGCGGGTCCATTTCTCCTCCACCCCGAACATCCCTTGACCTCCTTCAACCAATCATAGCCATCTTCACACCAATCTTTTCCACCTAGCCTAACCGTTTCTTTCCGTTCCCTTGCCTTCCCCTGAACCATCCCCACCTTTGCTTCTGTTCCCCAGCCTCATCCCGGTCCCCCCAGCTGTCGGTTTCCCTTCCGCCACTCCATCCCAGATACTGAACCCCCCAAACCCAATCCACCACAGTCCGGCAGCTGCGCCAATCTCGCAAAATCCCCTTCCCTTCCGCCTTTGCGTTGCGCTTGCACACTCTAGAAGCATCCCCCATCCGCCTACGGTTTCTTTGCACTATTGAGGCGCCATGGACGCTATTTAGGTTCGCCTCATCCATTTTATGATTCTGTCAGCACTACACAGTCCTCATCGTTGGTTTGACACCAGTCCTACTCTTTTTCTTCGACTGGCTGCAACCCTAACGCTCCTCATCTTGCGTGACTGCGGTGTATCGGCTCTGGTGACTGATACAGGTCCCTTCATATTTCTTGAATAGGAACTTATCATGTTCTCACAACCGTCCACACTCCCCAGTCACGTCGCTTTGGGCATTGCCGCTGCTAAGGAGCGTCCGTCTTCCGTCCGAATTGACCACCATCACGGAGCGGATTTGCTGGGATCAAGCCATCTCAGTTCCGCCGCTCACGCCGGTGATGATTTGACGGAGGACGACGTCTGGTCAGTCAACGACACTGACAGCCTGTCAACTGACGGAATCGTCAAGGTCCCGTCTCACGACCAGATTCTACCGTCAATTCGCCTGACAAACCGAACTCGGTTGGAACCACTCTCAGCTTCATCATCCAGCCGGTTCTCCAGTCAAGCGCATGGGTTAGCTGTCCTGTCTTCGGATACCCTAACCGCAGGACAGATACCTGTTGGCGGGGATATTGTCAAGCCAAGCGCGTTGGCTCCGGTGGTCATTCCGTCGATCCAAACCCATCTGGACCACTTTAATTCGAGGCATTCTCAAGGTCATCACCGTGCATCCGCTCCAGTCAACGTTCCAGACTGGAGTAAAATAACAGGAACCGCTAGCCGGCGACCTCGCCGGCCGTTCGACGAACATGACGAAGACGCGGATAACATCATGGTTCCCCCACACGAGATGATCGCGAAGGACACGTCATCATCCATGTGCTTCTCAGTCCACGAGGGTCTTGGCGGAACGCTGAGAGGAAGGGACCTGGATAGGCTGCGAACGGCTATTCTTCAAAAGACGGGTTTTTATGAATAACCGTCTCTATACTACGTCCAAGCAAACCGGCGCGACTCCATGGCGATGCTTGACATTTTTATATCACAACGCATTTTTCCTACTTAAAGCTGGGAGATTGATCACCAGCAAAACCCGTCTGAGGACCTCTGGTTAAAGGCTTATTGACGGCTGTATCTTTGGTCTTTAATACCGAGATTGAGCTGTAGAGCAGATCTGCTTTGCTGTGTTTTTCAGTGTTGCTGTATGAGTATCCTGATGTTCTATGGAACCTACCATAAGAGATCTACCGTATACAATTTGACATGTGATCTGTTTTTTTTATGCAGTACAACAAATCTAGCTGCGTGGACAGCAGATGGATGGAAATGGAGCTCTGCTTTCTTCAGCTCAGATAGACATGGCAACGCTGCCAGATTGCCTTCCAGCGTTATGGTTCTACCGTACATCACTCATATTTTTCCCAACCCTAATCCTTTGCAAAGCCTGTCAAGACTTCACAATAGAGCCCATCAGGGATTTAAATTGAAACAGATCATGTATTATTTTCCATGCCAACACTAATACGGCTTATTCCCCACCACCCTTACTGTTGCTTCTGGTTACCACCAATCACAGATACCTGCTCCACTCGTCCCCATCTTATCCACAATGAAGACCCATTAGCTCCTCCCCCCTCTCCAGATGCTCCCAGGAAAACGCAGGTGGATCTTACCCAACCGGCTCACACTTGCTGCTTCAACGCCCCAGAACCGCTATGTACTATGTGCCTCAACAGCTTGTTGAGGCGCGTCACAGATAGGACACTGCTTCTCAGAGAAAAGCCGGAGCTAGAGCCAGTCTTCAGGCACCTTAAGAATTGTATGTACTATGCCCCTCAACAGCTTGTTGCCGCGCCTCAAAAAACACCATTTTCCTAAAAACAGCCCTTGAATATCCTTATGTGAAATCCTCTCAAATCCTTCTTTTAATGCTCCATTCTCAACTGGAATCTCATTATCATAGCACCGTGTGGGGGTCGTCTGCTCCTCCCGCGTAGAAGCTCGGATCAAAGAACGGGTCGGTGGAGGAAAAGGCCGACTCGCTGTCAGCGAGAGGCGCTATGGAGAGGGGCGGCAGAGCAGCAGAAGTGATGGTAGAGCAACCACTGTGGATTGGGTGGGATGGATGGGGGTAGTGGGGAGGAAGGGGAAGGGGTGGGGGGTTAAAGAGAGAGACAATGAAGCTCGGATCAAAGAACGGGTCGGCAGAGGAAAAGGCCGACTCGCTGTCAGCGAGAGGCGCAATGGAGAGGGGCGGCAGAGCTGCAGAAGTGATGGTAAAGCAACCATTGTGGATTGGGGGAGATGGGAGACAACGAAGAAAGCAAGGGAGGAAGGTGGGGTGCTTGTCACATCACATGTACCTATCAGATGCACATCTCACATCACAAGCACGAATCAAATGCACCTTATCAGTTATACTCACGAGTCTGACGAGCAAGCAGTGCCGACGCCTTCATTCAACTCCATCACAACCGCTGCTTTGCCGCTGCTGCTCGCCCCAACATCCAGCCGCAGTCTCGACTTCCCCGCCCCACACGCGTACTCCTTATAAACCTTCGTCTCGTTAACATCTGCGCATGGCACTGTAGGCACGTTTGCCCGCCACTTGCTGCTCAAATCCGGCGAGTCTATAACCACATGAACGCCCCCAGAGCAGCCCTGCCAGTCAAACACGTTCAGCTGCATTTTACTCGGGTAAAAGTCGCTGTTGGTGTCAGCGGCAATAATCTGTATCCGGTAAGTGTACCCAGCTAGAAGCGACGCGGTTAAGTAGCGCCTTTTTTTCGTGCTGGAGGCAGGCTTGTCGTTCGGGTCATCGTTATCAGTTCCGTACGCGTGAACGAAAGTACCGTCGTCCATTCGAGTGATTTTCAGGGAGGAGAACAACCGGTAGGAGTTGGCTCTGGCCCCGTACTCATCATACTCCAGCCCGATTGATCGGTAGCAGACGGAGGTGCAGGAATAGGCCGAAAATGCGCTCTTGAAGTCGCACTTTGCCGCCCGGACGGCGGCGGGCGGCAGGATCGGGTCGTAGTTGGCAACGGCGTAGCCTGATTGGCCGAGGAGGGAGCCGTCGAGATCGCGGATGGCGTAGAAGCGCGCCAGCAGACCCCCCCGGGGCGGAGTGCCAGAGGACTGGGAGAAAGTAAAACAGGAAAATAAAGAAGAAGAAAAAAGGTGATGAATTAAAGAAGAAGAAGAAGAAGAAGAAGAAGAAAAGAAAAGAAAGAAAATAAAAAAACACGACAATAACAACAACTTTATAAGAGTTTAGGGTAAAAGAAACCGAAATCATAACCAGAACAAACCGCATCAAACACTACAATGCCAGGTTTATCAGGACTCACTGGATTCGGTGTGGCCCAGAACTTGTTGGTGCCTGAAGTTAAGGAAAGGCCCTGTGTGAATGGGAGATTTGGAGTGAACGAGGGACAGCAATGAAAAGACATGATGCTGCGAATTGCTTCCATGTTGACCGTTAAGTCGACTCGAAAGCACCCCCCCCTCCCCCCTCCTCTGCCCTTCCCCCCCCCCCCCCCCCCCCCCCCTCCCCCCCCCCAAAAAAAAAAAACAGGAACGAATAAGACACAACACAAGCAGGAAGGGAATCTCAAGTTCAATAATACCAGAGATTAGATTGTGAAGGCTAAACAGCCTCACTGCCTAAAGCAGAATAAAAGCCGAACAGTCTCACTGTCTCACTGTTTAAATTAAAGCATAACAAATGCACAACAGTACCAATGCTCACAAACAGCCGCCTCTAAATGAACGTGACTGTAACGAGCAGTACCTTAACGAACATGGCAGTGTTCCAGTATCCGCCCGCCCTATTGGCCACAAGAGCGATCCCAAAGCTGCTGCTGCTGCACGTGCCAAAGCGGTGGAAGCTGGGGAAGGGGGGATGGGCAAGGAGGGGAAAAGGAGGGAGGGAGGGAGTAAAGGAGGGAGAAAAGGAGGGAGGGAGGGAGTAAAGGAGGGAGATAAGGAGGGAGGGAGGGAAATGAATATTATAGAGTTGCAGCTGCTGCATGTGCAGTGGAAGTTGGACAAGGGAGGGACGGGGGGCCAAGGGGGAGAGGGAGGGGAGGGAGACAAAGAATTGGCGAACCTAACTGGAACCGTAGCACACTACAACGAGTACTGCAGCTCCTAACAACAAGTACAGACAAACTCACGAGCTGTCTTGGATGGAGTTGGGGTACAGGTGGTCCTGCGGGTTGCTCTGATTCAGCACGATGCCAGGCTTGTGCTATAACGAGCAATGCAGTACCCTATAACGAGTACGGACGAACTCACGAGCTGTCTTGGATAGAGTTGGGGTAGAGGTGGTCCTGCGGGTTGCTCTGACTCAGCACGATGCCAATCGGGGCAGAAAACGACCCTGCTTGATCCTGCAGCGATGGCCCCATGGGCTCTGCTGTTCCAGCGCCTATAAAAGCCTTGCTGCTGCTGCTGCTGCTGGTGCTTTTGCTGCCGCTGCTGCCGTCCGTGCTGCTGCCATCATCAGCATACGGGTCGAGAGGTCCCAGAGACGCTTCCAGAGTGAAGGGTTGCCAAAGAGTGGTGGGACCTTGGGGAATGGAGCCGTCTGGGGGGTTGGAAGGAGCAGCAGCACCATCACCATCACCATCACCATCACCATCACCATCACCATCACCATCACCACCTGTGCTGTCATTGCCAGGTAGGGTGGAATAATCTGGAGCGTTTGGAGGGGTGGTAGCAGCGGTGTCGTTGCCGGGAAGGGGCTCGGGTGATGGGGTGGAATTATCAGGGGCAGCTGCGCTGTTGTCGGGGATGGTCCCATTTGATGGGATGGAGGCATCTGAACCGTTGGATGTGTCCTGGGTAGTGGTGATGGTGGTGGTGGTGGTAGTGGTGGTGGTGGTGGCAAGGGCTGTGGTTGTGACCGCATTGGAGGACCTAAAGGGGACGGGAGATGAGGAGAAGAGGGGACGCGTGATCTACAGAGTGGCAAATGCAGTAGCTGGCGATTTTTCAGAATGCTTGGATGTACGAAGGAGGAACAGTCAATCTTTTGTTCTCTTCTTTTTTTTCCCTTCCTTTCTTTGTACAGAAGAAAGACGAAGTCATGGGCAGCCAGATTGACGGGCAGGAGGAGAGGAGGATCGGTCACTCACGGGCAGGAGTCGGAAGTTCGGCCGATGAAGCGGCAGCCCTTGGCTTGAACACCGGCATTGCAGCTCAAGTCGATGCCGATGCCATTGTCCAGAAACACCCCGTTCTCCACTATCAGTCGCTCGCTGTTGAAAAAGAACATTCTGTGGTGGGGAGAAGAGGGGAGGCGATGTGAGGGACAGGGAGAGGGGAGGCGATGTGAGGGACAGGGAGAGGGGAGGCGATGTGAGGGACAGGGAGAGGGGAGGCGATGTGAGGGAAGGAGATAAGTAAATTTTAGCGGAAGAAACACACTGTTCTCAACTATCAGTCGTTTGCTGTTGAAAAAGAAGATGCTGCACAAAGAGAGAAGACAGGGGAGAGGGGAGGGGAATACGTAACTTTCAGCAGATGAAACACCCCGTTCTCCACTATCAGTCGTTTGCTGTTGAAAGAGAACATTCTGTGGCGGGTGGGAGGGGAGGAGAGGGGAGGGTAGGTGCAGGGAGGGGAAGGGGAAACGGGGATAAGGAAGTTTCAGCGGATGAAACACCCTGCTCGCTGTTGAAAAAGAACATTCTGTGGCGGGAAGGGGAGGGGAGAGAGAGGGAGGGGCACAAGAAAGTGAAACCACACTCGAATCACACTCGAGATTGCTTGCGGCAAGAATAAAACAAAGAAGGGGAGTCGGGAGGATGGGGTAAGGGGGGGGGTTGGGGGAATGGGAGGGAGAGGGGGGGGGAGAGATCCCAGGGAGTATGCCTACAGCTGACTCACCCTGCCTTGTTGCGGTAAACGAGGAAGTTCTTAAGGGAGACGCGGGGATTCTTGGTGGGAGACGGGTAGTGCGGCCGGGACCCATGGGGATAGGTGCGGAAGCCAAAGAGGGCGTTGGAGTGAGCTTGGTTGCCGTCCCACGTGCCCCAGTTGTAATAGAAGGGCACTGTTGACCCGATGTCTGGTAGAAGCTTGGACAGACCCCGCATGTATGGGTTGGCCTCTAGCCAGAATCTGATGGGAGATCCAAGAGGGAGGAGGGGAGTGGAGGGGAGGTGGGGAGTAAGCACTAAGAGGACCGTTGACCTGATATCTGGTAGCAGCTTGGACAGACCTCGCAAGCATGGATTGGCCTCCAGCCAGAACCTGATAAGAGAACGCATGCACAGACGCACACGCATGGACGGACGCACAGAGACACACGCACGCACGCACGCACGCACGCACGCATGCACGCACGCACGCACGCACGCACGCACGCACGCACGCACGCACGCACGCACGCACGCACGCACGCATGCACGCATGCAACAACCCACACACCCACCCCCCGAACACACACACACACACACACACGCACGCACGCACGCACGCACGCACGCACGCACGCACGCACGCACGCACGCACGCACACACACACACGCGCGCGCGCGCGCGCACACACACACACAATGGAGAGGGGTAAGGGGAACGGAGGGGGAAGGGAAGCGGAAATAGGTAATGGAAGCGGAGAGGGGGGAGGGGAAGGGAGAGGAGGAAAGGGGAGCGGAGAGAGGGAAGGGGGAACAGAAAGGGGATCGGAGAGGTGCAGCTGAGAGGAGGGAGGGGAAGGGAGAGGGGGGACGGGAAAAGAGAGGAGGCTGAAGGGTGTGGCAAGCTGGAAAGTGGGAAGAGGGGCAGTAGACAGGGAGCGGGCAGCAAAGAGGGGGAGGGGAGGGGAGGGGAGGGGGAGGGGGAGGGAGGGGAACAGGAGGGGAGCGGAGGGGAACGGGAGGGGGAGGGGAGGGAAATGGGAGGGGGAAGGGAGGGGTTGGGAGGGATTGGGGAGGGGTTGAGAAGGGAAGGGAAGAAGAGGAGGGGGGAGGCTCACCCGGAATCTTCAGAGCCGGCGGCAACATTGTCAATGAAGCTGCTGAAGGGCGTCGCAAGCCAAAAAGTTGTCGGCTGCTTGTCGGTTTGCAAATCCAGCCGGCTGGAAGTTAACGGGGGGATGACTTGGGTGACTTTCCGCGCGTTGATCCCAAGGTTTCGCCGGAACACATTTCGCATTTCCGACCCCTCCTCCAGCAGGTAGCAGTGGCCCTTCGTTTCGTACGAAACGTTCTCCTCAATCGTCATATTACCCGTCGCGTGAATCACCATGCATCGCTGCTTCGTGAAAACGATCGCGTTTTTCCGCACCACGTGGTTCGCGCCCTTTTGCCCGCACACGTGGAAATGCAAAGGGTATTTACCCAACACGCCCTGGTTTCCGAGAGCTCGAAACTGAACTCCCACGATTTTTTGCGCTGTAGGCGTCATATAAACCATGAAGTTGCCACCTGCGGGAAAGGGAATTAGGCAGTGGAAAAAGGAAAAGGAAGCGTATTGTCAGAGACAGTTACAGAGCACTAGCGATTTTTTATGCTGTCGGCGCCATGTAAACTAAGAGGTTACCACCTGCGGAAAGCAAACCAGACGGTGGAAACAGGAAGCAAGACGCAATACTGTAAAGGTATTAGGAGTTGGTAACACGGAGTTAGCAATTAGCGCAATGGGAGCGACACGAGATATAGACTTCTCTCACCATCGTATTGATATGGTGTGGGCTCATCACTCCCCGTGATCACGATCTGCCGATCCAACAGTGCAACCTCTCCGTAAATCCCCACCGTCCCTCCCACCCCGTCCGAAATCTTCTCGCCGTCGTGCCGCTTCTTAAGCGCCGTCTTTAGATTAATTTTGTACCGTCCGTCGCTCTTTCCCGGTCCTGACGCGGGCGTGACGACGGACACAGATGAGATGACGTGGTGTTCCGCGTCGTTGAGATCTGCTGACGTGGACGCCAGCGCGATCGTCATCCCTGGCGCCCAGCGCGTCACATCGGCATTGACGTAGATCGCCCGCTCGCCCGCGTTGGCCGTTTCGGTGAGGCGCACCCACGACGGCGTGTTGCCGCCGCCCGGCATGCCGTACAGTGCCACCTGCCCGCCCACCTGCGCGGATCCGAAGGGAGCCCGAGGGGGGGGGGGGGGGGGGGTGTAGGAGAGAGGGAGAGGAGGGGAGAATGCGGGGGTTGAGAGGGAGGGGGAGCTAAAAGGGCGAAAAGAATGGGGGCGCGGAGAAGCATAACTGAAAGGACAAACAACAAACGGCCTGCGATGATCTGCCGGGTACTTGAGCCGGTATTGCGAGCCGACTCGGTAACCATCCCGTTACTGTCACATTCGCGCCACTACCACTGCCTCTACTGTCACCACTCACCACGGCGAACATATAGTGTCCCAGATCTCGGGGATTTTTGCGATTTGCATGATTCTAAAAATGAAGGCTGTACGGCTTGCTAGTTGACTCTGCAGTCATCTCGTTAGAGTCACATTCGCGCTACTACGTCGGCCTCTGCTATCACCTCTCACCACGGCGAACGTCTTGTGGCCCAGATCTCGGGGGTTGTTGGGATCCGACGGCTTGTAGAACTGCAGGACGTACGACGCGCGCCGCTCCTTGAAGTTCTGGAAGAGCGTGAACGTGAGGCGGTTCGAGAAGTGCTTATCCGGCTCGCCCGCCGTCAGCCCCCGAACACCATAATGTACGCCGCGCGCACGTGGATCTTCGGGAGAGACGGGTTATCGGCTATCCTGCGAGAGATGATGCGGGGAGAGTGGACGAGACATGGGTGCGCAAATGCGCGGCATGTGGTTAGCCCGCCGCGCGTCGCTTCCCATTCCGCGCTCGCCGTTCCTCGCTTGCCGTTCGGCATGCCTACCGTCAGGCGCCCGAACACGAGAGATGAGGGGGGAGAGACGAGGGACGAGATTCCATCGAATGTGGAACTTTCCCGCGCTTATATCGGGGACATTCAGCGGGACAGTTTTGAGATGTCTCAAAGGTGGATAACTCACTTCAGCCAGCCTCTGATTCTCAGCTTTCCGACGCTTATATCGGGTAGATCCAGCAGCACAGCCTTTCCGCACGGAATCATTACGTCAGCCCATCTGCGCGCCCCGGTACCCGGGACACCGCGAACCTTCGTGGAAGCGCCCCACGTCCTCCAGTCGCTCCACCGCTTAAAGCCCTCCGCAGGCGGCTCGGTCATGATCTTTCCGCACGCGGGCCTGTACGCGTCAGTGACTTTAAACGCCGAGCCCCGGGTCGGGGACACGTGGCAGCATGCGAGGAGGAAGATGAGCGCCGACGCGGCGAGGAAGCGCGAGACACCCATTACTATCAGAGCTTGAAGCCTCGGAGCGTTACGACCACTGCGGCTTCCTGGGAAAGTCTCGGAGATTAATCGACTGAGCCCAGCAGTACTATGTACAGGCGGTTAACGGATGGTCAACGGTTCTCCTAGTAAGCAAGCCAATGTCGTTCGCTAAGCCGAAAAAGCAGCAGAGACGGGGGGTTGTCAAGAATGCCGTGAGGGAGCACGATACTCAGTAATTTCGTACGCGGAGGCGAGAGTTAACTTATGATAGCGCGAGTAGCGTGTGTCGTGTCGACTGATACTCGGATAGCTTGGGAGATACGCTAAAGCACACGGCGCGGGGTTCATACGTGCAACGGGGCTCGCTGAATGCTATTCGCAGCGGTTGTTGACGATTTGCCGCTCGGCGCTCGCTACGGTTCGGAACCGCCGCCTTTCCGTTCGTCCGTACACGAACCTGTAAACCGAAGCGCGGCACTGGTTCGCTGTAGGGGTGGAGCTGCTGCGGTAGTGATGTTGTTTCTATCAGGGTAGTAGTGGTATGATCGCCATGGCTGGCAGGCAAGGTCATCGCCATTGCCTTTGTCATCAGCATCGTCGTCGCTATCCCCTCACCCATCAGGCTTCGCCTCGCGGGGCTATCGCCGTCGCCATTGTCATTGTCGTCGCATAGCCATCGCCATCATCACCATCGTCGCCGCCATCCCTACGGCGCTGCAACTTGGCAGCTGGACTCACCCCGAATGGCGGCTCGGATTTCTGAAGAACCTGCATCCGAGCCGGAGAGCACCCATCCGTCCGTCCATCCGCGCACAATTTGCAGTTTCTTCTATCGCGGTGGATGTACAGAAGTTGCGTCGTTGCTCCAGTCCAGGGTCGAGGTCGAGGTGGGTGGGAGCGACTGGCGTCGCACGGCAGAATGGTTGGCGTGGCATCGCAGGGCTTACGTGGAATCGCGTGGCTTGTTCGAGTCCCCACGCGTTGGCTGGGTGGGCTGGATTTTCGTCTACGTACAGTACTCCACACGACATCAAACATGACGCTGCTGACCGTACAGATGTGTCTCCTACGCTGCTGACTGTACAGTCGGGTCGGGATCGGGCGAGCAGGTGCGGCTCGAAAGAGGCACAACTTGTACTGTAGTTTCATTGGACAACAGCGCAGCAAATGCGACTGGGCGAACAGAAGAACCAAGGGGGAAAGGAAGGAGGGATACGATACCAATGATAGGACAGTGCTGGGATACAGTAGCCGGGGAAAGAGGGGGATACAGCAGGAGGGATACAGGAGGGAGGATACAGGACAGGAGGAAGGGAGGGAGGGATACTCGGTACAATACTGTAGGCGATACAAGGGGGAGAGAACAAGGAACACACACAGAAGACGGGAAGCCACAGGAATGTTAGAACGATGGTACACTGACAAATGGGTGCTCTGACATATAAAACGGGATAACGAAGTCCATATTGGATGAACCACAAAGACAAAGTGGGCAAAGCAGTCTTACATTACTTTTACGCAAATAAATTACTGTTTTCACACTCAAGCAAGTTCCTCCAATGGTGGTGTTGTAATCGGTTATGTTAACATTGGCTAAGCTTGTTATGCACAAATGCAACATGTTTCACTCCTTTTGGGTAAGTTTTCTCCATTTAATATGGGTGTAATACATCGCTATCGCAGTGTGCACAAAAGTTTGCATATTGGGGCATGGATAGATGATTGCGTTTATTATTGTGATGGTTGTTGCGTTTTTTATGTAATGTCGAGAGCGTTTATCAAAGGCGTAATGGTCCGTGCTGGACAGATACGTGTTTGCACTTTTTTATTTCAGGTGTTGGCGGCAGTGGTGAACCGCCAACTTACTTCTCAAGTCGCTCACCAATGGGGAGAGGGGATAGCGCCGACGCATGAAATGTATCTGTACAACAGTGGTAGGAAGGTCCGTCGCATGGTACTGTACTGTCGCCTCGACGGGTTTGTAGAAAACTTTTGAGGGCGGCTAGCTACCCCCTGAACAAAACTGCCCATGAGTTGCAAACTCCCCTGAACTGAACTGTATGTTTTCATGTGGACGAGCACGAGTGGGTTGGTGCGCCTGATACGAGGAGGAATGATTTACAGTTGCAATAGCACCCAACAGTTGGGCAATGTCACCTGCCCGTCGGTGAAGGACGAGCCGAATCGCGCACCAGAACATTCGTCTCGCGGCTCCGTTTGTTGACGGAAACCGATTTCGCCGCCCACGATCCGTGTGCGACACATCTTGTCGGCAGAGTTCACCGCACATCGATGAAATCATCGTTCACCAATCGTGGCCTTTGATTGAGCGCAATGGTAGGTCGTTGATCATCGCAATGTCGCGCACGCTTCACCGCTGTAAACTCGCCAGCAAGTCAGCTTGCAGCCTGCTCCATCCGTACCTGGTCAGACGCGTTGCGTCGCACATACATCACCCCCCTCACCAAGCCCCAAATTCCGTCCTTTCCCCCATACCCTGACCAATCTCCACCCATCCACAGCTTCCAGTCGTGCAACCATGGTTACAACTCACCCCTAGCGACGTCGCCAACCATCGTTCATCCACCGCGTTCTCGTCTCTTTTGTCCTCACAATCACAACGGGCCTCCACCTTGTCGCCTGTACGACCAAACCCTCGTTCTTCCCTACACCTCCCGTACCTCCTCCTATCCCCATCTCTCCTCTGTGCGACTAGCGTTCACCGCAAATCACTCCACCCCACTGCCTCCTTTCTCGCCTCGCCATCGTTTCTTGAATCACTTCAATTGCGATGAGAGACTCGCCAGTTCCGTCCTGCCATCCTCAATCAGGCGCTGTCGGTGGACTGTAACCATCTCTCATTTCTCCTCTCCACGATCACCCCGACCCGACACATCAAGTCACCGCCCATTTACTTGACCCGCACTCGTCGGTCGACAATACCTACTACCCACACGCTTCAACTGTACAGTCCATCCCTACTCTCGCCATCCTAAATTCCACGTTCTTGCGTTGCCGACGCAAAGGTCCCTAACCATCCACTCACACATTACAAAAGCAATGCATCGGCTTGTCCTGCGATGTCATCGGAAATCCATCTGTGTTAACGACCGTTGACGAGAAGTCTATTAGTGCGCAGAGCAAACCCTCAGTTTGCTTGGAGCTCATATTTTCATTATACATCAGAATCCCCAAGTCGTCTTTCTTAGCCTCCATCGGCTGTCATCTCGTCCGCTTGCTCCCTTCGAACCGTGGGTCGTGTCCTGACCAATACTGCTTCGCTTCGAGGTTCTCAGTTGTCTACATACTATTAAGACCCACGTATCATCTCAGTACTATCACTTGACAGTACCAGCGGTACCAATACTCTCCCACCCACGACGCGCAATAAGCATTCCCGTCGTTACCTTCCACTTCGCTACCACAACCATTTCATTCCTCCGTTACAGTCGCTGTTCCTATCACTACCATTCCAGTCCCCAACCGTTCCAGTCGCTACCATATGCAAGCGCTACCGTTCCACTCACTAACGTCATAGTCATCACCGTTCCGCTCACCACCTATCCATTCACTACTGCTACGCGCGATCCCGTGCTTTTCAAAGGCATGGGGCGACCAACTGACCGTTTCACCAAGACTGGAGTCGCGCATCTACCGCACGCTTGCCGTTGATCCACGTGGATACCACGAAGCTTTAAATCGACCAGATTTTGTCGTCAGGAATCGCCATGTCGGCCATACTACCCTTTTCGCGTAGTTCCGGTGTTCCTGCTAGACCGCATGTCGCCCCTAAACTATCTCCTTTCCTCGTCGCGACGCTTATCGCCCTCGTCGCAAGCTTCCACGTGTCGTCAGTTCGCGCCGCAGCTTTCCGAGCCACAGACGCGTACAGCCCCGCGTGCGGAACGCTTATGACTGAGCCGCCTGCCGGCGGCTTTAAACGCTGGAGCGACTGGAGAACGTGGGGAAGTAAAGCGCGCATCTTAGGCGTGCCGGGTCGCGGGCTGCAGCGATGGGCTGACGTCACGATTCCATGTGGCGTTGCCGTCCTCCTGGATATACCCAATATAAGCGTGCGACGGCTGCGCGTCAAGGGGTGGCTAAAGTGAGTAAGGGACTGGGGTACAGGTTAGGGTTAGCATTAGCGATTGGTATTTTACTGTATTTCGCTTCTGGCGCTTCGACGCTTCCGTTTCCCCAGGCTTCACTTATTCGCGTTGATCACTCTCTTCCCGTTGGTCTTTCCGGCTTTTCACCCTCTGCCCGCTCGCTTCCCCCTCAACTCCCACCCCCGCCTTCCCCCTTTCCCCTCTCCCTCAACCCCACCCTTCCCCGCTCCCTTCTCCCCCACTTCTAAGGGTTCTCAACTCCCTGAAAAGTCTCTGTAATGCGCGCGCGTTCGACCTACGTCATGGTGTTTGGGCGGCTGACGGCGGGTGACGTACTGTCGAGGCCAACAGGCAGATGCTCACCCTGCCGTCGCCCCTCTCTACCTCTCTAATCCCCTCTGCCCCCTTCCCCACTCCCCCGCCTCCCCACCCGTTCCTCCCCCATTTCGTAGGGTTCTCGACTCCCCGAAGCTCCCTAAAATCCACGTGCGCGCGAATTACATCATGGTGTTTGGGCGACTGACGGCGGGCGAGCCGGACAAGCACTTTGCGGGGCGCGTGACGTTCACGCTGTTCCAAAATTTCATGGGCGGCCGCAAGCCGTATCAGCTCAAGTATCAACAACCCGCGGATAAGGGCAATCCGCGCGACATGGGCCACAAAACGTTCGCCGTGGTGAGTAAATCAATAAGCAGCGCTATTTCCGTTTCCCATGTCCAGCATCCGTTTTTACCCTTGTTCATGCTTGCCTTCTCCCCCCTCCGACACCTTGTTATGCTTGAAAAGGCAGTACACCGCACCGCAACCCTTCCCCCTCCCCGTCCCTCTCACCCTCCAATTCTCCCGTTCTTCCCCCCTTGCTCCCCCCCTCCGCGCTCCCCCCCTCCCTCCGCGCAGGTGGGTGGGCAGGTGGCACTGTACGGCATGCCGGGCGGCAGCAGCACGCCGTCGTGGGTGCGCCTCACCGAGACGGCCAACGCGGGGGCGCGTTCGATCTACGTGGACACGGACGTGACGCGCTGGGCGCCTGGGATGACAATCGCGCTGGCGTCCACGTCAGCAGATCTCAACGACGCGGAACACCACGTCATCGCCTCCGTGTCCGTCGTCACGCCCGCGTCGGGACAGGGAAAGAGCGACGGGCGGTACCGAATTAATCTGAAATCGGCGCTTAAGAAGCGGCACGACGGAGAGGAGATTTCGGACGGAGTGGGAGGGACGGTGGGGATTTACGGAGAGGTCGCGCTGTTGGATCGGCACATCGTGATCACCGGAAGCAACGAGGCCCCGCCGCATCAGTTTGACGGTGAGAGACCGATGTATGGTGTCTCTGATTACTATCTCATTAGCCCTTTCGCGAAGGGCAGAAATTTCTCTTGGTCTAGGATACTATCCGTGCTTTTGGTCGGTCCTCGTACAAATTGCTAACTCCGTGTGATTAACTCTGACCGTGCGCTTCGCGTCTCCTCCTTTCCACTGCCTCGTCCAATTCTCGCAGGTGGCAACTTCATGGTGTATATGACGCCAACAGCCCAAGAGATCGTGGGTGTGCAATTTCGTGCCCTGGGAAAGCAGGGGACGCTTGGTAAATATCCCCTGCATTTCCACGTGTGCGGGCAAGAAGGGCAGAATCATGTAGTGCGAAAAAACGCCATCGTTTTCACGAAGCAGCGGTGCATGGTGATTCACGCGACGGGTAATATGACGATTGAGGATAACGTTTCGTACGAAACGAAGGGCCACTGCTACCTGCTGGAGGAGGGGTCCGAAATGCGAAATGTGTTTCGGCGAAACCTTGGGATCAACGCGCGGAAAGTCACCCAAGTCATCCCACCGGCGAGTTCCAACCGTTTGGATTTCCAAACCGACAAGCAACCGACGATTTTCTGGCTGGCGACGCCCTTCAGCAGCTTCGTTGACAATGTTGCCGCCGGGTCTGAGGATTCCGGGTGAGCCCTCCTTTCTCCCTTACCCCCTACCTCTCCCCCTTCCCCCTCTCCCATCCCCTCCACTGTCTGCATCCCTTCCCCCTCTCAGCTCCCCCTCCCCTCCCCTCCTTATTGTTCATTATAACCGACCATTCCTCTCCTCAAACCTTTTTTACTCCCCTTCTTCCTATTTCTGTCCCTCTGTTTTTCCGAAAGGTTCTGGCTGGAGGCAAACCCATACATGCGTGGTTTGTCACGGCTGCTGCCGCAAATCGGGTCGACAGTACCCTTTTATTACAACTGGGGCACGTGGGATGGCAACCACGCACACTCCAACCTCTTTGGATTCCGCACCTACCCCCACGGGTCACGGCCTAGATACCCGTCAACCACCCAGAATCCCCGCGTATCGCTTAAGAACTTCCTCATTTACCGCAACAAGGCAGGGTGAGTTCACACCTTTTTTACTCCGTCTTGCTGAATGAGCTTTCTTGGCTAATCTCACCTCCCGTTTTTGCTTCTCCAGCATCCTGCCGGTCCCTCACATCCTCATGCTCTTCTTCTTTTCTTATCATTCCACCTGTTCGTGCAGCATCTTCTTTTTCAACAGCGAGCGACTGATAGTGGAGAACGGGGTGTTTCTGGACAATGGCATCGGCATCGACTTGAGCCGCAACGCTGGCGTGCAAGCCAAGGGCTGCCGCTTCATCGGCCGCTCCTCCTCTGCCTGCCCGTGAGTCCTTCACCTTCGCTCTGCACCTTGCTGATTGTCACTCCGACCTTCACTTTCTCTTTCGTTCCCTCGTGTCTCCCCTCCCTTGCTCACTATTCTCCCCTAGAACGGCTCCACTCCGCAAGTGAAGGCTGTAGCAGCAGCATTTTTTGCTGATACAGCAAACTCTTCCCTTGCGCCCTTTCCCCCGCCCTCTCCCCTCTACAGGGCCTCCACCCAGCAAGCTATTGGCAGCAACCCTTCCTGATAGAGCAGACTCTCCCCTTCACTACTCCTTCCCCCCTCCGGGCCCTCCCCCCCCCCCCCCCTCTCCCTTGTACAGAACGTCCTCCTCCAAAGGTGTAACGACTGTTGCTGATACAGCAGGCTCGGACGTCCCAGCCGGTCCCACGACTCTGTGGAAGCCCTTCACTCTGCAAGCCTCTCTAGGCCCCCTCGACCCCTACTTTGATCCATCGGCCAACAGCGGCAGCGGCAGCAATGGCAGCAACGATGCGAGCCACTCATCCCCGGCTTATAACAAGGCGTTGCAGGATCCGGCGGAAGGGGGAATAGGAGATGGGGGCGTTGATTCGATGGTGGCTCTGGACGAGAAGGTGGGGACGTTTGAGGCGCCTGTGGGAATCACGCTGAGTCAGAGCAACCCGCAGGACAACCTGTACCCCAACGGCATCCAGGACACCTCGTGAGTCTGTTTGTGCCCGTTATAAGAAATTCCGCTATTTGTCAGAAGCCGCGGCAATCCAGACCATTCAGGACAGCTGGTGAGATGCTCTGTTGCTCGTTATAAGGTGTGTTTTGTCACTCGTTATAAGGTGCTTTGTTACACCTTTTATACTCTCAGTCAGAGCAGCCTGCAGGACACCTTGTGAGTCTGTACTTGTTATAAGATGCTGGTGCAGTACTGGTAATGGGGTGAGACTGACCCTCAATCATGACTTGGTTGTCTGTGCTCCATTCTGGGGTCATCTGTAACTCTTTCTGCTGCTGAGTACCTTTGTCAGTGAGAGCATTCCTGTTATTTTTTTAACTACTTCCCCCCCCCCCCCCCTCCCCCCTCCCGCCTTCCACCTCTCCTCCCTTCCCCAGCTTCCACCGCTTTGGCACGTGCAGCAGCAGCAGTTTTGGAATTGCTCTTGTGGCAAATAAGGCTGGCGGGTACTGGAACACTGCCATGTTCGTTAAGGTACTGCTTGTTTCAATCACGTTCTTAAATGAGCTTTTTGTTACAGTCACGTTTGGTAGAACCCACCAGGGGAAACTTCTAGCCAGCTGCTTGTTTTGTAATCCTTCTGTGTTACTGTACCATCACACTCTTGTTCATCGCCTCTCTTTCTCCTGCTCGTCCGCTCCTCTGCTCTTTCCACAGGGCTTGTCTTTTGGGTCAGGGACTAAGAAGTTTTGGGCCACACCCAATCCAGTGAGTTGCTCTTTCCCTTGTACCCCCGTACAATGAGTTCAGATTGGGTCCCGATTGATCCAACGAGTTCCTTGCATACCCGTCGTTACTCCTCCTCCCCACTCCTCTCCGTCACTCTTTCCCTTCCCATCTTATCTCGCTCCTTTCCCTCACTTTATGTCTCATTGAAAAGAAATTTCTTGTCCCCGTTACAGTTTCTATGCTGTTATATGCCATTTCTCCTTTTCCAACCCTGCTTTTTTTTACAACCTGCCTCACGCTCACCTTCCACTCCATTTCTCATCTTTCTCTCTCCCTCTCCTCCTGCCAGTCCTCTGGCCCGCCGCCCCGGGGAGGCCTGCTGGCGCGCTTCTACGCCATCCGCGATCTCGACGGGTCGCTCCTCGGCCAATCAGGCTACGCCGTTGCCAACTACGACCCGATCCTGCCGCCCGCCGCCGTCCGGGCGGCAAAGTGCGACTTCAAGAGCGCCTTTTCGGCCTATTCCTGCACCTCCGTCTGCTACCGGTCTATCGGGCTTCAATATGAAGAGTCTGGGGTTGGATCAAAGGGGGTGGCAGCTTCGCCAAACGCGGTCAGCCGGCCCTACTCCTACCTGAAAATCACCAGGACAGACGACGGAACAGTCTTCTACGCGTACGGAACGGAGAATGATGACCCGAATGCCGGTCCCGCGGGCCCCGGGAAAAAGAATCGGTACTTAACCGCGTCGCTTTTAGCCGGGTACACTTACCGGATAGAGGTGGTTCCTGCGGAAACTAACAGCAACTTTTACCCGAGCAAAATGCAGCTGAATGTGTTCGACTGGCAGGGGTGCTCCGGCGCGGTTACCCTGATTATCGACTCGCCGAATTCGAGTAGCAAGTGGACAGCGAGTGTTCCCACAGTGCCGTGCTCTTCTGTGGATGCGACGAGGGTTTATAAGGAGTATGCGTGCGGGGGAGGGAAGGCGCGACTGCAGCTGGATGTGGGGGCGAGCACGAGTGGCAAGGGACTGGCTGTGATGGAGTTGGATCAAGGTGTCAGCACTGCTTGCTCCTCAGACTCGTGAGTGCTGCTTGAGGCTTGAAAGTGTGTGTGTGTGTGTGTGTGTGCGCGCGCGCGCGCGCGCGCGTGTGCGTGTGCGTGTGCGTGTGCGTGTGTGTGTGTGCGTGCGCGCACGCTCCTCAGACTTGTTGGCACTCTGAGCGTGTGTCCTGCTTGCGACCCTCGCCACCCGACTGCGGTGCTTGCTTGCTCTGCCAGCACCTCGCATACTCACACCTCACCCCTCCCCTTCCCTTCCCTCCCTTTTCCTTCCCTCCTCTGCCACCCGACCTACAGTGCTTGTTCTGCCAGCACCTCATCTCTGCCGCCCCTGTCGGTCTCTCCTCTGGGCGGCACCGAGTCGTCCTTTTCCTCGGTGGATCCTTATTTCGACCCGAGCTTCTACGAGCCTGGGACAGGGAGCATCGACAGCTGGACCGGCAGCACCGGCAGCACCGACAGCACTGGGAGCAGGAGCAGCAGCGGCAGCAGCAGCAGCACTGGCATCGGCGGCGGCAACACCGTTTTCAGCATAAGTTTTGGCAAATTCGAGTTGTACATTCCCAGGGGTACCACCGTGAGTAGCGGGGTTGCTTACAGCGAGGATGGGGGTGATGATGACTACAGCGAGAACGAATTCACTGCACGGAATAATATGAGCACCACTGGAGGCAGTGGCATTGGTGAGTCTCCACCACCCCCCCCTCCTGTGGCAGTACCAGCAGAACCAGCAGAACCAGAAGTACCAGCAGTACCAGCATCAGCACAGGCAGCAGGAGAGAGAGAGCCAGCAAGGGAGTTAGTTGGCAGGTTGCTACTGAGGAAGGTTGCTCCTGCTCCGGCCCCTTCCCCACCTCCCCGACGACACTAGAAGCTGAAACTGAAATTTGAGGCGCCTAAAAAGGAAGCGGGACTGACGTTTGAGATCCCTAAATATACCTCAAGGTGTGGTCTTGGGACCTACAGTTAGTGGCTCTGGGTTTGATTGGTTGGGAAGGGTGGGAGGAAGAAATTGTTGGGATGTCGCAGTGGAAGTAGAAGTGGTTGTGAAGGTTAGTCTCATGTTCTTAGAGTAGGATCACTCCCGCTTCCACTGTACCATCATGGAGATACATTACTGATTAGACTGCATTATGCTGCTTGAAGTGCAGAGCTGTGTTCAAGCAGGAGCCGGCTCAAAATGGTGCATTGAGGTCAATGCTGTGGTGCATAATGGCCCTAAAATGTGGAAGAATCTGATTGATGCGTGCAAAACAAGATGTGTAGCGGTAACAAGTGGGTTGCAGGCGGTCCAGAGCAGATTCATCAGAGAGCCATCAGATCAGAGCCTTAAAGCCGGGATCTCAAGTACTTTTTCTGTTTTGCAGTTGGTGAATAGTGCTAGGCTGGGATTGGATGGCGAGGTACAGAAGTTGACGAGGAGTGAAGCGAGGGGTGCGAGAAAAAAACAAGTCTCAGGTTGTTTCCAAGCCTTCTAGGCACAGAAACTGATTCGGTGCCAAAGCTGAAGTACCATAGAATGTTTCAGATCAGGGCAAATTTTTCGTTTTGACCAACCCTTATCATCAGTGTGCCCCAAGCGTTTTGGGTTTAGGATCAGTGTGACCCCTCGTGGGAAAACTTTTCCATCAGGGTAAAGCTAATTATCGAAAAAAAAACCCTGGCTCATCAGTGTTCAATTAAAATATAGCCTGATTGTACATTTTACTAAAAGCACTCAATACAGAATTTAATCATCGTCATCAGACAAGCCGCAAGGGTGTTCATCGTGGTCACTTTCCTCCTCTGGCTCCGGGGCTTTCTACTTCCCCTTCAGGTCCACAGGTGTCGCGTGCGCAACTGATTTCGCTGGCCGACGGGTCTTCTGCTTGCGCCAGATGTCCACCACGTCAGGCCAGACGTACGGGTACTTGAGCATGTGCAGCGTCATGAGGTCGCCAAGTCGTGCGTCGCAAAGGGAGGTGCGCATCCAGCTCTTGATGATGTTCTGGCGGCTGAACCCCCTCTCACACTCCACTGTGCTCAGGGGCAGCACAGCGAGGGCCTGCCAGAGTGTCATGAGGTTTGGATAGCTGCGCCGACAATCACGGCTCTTCAACATGCTTTGAAGGCCTTGATGGAAATCCTCGCCTGCGTGATGGCGCGCCATGATGTGGCAGAAGCCTCTGAGCTCCTTCTTCGCCGCCTTGAAATCGAATCCTGACGGGGAGGTGGTTTCGGACGGTGGAAGTAGTTGGGGGTTTTTGTCAGTTTATGCGAGGTTGTAAGGTGCATTTAATGCAATAACAAATCGAATCAATTGCACGTGTCAACACCTGGCTCACCTGGAAGCAATCCGCCAAACAGCGCATCGTTAGCCGCAAGCCACTCGTGTGTCTTCAAATCGCGCTGCTCGTCTCTGGAAGGCCACGATTCAACTTGGAACAGCTTCGTGCCGCCCAACTGCTGCAAGTCCCACATGCGGAACTTCATTCTCGCAACGACTTCCTTCGCGAAACCTGTGCACAGCTTCTCACAGTCAGCAAGCGTGCCCCCAAATTTGTGTTTCTTGATCGGTGTCTCGCTCAGCTCGAACTTGTGGGATGTCTGCCGCCCCTCCGCGTCAATCCCTTCAACCACCACCGTCCTGTTGTCACCTCCATGCTCTTTGATGAACTTCGACAGCAGCTTGCTGACCCCACCGCCAAATGTCTCGCCGTACTGGATGTACCGGTGCGTGATGATGGTGATCGTGTGGTCGACTTCTTTGGCCACTTGTGTGATGTCCACCTGCAACACACGAAGCGCGTCGCAAAGGTCATGTGCAAAAATTCTCGCCAGTAGCAAACATAATCATGTATGCAAACACACTTGCCTTTCGGTGCTGGAAGAAGCGGTTGAGGGAGTTAAGCACGGCTAGAATGTCGGCGAGAAAGTACAGACAGAAATGAAATTTGAATGTTTGCACTGTTGCAGCAACCTTGTGCCCGTACTCCACAATCATGACGATCGCCGCCCCCAACACTCTGCATAACCGCGCTATAGCGTCTCCCCGCGACAACCATCTGACGTTGAAAAGGCCTTGGTGTTCGAGGTTGGTCTTGTGTATCTCTTGTTGCAATTCTTTGAACCGGTCGTACCAAATGTTGGATGATCTCCCCCACAGCCCGCACGGCAGCATCGATCATGTTGAGGTCGGGGTAAGCCTTCGCGGCATCCTTGACGACCAAGGCTTCACTGCAATACACAAGGGACGGAAGACTAGTAACGCAGTAAGAGGTGATGGACTCCATCGCAACATTGAAAAATCGCAGTGATTAAAAAAACACTATCAAACACAACTTACCGATGCGCTACGCAATGACATACGACGAGATGCGGCATGCGCTCTTGCAAACGGCTAACCAGCCCGCTCTTATCCCCCGTCATTACAGAAGCTCCGTCCGTGCCAATGCCAGACACCCGCTTGAGGTCCACGCCAATCGACTCCAGGTGGCTTGTGAGCACGCCGAAAAGCGAGGACGCATCGCATTTGTGGACCGTCAGCAGCGCCAAAAATTCCGTGACGGTCACGCCGTGCTTGAGGAACGTGGCAAACACAATCAAGTGCTTGCCACGAGCGCGATTCGTGCTTTCGTCGCAGGTAAGGCCGACGAAAGGGGAGGCAAGAAGATGCTGCAGCTGCTGTGTTCTCTGGTATTTCGCCATTGCCGAAGCCATTTCGTTGAAACCATACCTGCGACACAGCGAGGGGAAGGTGTTCAAGTAAAAGATCTAGTAACATCATAAGATAAGCTGCAGCCACATCGTTCAACCAAAACATGTAGACACTTACTGCGTGATGTACACGCCATAGGACTGGAGCGGGATGTCCTCGACTCCCTCCTCTGCGAGGAAGCCAATGAGTTTGGGGAACATCGCGATCGGCGCGTCGTGGTCGCAAATGAACTCCACGCCGCGCATGAGACGTGTAAGCCGCGCGCCCTCCTTGTCGGTATTTGCAAAATCGTCGATCCGCTTCTGCTTCTCGATTTCGGCCATGAGCGTCCGCTGCCGGTTCATGGCTTCTTTGTGGCGTGCGCTCAGCTCGTGACAGCGCATCGATCCGAGCTGCAGATCGCGTCCCCCCGTTCCGTTCCGGCCGAACTTCGCGTCGTCTTTCCCATGCTCCACGCAAATGCTGCACCGCAGAATGGGCAGGCCCTCCTCGTTCTTGTCAAGCAGCAGCCAGTTGAACTTCGGGAGCCATTGCGTGCCGTATAGATCCTGCGCCTTTAGAAATTTCTCTTCAGCCTGCTCGACGTCGGTGAGTTCACGGGACGCACGCTTCGGAGGTTGTACAGGAGCGGGTGGCGGCGTCGGTTTCGCAGGGGGCGTGCCGTACGGTAGTATGGCTTGCGCGAAGCGACGGCGCTTCTTCGAGGCTGCAGACGATGACTCATCGACCTCTGTGACGCTGACTGTGGCGGGAGCACTTTCTGGCGCGTTGGCGCCAAAAGCGGACGGCGTTGCAGTAGGCTCTTTCTCATTGCTGCAAGCAGACGGGCCCGCAGTGCCTACAGCAGGAGGGTTCGCATGCAGCGCGCGCAGAAAATCCAGGCCTGTCCGCGCGGGCAAAACACTCGGTGGCTCGTCAGCTGCCTCACCATCGTCAGTCTCTGCCGGAGACATGGCTCCTCTTGTGTAGAGAACAAGATGCCTACGTAACCTAACTGTGTGTGTGTTCTCTGGCCTTGAAAGGTGAAATCCCAAACGTGTTCATGCCACACCCCTTTTTTCCCCCTGTTTCCTACTATGCACGCAAACGAACTGCAGAGCCAGCCACAGTCGTGAAAGGACCGCGGTGCCCAGTGGGCTAGTGGGCAGGGCACCGACTTTCTGCTGTAGTCAGCCACGTTTCCAGCTAACCCGGCCATACTGTCATGCCAGACAAGGATGTCAAACTATGCATATTGTGTTTGTGTAGGCTGCTAGTGGGGTAGCCCATATGGGGTACAACCCAATGTTAGGGTTAGCTTATGTACCCAACTCTTGATCAATGCATTCATTCTTGTCTCTAGATTCTGATATGGTTTCAGAGTAGTATGTCCGTAGGACCGTTTTTTTTCGGGCCCACCTACCGCTACCCCACGCCTGTGCCTCTGCCTGTGACGTGCTGCGCTGCGCGCGCCGTCTGCCTGTAGCCTACTGCCTGCTGCCTACTGTGTTGTCTGCTGCTGCTACCGCGCAGACCTAAGTCACGCACGCTGCCCGCTGCTGCCTCAAGCGTCGCCCTCGCTGCTCGCGCCGCTCTGCTGCCCCTCACACGCCGTCAGCGCAGCGCACAGCCCCCAGCGAGCCGCGTGCAGCCCCGTCGAACCGCGTGCAGCCCCGTCGGGCCGCGCGCAGCCCGGATTTCCCGCGCGCAGCCCCGTCGAGCCGCGCGCAGCCCGTTTTCTGCTGCGCGCGGCCCCGCCGAGCCGCGCGCAGCCCGTTTTCTGCTGCCCGCGGCCCCGCCGAGCCGCGCGCAGCCCGCTGCTGCCGCGCGCGACCCCCCCCCCCCCCGAGCCGCGCGCAGCCCCTGCCGAGCCGCGCGCGGCCTGCTGCTGCTGCGCGCAGTCCCTGCCGAGCCGCGCGCGGCCAGCTGCTGCTGCGCGCGGCCTGTTTCTGCCTCCCGCAGCCCGCGCTCGGCCCACAGCAGCCCCGCGCGCTGCCCTGCATAGCCTGCAGCTGCATCGGCCCCGACCTTCCGCTGCTGCGGCCCCTCGCTGCTGCTGCCGAGGCTCCGACCTGCCGCTGATGCGGCCCCCACTCTGCGACTGCCGCTGAAGCGGCCCCCCACCCTGCAGTTGCTGCGGCCCTACTCTACTGTCGCTGTTCCGGCCCCATCGCAGCTGCGGTCGTGCGCCTACTCGGCCCTGCTCGCCCGGCGAGCACCTGCCCTTCCAGCCTTTGGTGAGCACCTGCCTGCCTGCCTGCCTTTCGGCCTGCCTACCTGTCTTTTTGCCTGCCTGCCTGCCTGCCTGCCAGCCTGCCTGCCTGCCTGCCTGCCGGCCTGTCTGCCTGTCGGCCTGCCTGCCTGCCTGCTGGCCTGCCTGCCTGCCTGCCAGCCTGCCTGCCTGCCTGCCTGCCGGCCTGTCTGCCTGTCGGCTTGCCTGCCTGCCTGCTGGCCTGCCTGCCTGCCTGCCTGCCTGCCTGCCTGCCGGCCTGTCTGCCTGTCAGCCTGCCTGCCTACCTGTCTGCCTGCCTGCCTGCCTGCCTGCCGGCCTGCCTGCCTGTCTGCCGGCCTGCCGCGCCTGCCCTGCCCGAGCTGCTGCTGCTGCTAGCTCTTAGCAAGGGACCAGATGCAGCTCCAGCGACGCTCACGCGAGTCTCTCACGCCCCAGCAGCTTAGTGAGTGGTATACTAGTTGGGGCTGTCGCGGTAGCCGTCGTAGCTGTCGCCCTGGAGCTGGTCAGTTGGGGGCCTCTAGCAGTGGCCAGCTGCAGCTGCAGCGGCGTCCACGCGAGACACTTACGTCTCGGCAGCTCGAGGAGTGGTACGCTCAGAGTAGAGGGTCTTTCAGTCCAGTGCGCTGCCGGTACGTCATTCGCACAGGTGATCGAGCTGGTCAGACCTGCGGGACGCCTGGTCACACACAGTCCCGCTGCTTCGCCCGCCTGAGCGACGCCTGGCGTACCGAGTTTGGTGACGAGGCTGAGCTCCCCACCTGGCTGGAGCTGCTTAGCCAGAGGATAGATATCTTTGCTCTTGACTATGATGCTATTCTCACTGCTATGTATGCATTGCCTACTAGTGCTGACCGAGCCTGTTACCTGTGCGTACCGCCTGACCCAGGTATAGAGCCTGCTGCTCTCGGTGCTGGTGAGGCTGCTGCTCTAGGTGCTCGTGCGTCTTCTGCTCTAGGTGCTGGTGAGGCTGCCGCCCCAGGTGCCTGTGAGTCTGCTCTCTCTGGTACTGCGCCTGCTGCGGCCTTGCACACCTTCACCCTTGACTCAGGAGCTTCCCGCTCCTTCTTTCGCGACTGCACCACACTCACGCCGCTTAGTCGGCCGGTTGCAGTCTCCCTGGCGGACCCCTCTGGGGGTCCTGTCGTTGCCCGCTACTCCACGGTTTTGCCGTGTCCGGCCGTCCCATCTGGCGTGCTGTCAGGTCTCTACCTCCCCTCATTCTCTACGAACTTGGTGAGTGGAGCTGACCTCCAGGATGGGGGAGTTGACCAGTTCACTCCTGCGGGTCAGCGGGTGACTCACTGTACGTGTGCTCGGACGGGCCGACACCTGGCCACGTTTACCCGTGCGCCTGGCTCGAGTCTGTACACACTGACCACTGCGGCCCCTCAGGTAGCTGCGTCTGCGTCTGCGTCAGGTCAGCTGTCGGCCCCCTGCGAGTGTCGTGCTTTGTCGCACCAGACCCTCCTGTGGCACCACCGCCTTGGTCACCCCTCGGTGCAGCGCCTTCGTGGCATGCACTCTCGCTCTCTGGTTTCTGGTCTCCCCAGGACTCTGCCTGCCCTCCCTCCCTCGCCCGCTCCTCCTCCCTTCCCTGCGCCGGTTGAGGTCACTGGTGACTCAGGTCCTGCTCGGGGTGCTACTTCTGGGGGTGCTGAGTCTGGGGGTGCTGAGCCTGGGGGTGCGGAGCCTGGGGGTGCGGAGCTTGAGGGTGTAGAGCCTGGAGGTGCTGAGCCTGCGTGTGAGGGGTCTGGAGGTGCTGGAGCTGGTGGTTCTGGGGCTGCTGAGGGTGCGAGCGCTGGAGGTTCTGGAGCTGCTGGAGGTCCTGGTGCTGGTGGCGCTGGAGCTGCTGAGGGTGCTGGCGCTGAGGGTTCAGAGTCTGCTGTTGCGCGGTCTCCTTGGAGTAGCCGCCTTCGTCCACGTGTGCCTCTCACCTCGCAGCAGCTGCACGACTGGTACGGTCGCCGTCAGGGTCGCGCTGCTGGAGCTCGGGGCTCTACTGCTGGAGGTACTTCTGCTGCCGTCCCTGGAGCTAGGAGTGGTGCTGGTACTGTTTCTACTGGAGGTGCTGGAGTCGCTGGTCCTGGAGCTGCTGGTGCTGGAGGTACTGGAGCTGCTGGGGCTGAGGGTGCTGCGTCTGGAGGTGCTGCTGCTGGAGACACCGAGGCTGGAGACCCTGGGACTGGAGGTGCTGGTTCTGGGGGTGCTGCTGCTGGAGACGTGGAGGCTGGAGACCCTGGGACTGGAGGTGCTGGTTCTAGGGGTGCTGCTGCTGGAGACGTGGAGGCTGGAGACCCTGGGACTGGAGGTACTGGTTCTGGGGGTGCTGCTGCTGGAGGCACTGGGGTTGGAGACCCTGGGCCTGGCGGTGTCGGTTCTGCTGCTGGAGCTGCTGGAGCTGCTGGTACTGGTGCAGCTGCGCCGCCACGACTGTTCTTCGCTCCGCCGTCTCCGTCGTCTCTGCCGCCGCCTGACTCTGTTCTTCGTCAGGTTCTTACTCTCCTGTCGTCTACTGGTCTTCCGTTACAGCCTGGCTCACCGCTGCCTACTCCTTCTCCTTACACTGAGCAGACAGGTAGTCTTGCTGAGCGTCGTGAGCCTGCGTCGCGTCCTGTCTCGCCTGTTCGTCCTAGTCGTACCGGTCGTCGTGTTCCGCGTCCGCGTTCGCCGCCTGTCCCCACCGCACACCTTGTCGTCCGTCGTCCTTCCTCTGTTCCGCAGTCTGTTTCTCTGCCGTCTCCTCCTGCGTCTTCCTTGCCTCACGTTCCGGACCCTGAGTCTGACCGGTTTCGTGCTGAGCACCCTACTGTCACGCGTCTGCTCGCCACTGTTGTCACTGACCCCTCGTTTGAGTCTTCTGCTGCGACTGCTTTGGTTGCTGCGGCTGCCTGTCATCTAGACTACGCTGCTAGTCTTGTCGCTGAGTCTGAGTCTGTCTGTCCTCCGTCCGTCGGGGGTGAGTGTGCTCTTAGCACGGACATCCTTGAGGACAGGCACGAGGACCTTGAGTGTCTTGCAGCCGCTGCGCCTCATCTCGTGACCATGCTGCTTGCCCCTGAGGGAGACCCGGATGCACTAGACATCCCCACCCCGCGCTCGTACGCTGAGGCGGTCGCGGGTCCCTACTCCTCTCAGTGGCAGGCAGCCATGGACGCAGAGATGGCATCCTGGAAGTCCACAGGCACCTACGTCGACGACGTTCCCCCTCCTGGGGCGAACATCGTCAGTGGCATGTGGATTTTCAGGGTGAAGCGGCCACCTGGTTCTCCGCCTGTCTTCAAGGCACGTTACGTTGCTCGAGGCTTCAGTCAGCGAGAGGGGGTTGACTTCTTCCAGACCTTCTCCCTCACCCCGAAGATGACCACTCTTTGGGTACTGCTGCACGTTGCCGCCCAGCGTGACTACGAGCTTCACTCGCTTGACTTCAGCACAGCTTTCTTGCAGGGCAGCCTGCACGAGGAGATCTGGCTGCGCCGCCCACCTGGCTTCACTGGGTCGTTCCCTCCTGGTACCCAGTGGAGCCTCCGCCGGCCAGTCTACGGTCTCCGTCAGGCGCCTCGTGAGTGGCACGACACACTGAGGACTACGCTTGCGGCTCTCGGGTTTGCGCCCTCCACAGCTGACCCGTCACTGTTTCTGCGCACCGACACCTCGCTGCCGCCGTTCTACATCCTCGTGTACGTCGACGACTTGGTCTTTGCCACTGCTGACACTGAGGCTCTCGCCCTGGTGAAGTCGGAGCTGCAGAAGAGACACACGTGCACAGACCTGGGTGAGCTACGCAGCTACCTTGGCTTGCAGATCACCCGGGACAGAGCACGTCGCACCATCACTCTGACTCAGTCACACATGGTGCAGCAGGTCCTTCAGCGCTTCGGCTTCACCTGGTCCTCGGCACAGTCCACTCCTCTGGCTACAGGTCACTCGCTCTCAGCTCCACCTTCGGACGAGTCCGTAGAGCCGAGTGGTCCTTACCCAGAGCTAGTAGGCTGCCTCATGTACCTGATGACTTGCACTCGTCCTGACCTTGCGTACCCTCTTGGCCTTTTGGCCCGCTACGTGGCTCCTGGTCGGCACCGAAAGGTGCACTGGGATGCTGCGAAGAGGGTACTGCGCTACTTGTGCAGTACATCGGGCATGAGGCTCGTGCTTGGAGGACGGCGAGAGGTGGTCCTCACTGGGCACTCAGACGCGTCTTGGGTTGACGACCAGGCTACACAGCGGTCGTCACAGGGTTACACTTTCAGCCTCGGCTCTGGTTCTGTTTCGTGGCGTTCTACTCGCTCGTCTTCTGTTCTCAGCTCCAGTTGTGAGGCTGAGATCTATGCCACCGCCATGGCTGCTCAGGAGCTGCGCTGGCTCACGTACCTGCTGACCGACCTGGGAGAGCGGCCTCGTTCTCCTCCAGTTCTGTACGTTGACAACAAGGCAGCCATTGCCTTGTGTGAGGAGCACAGACTGGAGCACAGAACGAAGCACATCGCTCTGCGTTACTTCCTGGCTCGAGAGTTGCAGCAGCGTGGTCAGCTTCGTCTTGCACACGTGGCCACTCGGGCCAACACTGCTGATATATTCACCAAGGCACTTCCGTCTGGTGATCATCAGCGCTTTTGTACCTTGTTGGGCCTTGTGCCTACGTTTCCACACTTGCTGTAGACTCTGTCTGTACTGTGATCTTTATATATATACCTGCATGCTTGCTCTTGCTAGGTAGTGATCACTGTACTTTGTTTGTTGCATATATACCTCTGCATGTGGACTGGCCTTGTGGCCCTTTGCTTGTGCTCAGTCTGTGTGGTGACGTTGTGATCCACCCTGAGCTTGGTTTGTTTCTCTTGACTGGTCTTGTGACCCCTAGATCTCCCCCACTTTGCCTATGGGGGTGTGTCAAACTATGCATATTGTGTTTGTGTAGGCTGCTAGTGGTGTAGCCCATATGGGGTACAACCCAATGTTAGGGTTAGCTTATGTACCCAACTCTTGATCAATGCATTCATTCTTGTCTCTAGATTCTGATAAAGGAGACCGAGTTGCGTCGGTGGCGCTGCCAAAAAAGAAACTGTTATCCTGGCCAATGGTGGCCCACCGTGTGTCAGCACATGAGTTGACAAGGCCGAAATTCCGGCTTCGAAAGTTGCATTTCGGGATTCCCATCTTACGGGAAAGGGGGGGTGGGTGTACCAGGGGGCGGGGGTGGGGGGGGGGGGGGGGGGGGGGGGGGGGGGTACTCGGTACAGGGTAAAACTCGTTACGGGATTCAGAAACCCTTGGCATCAGTGTGCCTTACACAAAAAAACTGACACATCAGGGTAAACCTATTTCTCGAAACAATTACCCGAGGCCATCAGTGTGCTCATAAAAAATCACCCTGATTATCAGGGTATCAGGGTGATTTACACTGATAAAATTAGCCCTGTTTCAGATTCCTGAAGTCCCCAGCAATTTGTTTTGCAATTGAATCAGGGGCAAAATGGAGAATGTGTCGCACAGTAAACCCCAAACCCGTCACTCCACTTCGCCCACTCAAATAGGGTGACCCTAGCGTCAACTGTTTTGCAGTTAAAGCCCGAGGTCAGCATGGTTTTGTCAAAATCACATAAGGGCTTTAAACGTATTGGCGAAAAGCAAAAAAGTATATTTCGGGAATATGGGCGGGGCGAAAGCGAGATCAGGCTGCGAGGAGATTGTTCAGTCGTCAACACTCAACATCAAGAGGAGCGTGCGACAAACCAACAAACTCAACTGAATGGGGAAAAATCATCCTAACGGATAACTTAGTATTGTGTGAGCAGTAGTCTACGGGATGAAAACATCCCGACAGCGCATCTCCCGTTGAAATACGCAATCCTAGGAACCTGGGAGCCCTCCCCTCGTTTGGGAGCCTTCCCTCGTCGCGCCTCCGCTCGCCTTCCCCCGCGCCTCCGCTCGCCTCGCCGCGCATCCGCTCGTTTCGCCGCGCCCCCGCTCGCCTCGCCGCGCCTCCGCTCGCCTCGCCGCGCCTCCTCTCGCCTCGCCGCGCCTCCGCTCGCCTTCCCCCGCGCCTCCGCTCGCCTCGCCGCGCATCCGCTCGTTTCGCCGCGCCTCCGCTCGCCTCGCCGCGCCTCCGCTCATTTCCCTCCGCTGCTTCCCCTCATTTCCCTCCGCTGCTTCCCCTCATTTCCCTCCGCTGCTTCCCCTCATTTCCCTCCGCTGCTTCCCCTCATTTCCCTCCGCTGCTTCCCCTCATTTCCCTCCGCTGCTTTCCCTCATTTCCCTCCGCTGCTTCCCCTCATTTCCCTCCGCTGCTTCCCCTCATTTCCCTCCGCTGCTTCCCCTCATTTCCCTCCGCTGCTCTTCCCCTCATTTCCCTCCGCTGCTTCCCCTCATTTCCCTCCGCTGCTTCCCCTCATTTCCCTCCACTGCTTCCCCTCATTTCCCTCCGCTGCTTCCCCTCATTTCCCTCCGCTGCTTTCCCTCATTTCCCTCCGCTGCTTCCCCTCATTTCCCTCCGCTGCTTCCCCTCATTTCCCTCCGCTGCTTCCCCTCATTTCCCTCCGCTGCTTCCCCTCATTTCCCTCCGCTGCTTCCCCTCATTTCCCTCCGCTGCTTCCCCTCATTTCCCTCCGCTGCTTCCCCTCATTTCCCTCCGCTGCTTCCCCTCATTTCCCTCCGCTGCTTCCCCTCATTTCCCTCCGCTGCTTCCCCTCATTTCCCTCCGCTGCTTCCCCTCATTTCCCTCCGCTGCTTCCCCTCATTTCCCTCCGCTGCTTCCCCTCATTTCCCTCCGCTGCTTCCCCTCATTTCCCTCCGCTGCTTCCCCTCATTTCCCTCCGCTGCTTCCCCTCATTTCCCTCCGCTGCTTCCCCTCATTTCCCTCCGCTGCTTCCCCTCATTTCCCTCCGCTGCTTCCCCTCATTTCCCTCCGCTGCTTCCCCTCATTTCCCTCCGCTGCTTCCCCTCATTTCCCTCCGCTGCTTCCCCTCATTTCCCTCCGCTGCTTCCCCTCATTTCCCTCCGCTGCTTCCCCTCATTTCCCTCCGCTGCTTCCCCTCATTTCCCTCCGCTGCTTCCCCTCATTTCCCTCCGCTGCTTCCCCTCATTTCCCTCCGCTGCTTCCCCTCATTTCCCTCCGCTGCTTCCCCTCATTTCCCTCCGCTGCTTCCCCTCATTTCCCTCCGCTGCTTCCCCTCATTTCCCTCCGCTGCTTCCCCTCATTTCCCTCCGCTGCCTCCCCTCATTTACCAGGATTTCCCCCTGTTTCCCCTCGTTTCCCCACCTGCTAAACCCTCGTTTTCCCCTCTTCTCTCCCTCTTTTCATCTTCCTATTCCCCCCTTTCCCTCTCCCCCTCTTCCGTACCTCCCCTCATCTCTATCCTCCCTCTTCCTAAGGTATTTCCTTCTTTCTCTCTCACCCTCTTTCCTTCTCCTTTCTCTTCCCCCCTGCTTCCCTCTTCCCCCTCTTTCCTATCTCCCCTGTCTCAGCTCTTCTCATCTCTATCTGTTTGACGTTTTTCCTTTTCCCCCCTCCCCATCCCTCGTAATATCCCCCGCTACCTGGCTATTGCAGTGACTACAGTTATGCTTTTTCTGGTACTGGTACTTCAACTCGATTCAGCCCAACTTCCATGCCATGCTCGTAGCGTAACCAGTTACCCTCATGGTTTTTTTTTTTTTTTTTTTCAGGGCCTTGAGAAAGGTTCAGTTATCCCTTGACCTTTGCCTACAGTCAAAATTACCCTTATGACATTCTTAGTGTCAATGCATCTTGGAATAATATCTTGCACTGAAAAAACAAAAGTACATACAGAGCCTTGCAATTCATACCTCCGTCAGAAATCCAGTAACATGCTTGCATAGCATACAATACACACAAAACAGGTGGTGGTACAATGTAAAGCATTGATTGGCTGTGCCTCAGCTTGCAACTGTTGCTCCTCTGCTTCACCACTGGAAATTAGGGAAGACAGGAAGGAAGAATTGCGTGAAGAAACATGGGGGAGGTGGTGTGAGGTGCAACGGAACAATGGCAAGGGAATACAAGCAAGCGCACATGATGAAAGCATGTATGGGGAAATAGATGGGTGCACACGCATGGCAACAACAGGGCAGAAGGTGAGGAGTGAGGGGGAAGGGGAGGGCATGAAAAGGAAGGGATGGGGAAGGGAAGGTTTGAGAAGGGATGGGGAAGGGAAGGACAGGGCAGGGAGGGAAAGGCAGGGATGGGGAGGGCAGGTGGGTGGAGTCTGGGGGAGAAGGCAGGTAATATGTTATGAGGATGGTGGGGAAGGAGGTGAGTTGCATGAGAAAGGATGGGAAGGAATGAGAGAGGGTGGGAAAAAATGAGTGAGGGTGGGAAGGAATGAGTGAGTGAGGGAAGGAATGGGGGGGAGCAGCGAAAGGGATGGGGGGAAGCATTGCAGGGGATGGGGGGAAGCAGGGGAGGTGATGGGGGTTAGCAGGCCAGGGGATGCGGGGAAGCAGGGGAGGGGACGACGGAAAAGCAAGGGAAGGGGATGGGGGGAAGCAGGGAACGGGATTGGGGGAAGCAGGGAAGGGGATGGGGGGAAGCAGGGAACGGGATTGGGGGAAGCAGGGAACGGGATGGGGGGAAGCAGGGAACGGGATGGGGGGAAGGAAGGGAAGGGGATGGGGGGAAGCAGGGAAGGGGATTGAGGGAAGCAGGGAAGGGGATGGGGGGAAGCAGGGAAGGGGATGGGGGGAAGCAGGGAAGGGGATGGGGGGAAGCAGGGAAGGGGATGGGGGGAAGCAGGGAAGGGGATGGGGGGAAGCAGGGAAGGGGATGGGGGGAAGCAGGGAACGGGATTGGGGGAAGCAGGGAACGGGATGGGGGGAAGCAGGGAACGGAATGGGGGGAAGCAGGGAACGGAATGGGGGGAAGCAGAGAAGGGGATGGGAGGAAGCAGGGAACGGGATGGGGGAAGCAGGGAAGGGGATGGGGGGAAGCAGGGAAGGGGATGGGGGGAAGCAGGGAAGGGGATTGGGGGAAGCAGGGAAGGGGATTGGGGGAAGCAGGGAACGGGATGGGGGGAAGCAGGGAACGGGATGGGGGGGAGCAGGGAACGGGATGGGGGGAAGCAAGGGAAGGGGATTGACGAGACGAAGGGGGGCAACGGGCGGAAGGGAGCGCGACGAGGGGAAGGAAGGGCGGCGGGCGGAAGGGAGCGCGACGAGGGGAAGGAAGGGCGGCGGGCGGAAGGGAGCGCGACGAGGGGAAGGAGGGGCGGCGGGCGGAAGGGAGCGCGACGAGGGGAAGGAAGGGCGGCGGGCGGAAGGGAGCGCGACGAGGGGAAGGAAGGGCGGCTGGCGGAAGGGAGCGCGACGAGGGGAAGGAAGGGCGGCGGGCGGAAGGGAGCGCGACGAGGGGAAGGAAGGGTGGCGAGCGGAAGGGAGCGCGACGAGGGGAAGGAAGGGCGGCGGGCGGAAGGGAGTGCGACGAGCGGAAGGGAGTGCGACGGGCGGAATGAGTGCGACGGTGGAAGGGAGTGCGACGGGCGGATAGGAGGGCGACGGGCGGAAGGGAGGGCGACGAGCGGAAGGGAGGGCGGCGAATGGAAGGGAGATTCGAGGTGAAGCGTGGGCGGCGCATGGAAGCGTGGGCGGCGTAAGGAAGCGTGAGCGACGTACCTAAGCATGGGCAACGAGCGGAATCATGAACGACGCGAGGAAGCGAGTAACGGGAGCCAAGGAACCGTAGGCGTCGCGGGCAGGCGAAGGCGATGGGGAATCCTAAGATCAGCAAACATGCTTTACAGGGCAACCCTAATTCACTGACAGAAACGGAGAAACGGAGTGATTCTTTGGGCGTGAATGGCGGGTGAACTACGTAGGTATGCTTGACAATAAGTACCCGATGGTTTTCAAGTTCAGTTCAAGTGAACAGTGCTGCCTTGCAAGCTGACCCTCCGCTTGGTATGACTTTGAGTGTCGCTGGCCAATCACAGATCAATATCGTGACAGAATGCTCCACTTTGGGTGGTAACACGGTAATTCGCAAATTCGTATTCAGGAATCTTGAACTTGAAAACAGCCATGTAGAACTCGGGCTTTAATGCGCAATTCTTATACTTGAGATCCTGGCTTTAATCATAATTCCCCCTTTTATCAACATATTTTCCCCGTTTATCAACATATTTGCGAGTCATATGGTAAGCCAGCATGTTCTCCCGCAAACCCCAGGGAAATGTCAGAGAGAGAGCTGCTGTGACACCCCAAGCGCTGTCATGTTATGCGGGGAGAGCACGCATGGGGAAGCTGGAATTGAGAGTTCCTCGAGTTTGTCTTGGGAATTCCGCATAGTCCTCTGCGGAGACCCGCATTGATTTTTTGAATTCCCGCGGGGAGAGGCCGCGAGGATGCGATGATTCTGGGAGCAGGCGGAGTATCGAAGATCAGGCTCGACATAACACTGGGTGTACATGTCAGCAGAACGGTTTGATGCGGTTGGCCGTGGTTAACGCGCCCCGTTTAGGATTGTCGAACCTCGTCCATGCCGAAAGTCACCGCGCTGTCACCGATTGCTGGCACCGTTATGAGTAGACGCGTGCACTCGTACGGAACCAACTGCTATCTCTGATTTGTCAAAAAACGAGGCGACGCATGAGTCGAGTTGGAATGCATGCGACGTTGGGGCGGAATTTCGAGGGGCGCTGGGGTTTCCGCGGAGTGCAAGGGCAGCGGAGCAGCGCCATGCGGAGCGGATCTGCCACCACGGAAATAGATTTGCGGACTGCGTTCTCCGGAGTTTTTGTGACAATGTTCATCCCCGTTAATAGAGACTCAACTGCACGCGAATCAGGGGAGGCAACAGACAAAAACCGTGAGTTAATTCACACATATATTGAAAGTTGCACAGGAGCCAAAATCAGAGGTGCTGATAAGGGAAAATTGCGCTTACAGGAAGAGGAGAAAAAGGGTAAGAGTGACTAAAAACTAAATCGTGCGTTACCTTCAGTATGTGCAAGCGCTGTGATAAGTGTGCAGCTCCGTGTCCTCTTCAACCGAGTCTTCATCGGAGAAATTAAAAGCATAGTCTGGAGACTTGCGTGACGACATGTAGGTTGCTTCTCGACGCTAGCCCCATCGTTTGTTTCCGTGTTTCGCGGCACAAATACAGGCATCGTCTCGTGAAGGGCGTCAAGAAGGAATGCAGGAGTCGAAGCTACTGGAAGCGACTTGGAGAACCGTTCCGGGAACTCGGAAATGTGCGGAAGAGTGTCTTGAAGGTGGAAGGAATGCTCGACGAGCGCGCTCGGTCTCATTAGGTCGGGAGCATCCATGGCGATTGATAGAAAAATGAGAAAGTAACTCGGACGAAGCAACAGAAATGATTGAGTTGACTATTGCTGAAGGGGTGAATCTCGCCAGGCAGGCAAATTAGCAGGCAGGCAAACTAGCAGGCAGGCAAATAAAACCTCTAATCACTCTTATGGTCATTCACGCTGGTTGTACATATAGCCTGGCAAGGGCTGGCAGTCAAGCGCTATTTTCGTGCTGTACTCACGTTGCTGGGTGCTTGCAGCGAGCATGATCATGAGTGTGCGGCGTGCCGTGCGACGCTTCGTTGGGACCTTGCTGAGGCTTCGGCCCCTCGCTGGAATCTCAGGAGTTTATCGCAAGCACCCAAAAGGACACCACCGAACGAGATGTTCAAGATGGTTTGTGTGATCGAGCTTGGTGGGAGGTAGGTGGTGGTTGGGTGCGTGCGACTGCGAGTCCCGAGTGTGTGGTGTGTGTGGTGGTGGTCTCCTCGTTCTAGGGCCTCGCTTCACCTTCCCTCACCTCACATTGCGTCAAGCCCAATTGGGTTTTAGTGTCGCGTCGCAGGAGTTTATCGCAAAGCACCCAAATGAGCAGCTGGAAAAACCCTGAGGCTACACACGCGTAATAAATCGCATGCGATTTGGCAGTTCAAAGCAAGGGAAATTTGAAAACGAGCGGGAATGCACCAAATCTGGGTTTGGCGGGCTTTGTCTCCAACCAACAACATCCAGTGAGCAGGTGGAGCTGAATAGTAAAGAATTCAGAATTCAGTCAATTTCAGTTCGGTAAAGAAAGATTTGGGAATGAATGTGCAAGGGCTAATTTTTCGTTTTTAGAGCGCTGGAAGGCTTTTGAATTCCGAACAAGCCGTGGCGGCTATGGCTGGGCAAGCAAAAGATTTGCGATGGATGAGCGATGCACAGGCTTTGACTTGACGATTCCTGGAGGGGGAATGCTGGCGTACGTTTGCCGCCACGCATTAGGCCACGTCAGGACGAGACGTGGCATTGCGGGCGCTGCATAGCGAGGTGAACTTGCCAACGGCGCCGGAACTCGCTCATCAGATATCCCTGCTATAAGACGCAACTATAGGTTTCAGATTTGGATAATTGACTCTTTAGCTTCTCCTGATATAAACTGTGTGAAATAGAATATTAAAATGACAGAACCATACGAACTAGAATAAAAACCACATTTAAGGGCGTGTAACCTTTTCACTTTTCATCGTCCGGACGGAGGCCCCATCCGGACTTTTGTAGGGTTACTATTTTCGTTAAATTCCGTTTAGGTATTCGCTAGACCCCCTGCGACGTCGCTACCGTCCGGACAAAATCCGACACTTTTCTGCCAAACTGTTGTCCGGACTAACCTGCTGACACAGTCCGAACGGCAGTTCGGACCGTCCGATCTGGCTGCGCTGTGGTTGGGGCACGAGGTGGGTTAATCTCTCAACCAATAATGTGCCGCGATGTTTTTTTAGCGAAACTTTTGGAGTGCTGGACGAATTCTGTAATGCATGTTATATTTCATTGCGAATTTTTTTTTTTTCCGAAAACGCAAAAAGTTCCACAAATGTGTTCCGGACGGAGCTCCGTCCGGACCTGACTCCCAAGCGTCCAGACGGAGCTCCGTCCGGCCGGTTTGGAGGCTCCGTCCGGACATTTGTTAAAAACGGAAAAAGTTACACGCCCTAACCAATTATGAATCATGCACAGGCAGAACTTGCTTTACATAATTGGTAATTCAAATAGTAAAATCATAGATTTTGAAATTTTGAATAAGCTCAAGAGAAGATACGCATACAGAATATATAACGTAATCAGTCCACGTGTGACATTCATCTTGTTAGCTTAGATCATATGCAAAAAGATTTCGTGTACCACCCATCTCCAGAGAGATTAATTTCTGGCAGCGGGTGCAACAATATCGTCGAGAGCGCCGTCGCGCTTCCGCCAGCCAATCAGCGGCGGAGGCGCCTTGAAGCAAGCACGACTTGTCACTGTGGGCGAACGAAGATGCACGAAACCAGAACATAGTGTGGGACTATGTCTGGAGGTGGTTACTCGGTTATTGAAATCTGAGCAGGGAAGGATTACATAGGAGGCTGATTCGTTGGATAGTTGCATAAGTTGGTCTGCCGTGTCGCATAGGCAGCTAATGATATTAGGTATTAGGTTAGTACTAATGATTACGTTGCGATGAATCTCAACAAAGAGGTTAACTTTCTGCCTAATCCCTCTAATACCTTTTCCCGTTCCGGCGTTGAGTTGCGTTGACCGTTGACGCTGACGTGACTCTCGCCATTGCGTTAGCGTTTGACTTTACGTAGCGTAATTTTTTTAAACCGAGTGCGTGCATACGTACGGTTGACGAGGCAGTCTGACGAGGGGTTATTTCTTGAGTCGACTAAGCTTGCCGGAAGATTTTTAGATAATCGTTTCTCGAGGCGCGTCAAATTTCGTCTCTTTCCTGGCTAATACAAAGCTTTCTGGTCTAACGTTTTTTAGGAATTCGTGCGGTCCCAGTTAGTGGTTACCAGCGGTATAACCTTAGACTGTTCAAACGGCGCATGAGTCGACCGAGAAGGCAACAGCATGGGTGCAAGCATAGTACTCACTCCTCGTTAATGTCGCCGCGTCTTTCGCTTTCCCTCGCTTCGCTTCTTTCGCTTCGCAACCGCCGTCGCTGCACTCTCCGCCGCTCTCCATCTGCAACGACGTCGCACGAGTTCGTTACGCTATGCGACGCCATGGCGGACCGTCTACTGGCCTGCCGTTTATTGACGGACCGTCAACCGCCCATCCGAAGTATCCCGCCTCTCGCGCTGCCGCTGCTGCTGCTACTCGTTCTGCTGTCGCCGCCCGCTTTCCGCGACGCTCGATTCGACGGCGTTCAAAGCGCAGCCGCGGCGCCTTTCAGCGTAACTGACTCTTACACCCCGACCTGCGGGCCGCTTCCGCTTAGAGAACCTAGAGGTGCGTCTGAACCAACTCGCCTGAAAGCATGATGCGCCCCAAAAACCCGCGCCTTTCCGCGTGCTGGACTGGACTCTTGTGCCCCGGCGCTGCGCAAAGAACCAGCGGGCAGCTTCCGCTTAGAGAACCAAGAGGTGCGTCTTGGCCGAATGATTGATCTTTCCCCTTGCTCTCCCAATCCACCCCCCCCCACGTCCGCCCGAGTATGTTTTTTGAGATTTCTCAGCCTCTGCACTGGCAGCAATGCAGCGGAGCCGATCTACCACGTCGGCATGGGCGTGCCACGTATGCGTTCAGGGGGAAGAAGGTTCAACCCCTCTCTTTCTCCCCTTCCCCTCTTCCCCTCACTCCCCGCCCCTGCTCCCCCGCCTCCTCCCCATTCCTCCCCCTTCCCCTCCCCATTTCCCCCCCACCCCCCGCACCCCCCCCTCCTCTCTTCCAGCCGGGCAGCAGTGGAGCCGAGCTGCCACGTGGGTGGTTATGGGGAAGAAGGTTCATCCCCCTCCCTCCCTCCCCCAACCCCTCTTCCCCCTCCCTCCCTCCCCCAGTCCCTCTTCCTCCCCCTTCCCCCCCCTCCTTCGCAACTTCCCCCTCCCCCCCTCTCCTTCCCCTCCAGCCTGGCAGCTGTGAAGCCGTGCATACACGTGGGCGTTCAGGGGGAAGAAGCTTCATCCCCTCTCTCCCTTCCCTTCCCGTCTTCCCCCCTCTCCCCGCCCCTGCTCCCCCGCACCCTCCCCATTCTCCCCCCCCCCCCTTCACCCTCTTCCAGCCTGGCAGCTGTGGAGTCGAGCTTCCACGTGGGCGGTCATGGGGGGGAAGGTTCCTGGAATTGGGGCGAGTGTGGGGGCCAATGTGACGATCCCATGTGGCAGAGCTGTGCTTCTGGACGTGCCACGTGTCAGCCTGGGATTGCTCATTGTGAAGGGCTGGCTGAGGTGCGCAGTGGTATTGTAGTTTGATGTACAGGACACTAAAGTTCTGTTTAATTTGACACATTATGTACATTATAGGAAAAAACATCATCAGAATATCACCTACTTGTCCATACGTTGCTAAAAACACTACTATGTGAAACTGAAACTGTGTGATCTCTGTTTTTACTTGCTTTCTCTTGGGATCCTCAACATCTGCCTCCCCTTGCTGCATGTCTTGTTCATTCGTCCTATACTTGCTGCATGTCGTGTTAATTCCATTGACCTATGACAGATTGCTGGACAACCCGTTTGTACCCTCTATAAACGTCCAAGCCCGGTTCATTATAGTTTACGGTCGCCTATCTGTGGGCACAGAGAAGCACCACTTCCACTCCCAAGCCACATTCACGCTCGTCCCAAACCTCAGGTTCGGCCGAGCCTTTCAGCTTTTTTCACCCAGCTTGCCTGCTGGCACCAGCGCTGCCTTTCCAGTTGTGTTCAATTGAGTGAGAGCAGAATAAGAGAAACCATATAAATCACAAAAAATATCCGATGTTGCTGTAAGTCAATGCCAGCTGCTTCGCTGGAAATTGTGTTTGTGTCTGTCTATCCCATATTAGAAGCAGCACAAAAGTGTCTACCTGTGCTGTGATCCGGTTTATGGGTACTCAGTCTCCTCCCCCTTGATTTCTTGTCTTTTAACTCATCACCTCTTAGGTTCGGCCGATCTGAATTCCTGCTTCGGCAGCCAGCTCCGGCCGATCCTGCCCACCCTCGTAGCCTCGGGCACAAGGCGTTTGTGGTGGTGAGTGCGCTGCTGCTACTGGTTCGTTCGTGTTTCTTGAGCCGCCTACTAAATGCACGATGTACAGATTGTTGGATTGCTGCTGGTGTGAATTTCATGCCATGGGTTTTTGTCACCCTCCTTCTGTTGCTCTCAGGTGGGCAGTCAGGTGAATTTTCACAGCACGCCAGGTGGTGGCTCCAGCTTGCCTTGTTATTCACCTACATGCCATGCCAAGGGTTTCTTGTCGTCCCCCCTCTGTTGCTCTCAGGTGGGCGGCCAGGTGGATTTCCACGGCATGCCAGGTGGCGGCAGCACGCCCGCGTGGGTCCGGCTGGCACAACGGGCCAATAAGGGCGCGCGGCAGATCACTGTAGACGCTGACGTCAGCGCATGGCCCCGAGGGGGCGTGATTGCATTGGCGAGCACGACGCCAGATTTGAATAACGCCGAAAAAGCAATCGTTACTGGGGGTGAGTGAGAAGTCATATCATAACTGAAGGGGAGAGGAGAAGGGGGAGGGTGGGGGGAGGGTTGATTGCGGTGGCGAGCACGAAACCGGATTTGAATAACCCTAAATTGCTATTGAAGGCTTGTATGGGGGATCACTATTGAAGGCTTAGATGGGGGATCACTATTGAAGGCTTATATGGGGGATCACTATTGAAGGCTTATATGGGGGATGACTATTGAAGGCTTATTTGGGGGATCACTATTGAAGGCTTATACGGGGGATCACTATCGAAGGCTTATACGGGGGATCACTATTGAAGGCTTAGATGGGGGATCACTATTGAAGGCTTATATGGGGGATCACTATTGAAGGCTTATATGAGGGATGACTATTGAAGGCTTATTTGGGGGATCACTATTGAAGGCTTATACGGGGGATCACTATCGAAGGCTTATACGGGGGATCACTATTGAAGGCTTAGATGGGGGATCACTATTGAAGGCTTATATGGGGGATCACTATTGAAGGCTTATATGGGGGATGACTATTGAAGGCTTATTTGGGGGATCACTATTGAAGGCTTATACGGGGGATCACTATCGAAGGCTTATACGGGGGATCACTATTGAAGGCTTAGATGGGGGATCACTATTGAAGGCTTTATATGGGGGATGACTATTGAAGGCTTATATGGGGGATCACTATTGAAGGCTCATATGGGGGATCGCTATTGAAGGCTTATACGGGGGATCACTATCGAAGGCTTATATGGGGGATCACTATTGAAGGCTTAGATGGGGGATCACTATTGAAGGCTTATATGGGGGATTACTATTGAAGGCTCATATGGGGGATGACTATTGAAGGCTTATTTGGGGGATCACTATTGAAGGCTTATACGGGGGATCACTATCGAAGGCTTAGATGGGGGATCACTATTGAAGGCTTTATATGGGGGATGACTATTGAAGGCTTATATGGGGGATCACTATTGAAGGCTCATATGGGGGATCGCTATTGAAGGCTTATGTGGGGGATCACTATTGAAGGCTTATATGGGGGATCACTATTGAAGGCTTATATGGGGGATCACTATTGAAGGCTTATATGTCCTTCAGCTTTTCTCTCCCCTCCCTGTCTCACTCAGTGAGGGAGGGGGATCGGCCCAGCAAGCAGCGAAATAACCCTGCACCACCCTCTGAAGCTCACCCACTGTCCCGTGCTGTTGAGAGGAATGCCCTCATTGATTGAGGGACGACGGGCTTGGTGTTGCTGGCTCACCCACTGTCCCGTCCCGTTGTGCCTCCACTCCGCTTCCCCCCTCCCTCCCCTGCCTTCTCTCGTGCAGTGAAGCGGGTTGGTGCATCCAGCAGCGAGAAAACTCTGTACCGCCCTCTGAAGCACTCGCACGACGGGGAGAGGAATGCTGTGAGGGACGGGTTTGGCGTCGTTGGCTCACTCCCCTATCCTTCCACCCTTGCTTGGTTATGTCCCTCCCTTGCTTGCAGTCAGGAGGATCAACCCATCCAGCAGCGTCATCTCCCTCTACCGCCCTCTCAAGCACTCGCATGACGGGGAGAGGCACGCTGTGAGGGACGGGTTTGGCGGCACTGTGGACGTTCGGGCCGAGGTGGCGCTGCTGACACGGAATATTGTGATTCAAGGGGTGCACGAGCAGCCTCCGTACCAGTATGATGGTGAGAGAAGCGTGTGTGACTGTATTGAAGGATGGTAGAATGGAGGGGGATAAGCTGAGTTAAGTGCATATAAGCTGAGTTGAGTGCATTGAGTGGATTGAACATCCATTGAGCGGAGGCTCAGTGGACGTTCGAGCCGAGGTGGCTGCTGACGCGGAATATTGTGATTCAAGGGGTGCATGAACAGCCGACGTACCAGTATGATGGTGAGAGAAGAGGGTGCTTATAGGGATGATGAGTGTAACGAGGGTTGAGTCGAGTGTGCTGAGTGGGGAGGTTAGAAGTTTGTTGGGGCCAAGGTAACGCTGCTGCTGACCTGCAACATTGTGATTCAAGGCGTGCAACAAGCAGCCGCCAGTTTGATGGTGAGGGAAAAAGTGTTGGTATTAGCAAACAGGTGGGCTGCGGAGGTCTTATGTCCATCAGCTTGGGTGGTTCTAAGACGACGAGACAAACTCCATGTCAAGAAAAAAAATGAGAAGCCCGGTTGGCTTGTGTGCTAGAACGTGTTTAGAGAGCCCGGTTGAACAACGTAAGCTTAAGATCAGCACGGTTGTTAGAGGAAAGGTGGTGCTGCTGACCCGCAACAGTGTGATTCAAGGCGTGCAACAAACAGCCGCCAGTTTGATGGTGAGAGAGAAGTGTGATTCAAGTGTGACTGTATTGTGCCTTGTAAGGTGGTACCCGGACCCTGGTGTTGTTGCAGGGTGTTTCTGAGAATTCTCAAAAAACACCCTGCAAAATCATGGTACCCGGACCCCAGTGCATTTGCATGTGTGCGTGTGTTCGCCTGTTTTTCTTTTATGCTTGTCTGTACACACGCGTGTGTCTGCACTCCAGATTCGCTGTGTTTTCCCCCTCTCTGTGCTCATACTACTCCCTCCACCTCTCGCCCTCCTCCCCTCCCCACCCTTCATACCCCCCTCTCAGGCGGTCACTTCATGGTCCAGACTCGCCTTTTGAGAATTCTCAAAAGTCGCACCAACATGACAGACTCGCCTTTTGAGAATTCTCAAAAGTCGCACCAACATGACAGACTCGCCTTTTGAGAATTCTCAAAAGTCGCACCAACATGACAGACTCGCCTTTTGAGAATTCTCAAAAGTCGCACCAACATGACAGACTCGCCTTTTGAGAATTCTCAAAAGTCGCACCAACATGACAGACTCGCCTTTTGAGAATTCTCAAAAGTCGCACCAACATGACAGACTCGCCTTTTGAGAATTCTCAAAAGTCGCACCAACATGACAGACTCGCCTTTTGAGAATTCTCAAAAGTCGCACCAACATGACAGACTCGCCTTTTGAGAATTCTCAAAAGTCGCACCAACATGACAGACTCGCCTTTTGAGAATTCTCAAAAGTCGCACCAACATGACAGACTCGCCTTTTGAGAATTCTCAAAAGTCGCACCAACATGACAGACTCGCCTTTTGAGAATTCTCAAAAGTCGCACCAACATGACAGACTCGCCTTTTGAGAATTCTCAAAAGTCGCACCAACATGACAGACTCGCCTTTTGAGAATTCTCAAAAGTCGCACCAACATGACAGACTCGCCTTTTGAGAATTCTCAAAAGTCGCACCAACATGACAGACTCGCCTTTTGAGAATTCTCAAAAGTCGCACCAACATGACAGACTCGCCTTTTGAGAATTCTCAAAAGTCGCACCAACATGACAGACTCGCCTTTTGAGAATTCTCAAAAGTCGCACCAACATGACAGACTCGCCTTTTGAGAATTCTCAAAAGTCGCACCAACATGACAGACTCGCCTTTTGAGAATTCTCAAAAGTCGCACCAACATGACAGACTCGCCTTTTGAGAATTCTCAAAAGTCGCACCAACATGACAGACTCGCCTTTTGAGAATTCTCAAAAGTCGCACCAACATGACAGACTCGCCTTTTGAGAATTCTCAAAAGTCGCACCAACATGACAGACTCGCCTTTTGAGAATTCTCAAAAGTCGCACCAACATGACAGACTCGCCTTTTGAGAATTCTCAAAAGTCGCACCAACATGACAGACTCGCCTTTTGAGAATTCTCAAAAGTCGCACCAACATGACAGACTCGCCTTTTGAGAATTCTCAAAAGTCGCACCAACATGACAGACTCGCCTTTTGAGAATTCTCAAAAGTCGCACCAACATGACAGACTCGCCTTTTGAGAATTCTCAAAAGTCGCACCAACATGACAGACTCGCCTTTTGAGAATTCTCAAAAGTCGCACCAACATGACAGACTCGCCTTTTGAGAATTCTCAAAAGTCGCACCAACATGACAGACTCGCCTTTTGAGAATTCTCAAAAGTCGCACCAACATGACAGACTCGCCTTTTGAGAATTCTCAAAAGTCGCACCAACATGACAGACTCGCCTTTTGAGAATTCTCAAAAGTCGCACCAACATGACAGACTCGCCTTTTGAGAATTCTCAAAAGTCGCACCAACATGACAGACTCGCCTTTTGAGAATTCTCAAAAGTCGCACCAACATGACAGACTCGCCTTTTGAGAATTCTCAAAAGTCGCACCAACATGACAGACTCGCCTTTTGAGAATTCTCAAAAGTCGCACCAACATGACAGACTCGCCTTTTGAGAATTCTCAAAAGTCGCACCAACATGACAGACTCGCCTTTTGAGAATTCTCAAAAGTCGCACCAACATGACAGACTCGCCTTTTGAGAATTCTCAAAAGTCGCACCAACATGACAGACTCGCCTTTTGAGAATTCTCAAAAGTCGCACCAACATGACTGACTCGCCTTTTGAGAATTCTCAAAAGTCGCACCAACATGACAGACTCGCCTTTTGAGAATTCTCAAAAGTCGCACCAACATGACTGACTCGCCTTTTGAGAATTCTCAAAAGTCGCACCAACATGACTGACTCGCCTTTTGAGAATTCTCAAAAGTCGCACCAACATGACAAACTCGCCTTTTGAGAATTCTCAAAAGTCGCACCAACATGACTGACTCGCCTTTTGAGAATTCTCAAAAGTCGCACCAACATGACTGACTCGCCTTTTGAGAATTCTCAAAAGTCGCACCAACATGACTGACTCGCCTTTTGAGAATTCTCAAAAGTCGCACCAACATGACAAACTCGCCTTTTGAGAGTTCTCAAAAGTCGCACCAACATGACTGACTCGCCTTTTGAGAATTCTCAAAAGTCGCACCAACATGACTGACTCGCCTTTTGAGAATTCTCAAAAGTCGCACCAACATGACTGACTTGCACGCCCCACACGATTCACGGCGTGCAGTTCAAGGGGTTGAAGAAGCAAGCAGGGGGCAGGGAGGAAAAGGCAGACCTTTCTCCTGTTTCTGCCTCTCCCACCACTCCTCTCCCTCCACTCCTCTCCCACCACTCCCCAGGTGGGCATTTTATGGTCTACATGACTCGCACACCTCAAGTAATTCACGGCGTGCAGTTCAAGGGGCTTGGGATGCAGGGCAGCTTGGGAAAATACCCCCTGCACTTTCACATGTGCGGCAACGTGAAGCGACGGTTCCTAGTTCGCAAGAACGTGATTCTGGAGTCGAAGCAGGTGCGAGAGGGACTGGAGAGGGAGTGAGGGCTGGGGAAGCAGGGTGCTTTGGGGCGGTACTTGGTGCACTTTCACGTGTGTGGGACGTGAAGAGAAGAAACGGTTCAGAAGAATGTGGTTCTGGCGCACTCTGGAGAGACAGGGAGAGCACTCTGGAGAGACAGGGAGAGCACTCTGGAGAGACAGGGAGAGCACTCTGGAGAGACAGGGAGAGCACTCTGGAGAGACAGGGAGAGCACTCTGGAGAGACAGGGAGAGCACTCTGGAGAGACAGGGAGAGCACTCTGGAGAGACAGGGAGAGCACTCTGGAGAGACAGGGAGAGCACTCTGGAGAGACAGGGAGAGCACTCTGGAGAGACAGGGAGAGCACTCTGGAGAGACAGGGAGAGCACTCTGGAGAGACAGGGAGAGCACTCTGGAGAGACAGGGAGAGCACTCTGGAGAGACAGGGAGAGCACTCTGGAGAGACAGGAAGAGCACTCTGGAGAGACAGGGAGAGCACTCTGGAGAGACAGGGAGAGCACTCTGGAGAGACAGGAAGAGCACTTTTAGGCGGTACTTGGTGCACTTTCACGTGCGTGGCGACATGAAGCGACGGTTCATTGTTCGCAAGAACGTGATTCTGGAGTCCACACAGGTGAGGTGAGAGGGAGAGAGCGGGAAAGAGAGGTGAGAGGGAGAGAGCGGGAAAGAGAGGGCCTGGGTAAGCAGGGCAGTCTAGGGCGGCCACCGTTCACTTTCACGTGCGTGGCGATGTGAAGCAACTGTTATTGTTGACAAGAGCGTGATTGTGGGGTGAAAGCAGGTGCGATTGGTGCGATCTCACTCCCTCGCCAATGTGTATTTTCCCCCGTCCCCCTCCCCTCGCCCTGCAGCGCTGCATAGTGGTGGTACATGCGGCATCACGAGTAACTATTGCAGACATCTAAGTAGTGCCCTCTCGTCTCGTACGAGTGACAATGTGGCGCATAGTCACTGTGGTACGAGTGACAATGTGGCGCTGCATAGTGGTGGTACATGCGGCATCACGAGTAACTATTGCAGACAACGTGGGCGTACGAGACGAGAGGGCACTACTTCGTATTGGAGGAGGGCAGCGAGGCTGAATATGTTATTTGAGAATTCAAAAAAAAAAACAGATCCAGCTGGAGGACGGCAGTGAGGCGAGGGGGAATGGCTTCCTCCCTCCCTCGCCAATGGAGGGAGACATGGCCAATGTGTCCTTTCCCCCGTCTCCCTTTCCCTCGCCAATGTGTCCTTTCCCCCGTCTCCCTTTCCCTCGCCCTGCAGCGGTGCATAGTGGTACATGCGACATCACAAGTAACCATTGCAGACAACGTGGCGTATGAGGCGAGGGGGCACTGCTTTGTGCTGGAGGAGGGCAGTGAGGCGAGGGGGCGCCACTTCCTTAATCCCTTGCCAATCTGTCCTCCCCCACTCTCCCCTTGCCTTTGCCTTTGTGCAGCGCTGCACAGTGGTTCATGCTACATCACGGGTAACGATAGCTGCCAACATGGCGTATGAGACGAGAGGACACCTCTGCTATGTGTTTCCTCTAGAATCCGTTTCCCCCTTGCATTGCACCCCTCCCTTTCCCTCGCCCTGCAGCGGTGCATAGTGGTTCATGCCACCTCACGGGTAACCATTGCAGACAACGTGGCGTATGAGACGAGGGGGCACTGCTTTGTGTTGGAGGAGGGCAGTGAGGCGAGGAACACCTTTATCCGCAACCTGGGCATGTGCACCCGTGCTGGTGGGTGTTGCAGTGTGGTGTTGGTGTGCAGTGTGGTGTGTGTGTGTGTGTGTGTGTGTGTGTGTGTGTGTGTGTGTGTGTGTGTGTGTGTGTGTGTGTGTGTGTGTGTGTGTGTGTGTGTGTGTGTGTGTGTGTGCGTGCGTGCGTGCGTGCGTGCGTGTGTGCGTGTGTGCGTGTGTGCGTGTGTGCGTGTGTGCGTGTGTGCGTGTGTGCGTGTGTGTGTGTGTGTGCGTGTGTGTGCGTGTGTGTGTGTGTGTGTGTGTGTGTGTGTGTGTGTGTGCATGCGCGCTGAGGCAGAGAGGGCGTTGCTCGTCTTGGACTTGGGCAGTGAGGCGAGGAGGGCAGTGAGGCGAGGAGGGTGTGTTGTGTTGTGCGCAACGTTCATGCGCAACGTTGTGTTGTGTGGGGCATGAGCACACAAGAGAGAGACGCGCTGGAGAGAGACGCTTTGAGTCGACGCAGACTAGTCACGTGTGTTGTGTGGGATCCAGACAAGAGTGCGGGCATCACCGGTTCAAAGGCGCAGGGGGACGACAAACACACTCACTGATTTACCATATCCTCTTATTCCTTCCTCTTTTCACAACCCCCCTCTCTTCCCCCCCCTTCTCAACCCTCTCTCGCTCCAACTCCTCCCTTCCCTCCAACACATCGGCTCATCCCCCCTGCCAGAAAGACCAGCAGCCGTCCACGGTTTGGGAGTGATTTTTGAGAATTCTAAAAAATTCTTTAAATTTCTCAAAAATTCCCCCCCAACCCCTCGTTCCCCACCATCCAATCCCCCCCCCACACCTCCTCCAGTGCACCGCCTTATCCCCCCAGCTTGACCGCCTTATCCCCCCAGCTTCGCTCGCCAAGTTTGACCGCCCGACACACAAACCGTCCACGTTCTGGCTCGTCTCAAGCCCTGTCCCTGTCCTTCCCTACCCTTCTCTCCCCTGCGGTTCGCCCCACCCTTCCTTCTTCAGTGCAACGGCTTATCCCCCCGGCCTCCCCCGGCCACCCCCGCCTCCCCCTCTCTTACCTCTTCCCTTTCTCCCTCCCCCCCCCCCCCCCCCACCACACTTCAGTGCAACGGCTTATCCCCCCGGCCTCCCTTGCGAAATTCGACCGCCAGACGGACGACAGGCCGTCCACGTTTTGGCTCGCCACGCCCTTCAACAGCTTCGTGGGGAACGTGGCCGCTGGGTCAGAGGACTCGGGGTGAGTGGTGTTTCGTGGCACAGTGTGGTGCAGCGCAGCGTGGTGCAGTGCGGTGCAGCGCAGCGTGGTGCAGTGCGGTGAAATGACACTGTAGATCCTACTGGTTCGCCACTGCCTCTTGCCTCGCCACTCCCTTCAACAGCTTTGTGGGGAACGTGGCTGCTGGGTCGGAGGACTCGGGGTGAGTGGCGGTGTGGTATGGTGTTGAGTGGTGCATGGTGCATGCTGCATGGTTCATGGTGCAGTGTGGTCTCCGGTACTGTAGACCCTGCTGCTGGCTCGCCACTGTTTTTTGGCAGCCTCCACAGCCCACCTGTCCACTACTGCCAGCCACGCCATTCAACAGCTTTGTGGGGAACATGGCTGCGGGGTCAGAGGACTCGGGGTGAGTTTAGGGTGCAGTGCGGTGCAAATTGGTGTTTGGAATTGTAGCCCCTGCTGGTTCGCCACTGCCTCTTGCCTCGCCACGCCCTTCAACAGCTTCGTGGGAAACGTGGCTGCTGGGTTGGAGGACTCGGGGTGAGTGGAGGGTGTGATGCAGTGCAGTGCAGTGCAGTGCGGAGCGGTGCGTAGATTCTGGTTAGATCTCAACAATCACCAAGGGGCATCGACCCTCTTGTGCCTTGTTCTCTCACTCACTGCTACTTGTTCCTTCTCGTTGTTTCTGAGACGCCTCAAACCACTACTTTTATCACCAAGGGGCATCGACCTTCTCATTCCTTGTTCTCTCACTCACTGCTACTTCTTCCTTCTCATTCCTTCACCCCCTCTTTTGAGGCGCCTCAAAAGTCGTTCCTCCCTTCCCTCCCATCCCTCAGCTTCTGGCTGGAGCTCAACAAGCACATGAGGGGACTGTCTAAGAACCTCCCCTTCAATGCTCATGCCTTGGCCCTTCTACTCTCTCCCCCCCATTCGTCCGTGTTGCTCCTTTCTTCCCTTCCCTCCCATCCCTCAGCTTCTGGCTGGAGCTCAACAAGCACATGAGGGGTCCGTCCAAGCGCCTCTCCTCTCATGCCTTGCTCTCTCACTCACTCACTCCTCCTTCCTCCCTATCCTCCCTATCCTCCCTATCCTCCCTATCCTCCCTCTCCTCCCCCCACCAGCTTCTGGCTGGAGCTAAACAAGCACATGAGGGGACTGTCTAGCAACCTCCCCTTCTGGAAAACCCTCTCTCCTGTGACGCTCGCCTTTGGGGTCTTCACAGGCAACGTGATTCACTCCAATGCCCTCTTTGGCCTGCGCACCTACCCTCATGGTGCCCGCCCCATGTTCCCTTCCAAAGGGAAGGGAAGAGAATCAATCCAAGTAAGTCAACGCTAGTCAACACGCCAGTCAGTGCTAGTCAACGCCAGTCAGTGCCAGTCAACGCCAGTCAAAACTAGTCAATGCTAGCACAAGATGGCAATGTGCTTCACTCCAATGCCCTCTTTGGCCTGCGCACCCACCCTCATGGTGAAAAGATTATTTTTGAGACGTCTCAAATATAATCTTTTTACACGTGGCTTCACTCCAACGCCCTCTTTGGCCTGCGCACCCACCCTCATGGTGCCCGCCCCTTGTTTCCCTCGAGAGGGAAAGGAAGAAAAGCGATCCAAGTAAGTCAACGCGTCAATCAGTCGTGGTCAATGCCAGAGCTCAGTTGACTTTTGAGTCGACTCAAAAATCAATCATGGTCAATGCCAGAGCTCAGTTGACTTTTGAGTCGACTCAAAAATCAATCGTGGTCAATGCCAGAGCTCTTAGTGCCAAAGATGTCTATGTTCTCTCTCTCTTCACTCATCCCTTTTTTTCTCCCCTCTCCCTTACTCACCCCTTTCCCTTACTCACCCCTCTCCTTCTTCCCTCTTCCCAACCCCCCTGTCCCACCCCATCCCTGTTTCTGCTTCCACCTCTGTTCACTCCTCTCCTCTCCCCTCTTTCCAACCCATCCCCCATGCCCTCCCCTCCTCACGTTCAGGTGCGCATCTCTCACTCTCTCGTCTACAGCAACCCCATTGGGTGAGCGCTGATGCTGCTCAAAAGTGTCTCATGAGTGAGCAGCGCCGCCGCCGCCGCCGCCGCCGCTGCCGCTGCTGCTGCTGCTGCTGCGGCTGCGGCTGCCGTACCTTTTTTTTCTTCTCTGTGGCTGCTGCATTCGCAAACCTTGTTTCCGCTGCAACCACTACTGCTACTGCTGACGTTTTTGTTTTTGGCTTCTGTATCCGCTGCTATCTTTGTTGCTGCTACTGCCGCCACCACTGCTGCTGCTGCTGCCGCCGCCGCCGCCGCCGTTTGAATCTTGTTCTATACTGCAACTGTTTGATACTGTTGTCTATCCCTTTCCTCAGCACATTCTTGCACAACAGTTGGAGCATGGCGAAATCTTAAGACGCCTCTACACTCCTTCCCAGCCTCCATTCCCCTCGCTTTCCTTCCCCTGCTCCCCACCGCCATCCCTCCCCCCCCCCTCCCCGCCTCTTCCGCCCCCGCCCCCGCCCCCAGCGTATTCCCGTACAACAGCAGCCAGAGCATCACCATCAGCCACTCCACCTTTATCAACAACCACACTTGATCTTTCTTACTTCTCCTGTCTACTCTCTCCCTTACCCCCCTCTACTCCCCCGTCTTCCTCCCTTCTCCACCCCAGCGTATTCCTGTGTAACAGCAGCCAGAGCATCACCATCAGCCGTTCCACCTTCCTCAACAACTGCATTGCCGACGACCTCAACCGCCACTCCTCTATCCACCCTCCCTCGCAACCAACCCCTCACCTTCCCCCGTTCCCAACCCCCCCCTCCCAACCTCCCCACCAGCATATTCCTGTACAACAGCCAGAGCATCACAGTGGGTCACTCCACCTTCATCAACAACCGCGTTGCCATCGACCTCAACCGCAACTTTGGCATCCTCATTCTTGCGTGCACCTTCATCGGCCGCACCACCTGCAGGTAACAAAACAATGCATGTGATTGAACAGAGCACGCTGTAGGAATAGAACGAGCTAAGTCTGGAGATCTGGGTCGAATCTATCCTTTTCCGTGTAAAAGAACAGCGCATGCAACTGTCCACTCAGCTGCATGCGCTGAGTGCATGCAACTGTCCACTCAGCTGCATGCGCTGAGTGCATGCAACTGTCCACTCAGCTGCATGCGCTGAGTGCATGCAACTGTCCACTCAGCTACCCACCATTCTATCAACAACCGCATTGCCATCGACCTCAACCGCAACTTTGGGATTCTCATTGCCGCATGCACCTTCATCAGCCGCACGGCCTGCAGGTAAGAATATGTGTGCGGATATGAAGAAGCACTGGGCAGTGCAGGTAGCACTGCCAGCCCAGTGACTTTTGAGTCGACTCAAAAGTCACCTCGTTTTGAGTCGACTCAAAAGTCACCTCGTTTTGAGTCGGCACAAAAGTCACCTCGTTTTGAGTCGACTCAAAAGTCACCTCGTTTTGAGTCGGCTCAAAAGTCACCTCGTTTTTGAGTCGGCTCAAAAGTCACCTCGTTTTTGAGTCGGCTCAAAAGTCACCAGCCAGTCCCATCTTTGACATCCTCGCCTGCGGCCAACTCCGCCACAGCTACTGCCAACAACACACGCACTGACACCACTGCTAATCCTATCAACACATGCAGCACCACAGCTAATGCCATCAGTCTCCTCCTTCCCCGTTGCCCCAACAGCAAATCTTCCGGAGGGTCAACACCTTACCATGCTGCATCGACACAGCTACCGCCGTCAACACATGCAGCACCACAGCTAATGCCATCAGTCTCCTCCTTCCCCGTTGCCCCAACAGCAAATCTTCCGGAGGGTCGACACCCTATGATGCTGCATCGACACACCTAATGCCACCAACCCTGCCACAGCTACTGCCATCAACACATGCAACACCACAGCTACCAGCAGGAGCAGCGTCTTCTAACCTGCACGTTGAAGCTGCTATTAACGAGGATGAAATGGAAGGGTACACCACCTCGAACTGGCAGTCGCCTGGTTTGATGCTAACAGCGCCTCAGTACAGTATGGAGGATGACTATAGCGAGGATGACTATAGTGAGACAGCCGAAGCAGCTACTAAAGGAGTCATGGGAAGGGGAGGGAAGTGGGGATGGAGGAGGAGGAGGAGAGTGCGTGGAGAGAGTAATGGATCAGCTTATAACGCGGATGAGGGAGATGACGTGGGTTTGGGTGAATTCTCTACGAAAGTTCTCAGCACTTATACAAAGGATGGATCAGCTTACAATGAAGATGAATTAGTGTATAATGACGATGAAATGGTTCACAAAGATAATAAGGATGGCAATGATGTAGACGGAGAGGAAGGGGAAGAGGAAGTGGAGGAAGAGGATTATGGGGTTGGGGAGATTGAAGCAGAGACGAGGATGAAGGAGGTGGCGACCAGGGGTCGTGTGGCTGCGGGGTTCTTCTATTCGCGGGGCGGAGAGAAGGGGTATGGGGTTGAGAAAAGTGAGGGACATGAGCAGGGGGTGGGGATGGCGAAAAAGGGCTGTGTGGCAGCGGGGTTCTTCCATTCGCGGGACGGCGATGAGGTAGGCGACGAGGAGGAAGAGGAAGAGGAGTATGGGGGTGGGGAAGTCGAGGCGGAGAGGAGGGGAAAGGAGGAGGCGAGGAGGGGAAAGGAGATGGCGACGAGGGGCCGTGTGGCTGCGGGGTTCTTCTATTCGCGGGACGGCGGCACGTTCAAGAGCCCGATTGGCGTGATGCTGAGTCAAGTGAAGCTGAGCGGCATGCTGGAGGCCAATAGGGTGGTCAACAGCAGGTGAGAGAAGAAAGGGAGCGGGGGGGGAGGAGGGTATACAGGGCATGAGTCAAATAGGTTTGTGCGAGGGATGGCACGTTCAAGAGCCCAATCGGCGTGATGCTGAGCCAAGTGATGCTGAGCGGCATGCTGGCAGCCAGTAGGGTGGTCAACTCAAGGTGAGAGGCGAGGAGGGAGTGGGGCTGGGGGAAGGAGGGAGGGGAAGTGTCAAGCTGGAAGCCAATAGAGTGGTGCAGAGTGGTGCAGAATGGTGCAGAATGGCGCAGAATGGTGGACAACAGGTGAGGGGGAAGGGGACAGGGGGCAACGAAGGCTGACCGTAGGAGGCGAGGAGGAGCTTTATTGTAGAGGGTTCACAAAACCCTCATCTCATCTTCCTCTTTCCTCTTTCTTCTTCCGTTCTCCACATCACGTCAGTTTTTTGGGGTTTGGAGAGTGGCCCTGAAACCAGTTCAGCTCCACTAGGAAGAGCTCTGAACTGGTGCTGGTGGTGAATAAGCACCCCCCTCAGAGGCGGTGAATAAGGCGGGCAGGCATGAGGGGCTTTAGAGGATACTCACGCAACCCTCCCCTCTCCCTCATTCCATCTTCCCCTTTTCCTCTCAAACAACAATGCATCAGGTTTTCGGGGTTTGGGGAGTGTGGCCCCACTCGAAAGAGCTCCGCGCTGGTGTTGGCAGTCAATAAGGCAGGCGGGCCTTTTGAGAACTCTCACAACCCTTATCTCATGTTCTCCTTTCCCCGCATTCCCCTCCCTTCAACACGTCAGGTTTTCGGGGTTTGGGGAGTGCGGCCCCACTCGAAAGAGCTCCGCGCTGGTGTTGGCAGTGAATAAGGCGGGGGGGTTCTGGAACCCAGCAATGAGTGTGAAGGTGAGATGGAGGGAGTGAGAGAGAGCGAGTGAGTGACAGAGTGTGAGTGCTTGTGCGTTTCACATCCGCAACAAGACACACAGGATCCTGCGCCAAGCATTTGTTTCTTGCCTCTCCCCATACCGTAAACCCTGAACTCTACACAGTAGATGGATTCTTGCCCTCTGTTCACTTCCGTTCCCTGCTCTCCTTCCTCAGGGCCTTCAATTCACGTCTGCCACAAGGCGCCTCTATGCTGTTCCCAATGCGGTAAGTGCTGCTATTTGTGGTCCATTTGTGGTACTTACTTGGTAAGTGCTGCTATTTGTGGTAAGTGCTGCTATTTGTGGTAAGTGCTGTGGTAAGGGAGAGGAGAGGAGAGGAGAGGAGAGGAGAGCATGCAACACTCGTTTTAACACGCTGCACGATGCCCATGGCTCCTGCTTCTCTATTCTTAATATCCCATCTTCCCCCTTTCCCCCTACCTCCCCGTCTTCCTCCCTTCACCTCTCCAGCCCAACCGGCCTGTCCCCAGGGGAGGCTCCAACGTTCGGTTCTACGCCCTCCAGGGGGATCAAACGCTCGCACGATGCCCATGGCTCTATCCTCTCCCTTCCCCTTCCCCTTACCACCCCACCCTACCTTCACCTCTCCAGCCCAACCGGCCTGTCCCCAGGGGAGGCTCCAACGCTCGTTTCTACATGCTGCTCGATGCAGGCGGCTCTTTCCTCTCTCTCCTTGACCTCCTTTCTCTCTGCACCTCTCCCTTCCTCTTCTTTCCTCTCCCTTCCCTTCCTTCCAGCCCAACCGGCCTGTCCCCAGGGGAGGGTCCAACGCTCGCTTCTACGCGCTGCATGATGCAGACGGCTCTTTCCTCACCTCCTCCTCTCCAGACTTCCCCAGCGCCGCCCGCCCAGCCTACCTCGTTGCTCCGTTCCACCCGATCCTGCCGCCAGCCTCGGTCCGAACCTCTCTCTGCCAGTACCATGACACGTGGTCGCTCTACTCGTGCAGGTTCGTGTGTTTCCGAGCCTGAGTGCCTGAATTGGAAGACGTCAGGTTAGGGAAAGGACAGTGGTAGATGATTCACTTTATTAAGGTTTCGGTTTTAGATCCGTCCAAACGCCAATCCAAGAGCACTGCGTGCCTCAGTCTTTCGAGTCAACTCAAAACACACACTTTCGAGTCGACTCAAAACACACTTTCGAGTCGACTCAACACACACCCAGAGCACTGCGTGCCTCACAGTCTTTCACCAGACGAAACTTGATGATCTCTCAAACCCAAGTGTATATCAACCTAAACTCCTCTCTTCCTTCCCCGTTCCCTCCTCCTTATCTCCCTGCCAGGTCTGTCTGCTACTGGGCCATCGCCCTGACCTACCTTGAGTTATTTACTTGACGCAGCCTCTATTGCCTCTCAATACCAGCTTAACACCGCTTTTGAGTGAATATCAACTCAATTACCTCGTTCCTCCTCCTCACCTTCCCGCCAGGTCTGTCTGCTACCGAGCCATCGCCCTGACCTACCTTGAGTATGGCGTGCCGAACCTATCGCCGAAGCTGATCAAAAAGCGCCGGATCCGACCCTACTCCACAGCAAAGTTCACCAGACTGACCGACCGATCCTATTTCGTTTCTTTAGGCGACCGAAATGACTACTCCAAACTGTATAAAGGCTCAAAGCCCGTTCACCGAACATTATCGGCAACTCTCTTAGCGGGGTACGCTTATTCGGTGGAAATCACCCCGCCGGGTGTAAATAGGGGGTTTTACCCTAAGAATATGACGGTTCGAGTGCTGGACAAAGGGGGGTGCGCTGGAGGGCTGGAGCTGAGGATCGTTCCGCGGACGAGAGGGACTCAATGGAGGACCATCACGAATGTGCCCCAGCTGTAAGTCTCCTCAGCACTCTTCTTCACTCCTCTTCACTCCTCTTCGCTCCTCTGCACTCCTTCCATCACTCCTCTGACAAAGGGGGGTGCGCTGGAGGGCTGGAGCAGAGGATTGTGCCACAGACGAGAGGGACTCAATGGAGGGCTATCACAAATGTGCCGCTGCAGTCCCATGCTCTCCCCATCTTCCCAACTGTCCTTGTCGGGGAAAGGGGGGTCGGAACCCCTTTCACTTGCTCAATAATTTCTGTCTGCACCCCTCTGCACTCCTCCCTTCGCCCCTCCTGCCCACCAGCCCATGCCAGGGAAAGAGGGGTTCGGAGCCCGAACCGCATGTACAAACGCTGCACGTGTTTTTATCTTCACTCCTCTGTACTCCTCTCTAACCACCTCCACCTACCAGCCCATGTCGGGGAAAAGGGGGTCGGAGCCCGAACCGCTTGTATCAGCGCTGCACGTACCGCAACAAGCAACCGACCCTGGCGCTCAGCTTCGGCCGAGCCTACGCGAAGTACAGTGGAGCGAGCATCGTGCTGGGGAGGATGAGAAGCCAAACGTGCCCTCCAGTGAAGTGAGTGATGCTGGTTGGAAGGGCATGGTGCCTATTTGTGAAAAAACTGTTCTGTTCGCTGGTTTTGACTTGACCCCTGTTTTATTTTCGTTCATTCTTAACAACTGGGCTTCTTTCTTCAATGGTGAACAATCAGCAATCTCCTTTGTTCCAAACCAAACCAATCCAATCCAATCCATTCCAACAGGTGCTGAGGATTCAAACTGCCAGCAACCACACCTCGTGGTATGGCAGTAAGGTGGCATGGCAGCATGGTGGCACGCGGCATAGGATAATGGAAACAGTAAGGTGACGTGGTGCCATGGTGACATGGTGGCATGGCATCAGCAAGGCAGTATGGCATCGGCTCGGAGCTTTTCGCATCTCCCACACCAGTTGAGAGGTGTGTTGGAGATTGGTTTTTGTTGTGGAGTTCATTATCTCTCTGGCTGGAATGAACCTGTACTACCAATACACCTGCACTACGTAAAAAAACAATCTCGGCAGGAAAACAATTGCCAGAAATAAATGGTACAAATAAGCACAGCAAGCTGCCTGCCCATCCCAGCAACCACAAACAAGCAACGTTACATACCATCTCAGCACTCGGAAACAATCAACTTATAGCCCATTCTCCACAAAAACTACCAGAAAGAACCGTTTAGCACCACGTGCCTGCCATCACCACCTGCGCCTGCAGCCCACGCCGCTGCCTGAGCTGCCAGCGTGTAAACACGCCCTGCCCAATCTATTTTCTCACTGCCTCACCTTGCCTGCAGTGCCTGATGCCCCACACTGCCTCCATTGTACCACCCAACCCATCTAGCACCATGTGCCAGCCATCACCACCTGCGCCTGCAGCCCGCGCTGCCTGAGCATCCCAGCCAGGGTATTAAACACGCTCTGGCCAATCTTCTTAATCACCGCCGTCACAAACGTGTTCATGCTCCTCACATCCTTGATCCCGCTCACACCCACGCCCAGCGCCGAGTTATAAAACTGCACCGCCGAATCCGTCGGAGCAGCCTTGCACTTAATCCAGTCCAGAAGATAAGTCTTGACGCACTGCAGGTTCCTGGTGTTGCCCGCTGCCATGAGCACGTAGCTCTGGAAGCTGGAGCTGGCGCCCTGGGTGCCTGGGCCCCATACTGCAAAGACGCTGCTGCGAATGTCAGATGACGCCTTGACGCTGTTCCAGAGGGTTTGCGAGCTGCAGTCGTCCTTGATCCACCACGTGTACCACCTGCAGAGGTGGCAGGAGAGGGGTAGGGAGCGGGGAGAGGAGGGAATGTGGGAATGGTAAGCACCACACAAGCCAAACTGGATTGCAAAATTAACAATCAAACAAAAGGATGTCTAGAAGACATACGCATTGATTCTGAAAGCGGGTAGTGATGAAGCTATGGTGTAGCTAGTTTCCGACATATATTCATATACATATATGTATGTGGGGTAATAGGGGGGGCTACCGTCTCGCAGTTGGCGCACGAACAGGTCTGCGCGAGGATCACGGAGGCCGGGAGTGACTGTAGAGTTGAGTCAAAATGTCAAAATTAGAATCACCGCACCTGCTGGCGTAGCATGGAGGAGCCACCGTCTCGCAGTCGGCGCACGAGCAGGTCTGCGCGAAAATCGCGGAGGCCTGGAGCGCGATTACGATCGCGAAGAGGAGCTTCGCAGGAGCCATGATTGTTGAGAGGACGAGTCGGACAGCAGAAGGTGGACGCAGGGAGACTAGAGATAGCAATGTTCACTTCCTCGTAGCCAAATTTGGTAAAATGATAAGATTCTAGTTTCGAAGCGCCCGAAGACGAAGGAGGTGAAGGAATTAATTGGTCGTAGAGGTCTCGAAACCAAGTTACCTGTTAAAGGAGTAGTTGTTTGATTGATTCACAATGATTGAGTCTGGCTTTACCTGGTCTGTTATACACGGACAACGACGTTGGGTTGATCTGATGCGGCTCGGGGCAAACTGGATGCAGTGGTAGAAGCCTGCGTTGGCTTCATGACTGGATGACTCATCATCATCCTATGCCTCGTACAGAACACGGCATGTTTTCCGTAGAAAAAATGTCGCGCTGTTCATCCATGTCGCGCTGTGCAAACTGTGCCACCCTGTATTATTGGGGCGACTTCCGTGCTATGATATCTGGGACTCGGCGTTTTTAAGTCGTCTATAAACTAGGGCGACTTGCCGTGCGACGCCTCTGCTAGATTCGGCGTGGACAATAAACCTTGGCTGCCGAGGGAGCAGTCTGAGAGCCGTACTTGGAGCGGACCGAGAGAAACTAGGGAGAGAATGGATGACGGAAGGTAACGGAGAACGGGAGGGCATGGAGGAGCGAGGAAATTAGAACAGGAGAGAATGGAGAGATGGAGGAGGAGCAAGGTAGAATCTATGGACTCGGCTTGAGCAGATTGAGAGGGCTGAACAGTTTACCTTGGTGTTACCGAGTTGAGTTGTGATTGGTTGGAGTGGTCGAATGTTAGAATGTTAGAATGTTATATATAGATCGTAATCTAGAACATGGACTATACAAAGCGAAAGAGAAATGGCTAAGCAAGCCAACCACCAATGAAGGAGGCGCGTGGCAGAACGCTATTCCTCTGCCTAGACAGCTTCCATATATGGAAGTTCGCTCTGTATAGAAGGGAGAAGAAGCAGACTACGGTGGGCGAAACGAGTCGTTCAAGAGCCATGAAACCCGCAAATCTGGATGAATGTCAGGAACACCTTCATCCGAGAAGGTGAAAAAACAAAACTTCTTGGCGAGGGAGATGGAAGCAGCAGCTCGTCGTCGCTTCTTAGAGGATTGCCTTCCGCTACGCCAAAGGAAAATCTTGAAGGCGATAAGGAGTTGAGCAAGGACAAGTTGAAGAATTTCAAACGCGTTAATGTGGGAGCTGCGGTACTTCCGCTCACAGCGAGCATTCCAGAGTGCCTTAGCTGCGGCGCCGGCCAGAAGACTCCAAGGCACCCGTTGGCCAGCGCGGGATGGCAAGGGGAAGAAGACCTGTTCCGTGGAGATGGTGAGACCGAGGTGGCGGCGGGCGACTGAGCGGAGTGCCATGGTGACGGGGACCGCAACCCCGCATTCGAAAAAGATGTGTGAAACTGTTTCGAGACGACCAACAACACAGGATGAGCAGATACCACGGTCGGCTGCAAAGTTGAAGCGGGAACCAGACGCAAGGGTGCGCGTATAAAAGCGGTACAGAAGATCTCTTTGAAGGCTGGGTTGGTCGCTGAGAAAGGAATGGGAGAGGTCCGGGAGGAAGGGAGGTGGGGGACCAGAGAGCGCAGCTGTCCATCTAGTATCATGATTGAGGGGTTGCCGCTGGTAGAGAAGACGTCGAATGGTAGCGAGAGGAGGAGGACCATCGGAGAGAATCGCCAGTCTTGCACCTAAACCTGTCCCCTCGTGAAAAGGCCCAAAAAGACGCCTCCCTTGAACATGAGCTGCCAAAACATGCTTAATATCGAAGGACATAGTGTCAAGTGGCTCCCTGTCGATAAGAATAGAGGGAGAAACACGAAAGATACGAGCATGAAGGGAGGACGGGGGAATAAAGGAGAGAGCCTCAAATGCCAGTAGAGGCTGGTCTGACAGCTTTTGAATCGGAATAAACCAATCCCCAGAGGAGGCATGTTGGGAAGGGGGAGTGAGAAGGGTACGTTTCCAGTCGGCCAGTATCGCGAGGAGGAGTTTCTTCAGAACGCTGCGGCCAGGGGGAAACTCTGACGGTGGCCAATGCTGGATAAACTCCTCCTCAGAAATGGGGCGGCAGGAGGGAGGGTTTGAACGGAAAATATGCCCGACACGAAGTTGGAGAGTGAGTAAGAAGTGCTCATGTTTACGAGTGCCAAATGGCGTTTTGTTAGGTTTAAGGATGAATCGGTTAAACGCAAGAGGCTCAGCTAGCAGACACCGCGGATCAAGGCGGGGAGGGAGCACAGTTGATTTCAGAGACATGAAACCCTCAAGTTCGTCGCGAATGCGAGGGCGAACTTATGCAGGAGTGAAGGGTGTGCCAGGAACGCATGCATCGCCGAGATCCGCGAGAGGGAGCTCGTCCGTGGGGTCGTCGAGGAGGAAATCCTCCCCACCCGGGTTGGTGTTGTCGTCCGCCATAACGTGGTCCATGGAGAGGTGAGGAGCAGCCATAGGAGAGGAGGCTTGTGGTTGGGGGATAGACGTGAGGGTTAAATAGTTGTTGGAGGAGGCACCTCGTGGCAAAACAATATGGGAGGGGAGAGGCGGTGGGGAAGGGAAACGGCTATCTGTTGAGACGCATCGCGAAGGGAGATGGAGAGGCAGACGATGGTTTACAGTAAACTGTAATATGGCTAGGGATATTCGCGGAGGGAGGTGGAGAGGCAGACGAAGGTTAACCGTAGACTGTAATAAGGCTAGGGCGATTCGCGGAGGGAGGTGGAGAGGCAGACGAAGGATAACCGTAAACTGTAATATGGCTAGGGCAATTCGCGGAGGGAGGTGGAGGGGCGGCCGAGGGCAGGTATGCGGATTGAGGGAGGGCGAAACATCAGGAGTGGGAGAGCATAGGCAGAGGCCGCAGCAATCCCGAACAGCAGACTGAGCGCCTCAGCGGCAGCACGAGTCGCAGCGCCATGAAGGCAGTGACAACGGTATGTGTGGGAAGGCGAACGAGTGTGTGACAGCAGCCACATGAAGTAAACCAGGTCGACAGCCACTTAGGGTCTTAGGAACGATCGAAACCAGAGATCTGAGGGAGAGAGGAGCCAAGGGTCGAGCAGGGGAAGTCAGCAGCCAGAGTGGTCGCAGAGATGTGCACGCCGTGGGCACCGAGCTGGGTGGGGGACATCCTGAAAGTGCTGCCAAAGGGGGGGGACGATCTGTTGGGCAGGGGGCATGCGGCTGGAATAGCTTGTGTGGCGAGGGCAGCAGAAGGCATGGAGCATGACGGGAAAAGAATCGAGTAAAAATAACATATGAATTGGAAAATGAGCAAGTGCGGGAAGAACAAGGAAAAATATAGGCCAACGTGGAAAACACGATGATGTGCCGAGTGCAAGAAACCAACCGACTGTTGGCATGATAGTTGGGGCAGGTGAAGGGTTGAGGTGAAAAGCTTGAAGCTGTCCAGGCAGTTCTTGCGAGACGGTTGGGAGATGGAACCATGATCTGTTGAAAATCGTCCAGGCGGGCTGCGAAGAAAACGAAAAACGACCATAACACAGCAAACAACAGGCAAAAACGAAGCTTACCTAAAAGCTTACCATTTTCCAGCGTAAGGCCGAGGGAGAGGAACCGGCCGAGGTGGCGAATGGTTTGGCCTACGTGGGTTAAGGCTAAGCGGAAGTTCCAGCTGTGCATGGTTGGTTGAGGTTGAGGATGGCAGCGAGGTGGTGGTGAGGTGAAGATCAGGGAGAAGGGGGCACCTCGGCTTGCACTGGTGAAAGAATGTGTGGCATCTGAAAAAGAGGGTTGGGAACTTGGGATTCCGGCGCGAGAAGGGGAGGGGAGGTGGTTGATGTTGAAGATGGTTGGAGTGGTCGAAGGGGGTCACTAGAAACGCGGATCTGGTGTGGGATGGGATTATTGAGCAGGTATTGGATACGATGCGTTACAACTTACAATGCTAACCATAAACCGGACAACTAGATAAGAGGGATGACATAAAGGTCTACTTGCAAACTTGTGTCCACAAACGGTAATTGCTTCAATGACATGAGATATCAGATTCACTCGGCACTGTCGCTAAACAAGAGGTTGGTGCAAACAAAAGCAAGCGCATATGCCAGAAGCAGAATAAAATCATAAACGAGGCCTATTAGGATTGAACTACCAAATACCGCAGGATCAATTTAAGCTTGTAAGTGCCTTCATAACAAAAGCGGCAGGCAAGTCAGCAATCCAGTTATGGGTCACGCTGCCACTGTTGAAAAAGTGAGGTGTTTGGTGCAAACAGCAGAAAGAAACGCTTACACTACTGCAGAAGCCAAAAAGATGAGTCTGAAGTGCTTTGAGCTCACACGCAGCAGCCGAGTCAACGATCCAGTGGTGCGGCACACAGGCACAAGCACCAACCTCTTTCCCCGCTTGCCTATGGAGGCCCAAGGCATTTTTTCGATCCCAGCAGCCGAGTCCATGATCCGGTTATGCGACACACAAGCATAGGTAAGCTAGCACAGTGCATACACTAGACGTTCAGCAGCAATGAGCTCTACAGTGCCTTGAGCTCAAACAGCAGCCGAGTCAATGATCCAGTTATGTGTCTACACGCATCAGCCTTTGCCACATTTCTGAAGAACCAACTACTAGGTAGGCTCTAGAATGGTTTCAGCTCAAATGCAGCAGCCGAATCAATGATCCAGTTATGCGTCACACAGGCACGAGCCCCCACCTCCTTCCCCAGCAGCCCAGCAGCCTCCCTCCGCTTCTCCACCAGTGCCAGTTCCCGCCGCATCTTACCCGACCCAGCCGGCGTGTTGGCAGGCACATCAGCATACACCACCAATAGGATCTTCGCCTCCCCTTCCTCCCCTTTCCTCTTTTCAATGGCAGTCGTGGTGCTATTCGTTGTGTTGGTGTTGGAGAAGGCAGCAAGAAGGGTCTTGGCTGTGGGGGAGTGGAGAGCGCTGCTTGGGATGACAGTGCCGCCTCCGCACTGGGAAGGGAAGAAAGAAAAATAGGGGATTGAGGGGTGGTAACACAAGTGGGAGTTCTGGGAAGATTTATATTGGGGAGATTTGTATGGATAAGGGTTACAGAGGATTTGGTGGTGGTGAGAGCAGCAGGGAGGATTGCAGAGGGATATTCAAGCGAGATGGCAAAACTACATGTAGCGAATCCCACCTGGAGGATGCTTGCCACGTCAGCAAAGGAAGGGCTGAGGAAGCCGCCTTCCAGAAAGACCGCCGTGATGCTGGCAAAGAGGGGAGGCGGCGAGGGATGACCATTGGCTATGGGCTGGTGTTGCAGTGAGGCGATTTGAACAGAGGGGAAAAGTGGAGAAGAGGGGAGGAATGGGAACAGCGGTTAAAGGAAGGGCTGACAAAGCCGCCTTCCAGAAAGACCGCCGTGATGTTGGCGAAGAGGGGAGGCGGTGAGGGAAGACCCTTGGCCATGGGCTGAATGGGAGGCCACCTGTGAAAGGCAACCTTTGTAGCCCCACCGTACTTGTCATGCGAGTCACAGAGCGTGCTTTCAGACTTCCATTAGCCCTGCTACAGCCCTGCTACAACCCTTCTACAGCCCTGCTACAGCCGCAATGTTTGGAACAGCGGTCAGGCTCACGGCATTGTACAGTCGGCCGCATGCAACCCCGTCAGACTCGGTATACAATTCACAAAGCATACTTCCAGACCTCCATTACCGCTGCTACAGCCCTGCTACAGCCAAGATTCCGGCCTGCTACCGCCCATCCTTGCTTCAGCCGTGCTACACCCGTGCTACAGCCATGCACTCACCGCATAATGCAGCCTGCCGCGTGCGGCCCCACCAGGCTCGTCGTGTGAGTCACAGAGCACCTCGAACGGTCCCTCAGCAGGTGGGGAGGCGAGGGAAGTGGCGGTGGGGGTGGATGGCAACCCTGAAGTGGGAGGGGAGAGAAAATGTGGGAGGGAAGAGGGGCATGTATGGGCGGAAGAGGGGCATGTGTGGGCGAGGGGCGCAGCTAGGAGGGGGGAGGGGGCAAGGAGTAGTTGTCTTCTCATGTGGGTCACAGAGCATATCAGACGGTCCCTCAGCAGGCACAGCGGCGGGGGGGGTGGCGGTGGAGGCGGTGGGGGAGGCGGTAGGTTTTGCTAAACAAAACACTTACACTTGCTGCTAAGTTAAACACTAACATTGGGTGTTCTGCTAAACAAAACCCTCACATTTGGTGTTAAGTGAAACACTAACATTGGGTGTTCTGCTAAGTGAAACACTTACACTTGCTGCTGAGCACCCACTGCCCGTGCAGGATCGCCATGACCATCTTGAGCGTCCTCCGTGCCTTCCCCTCGGAATCCGTGCCAACCAATAGGTGGGTGACACGTGGACTCCATTCTGACGTCAGCTGTGCGCCCATTGCGTCAGCGAATTTGACCAGGCGGGCCTATGGAGGGGGTTTGCGTTGAGATTGGGCGGGAGGAGGGGCAGAGAGGGGAGAATGGGGGAGAGAAGGGAGAGGGGAGGAGTGTGGGGGTGGGTGAGAGTGGGGGTGGGGGAGTGTGGGGAGAGTGGGGGGGCAGCTCACAACTCAGATGCCATGCATCGGCTTATAGTCACATCACATGCAGTCAGATCACATGCAGTCACATCACATATAGTCACATCACATATAGTCACATCCTATCTAATATGGCTATGACCTATGGATCACTCACCTTGGACGCCGAATCAAGGGCTGACCCGCACAACACCCTCTGGCTGCGGGTCACACCACTTGCAGTCACACCAAATGCAGTCACATCCCATGCGATGACATCCCATCACACACAAGTAACACCAATCTGTGACTTTCTCACCTTGGACGCAGAATCAAGGGCTGACCCGCACAGCACCCACTGGCTGCGGAGAGGGAGAATCAGACAGCCAAGCAGAAGGAAACAAGGGGGGGGAGGCACAGGAAAGAATGGGTACATACTCCCCCCCGCTGTCTCGTGAGTGTTGAAACAAGGGCTGAGCTGCAGAACCAGCAGAACCACCACGGACTGCTGTTCCCCACTTTTCCCATCTCCATACCTGGGAGGCTTGGCGCTGTTTCTCGAGCAAGAGGAGGCATCTTCTCTCACTGCTGCCACCTGCGTTGCTCCCATGCTCACAGCCCCTTCAGCAACACCAACAACAGCACCAGCAGAAGCAGAACCACCACCGCCAACGCCACCACCCCCGGCAGAAGCAGCAGCGGCACCATCACCACCGTCAGCACCAGAAGCAGTAACAGCAGCAGCACCAGCTGCTGCTGCCGTTTCTTCCTTATTCCCCTCCCCCCTCCCTCTCCCTTCCTTTACAGTATCCTCTTTAAGAGCTGCTTCAACTTCCTCCACTTCCCTCCCCCCCTCTCCCGTTTCACCCTCCTTCCCTCTCACTGAGGCACCAGCCTGAGGCACTTTAACCACCGGTTGAGGCACCTTAAAGACTGCTTCGTTATCCGCCTTAGTGGTCACCCGAGCCTGTGGAATCAGCTTCATCGGGGCATCGATAGCAAGAGCAACAGAAGGGACGCTACCCAACGCCTTGGGGGATGATTGAAGAGAGCACGATTGCGCTCTCTTGTTGATACTACAGGGAGCCATTGCGTTTGGCGCTCCAAGGCTGGTGCTTCTTCCTGTGTCTTGTTTGTCATCTCCTTCAGCAATTCCCTTTCCCTTCTCATTCTTCGCAGTACTCTTTTCAGTCACACCCCTCTCAGTATCTATTTCCGAGGTACCCTTGACAGAAGCAGCAGCGGCGGCGGCGGCGGCGGCGGCGGCGGCAGTAGCGGTAGCAGCAGCAGTGGCAGCACCAGCACCAGTGGCAGCGTCGGCACTAGCATCGGTTGCAGTAGCACCTTTGGGAAAAGACCCCACAGGAATCTTCTCAGAAGCGTTCGCAGGAGGCGAGCCTGCAAGATTTGAACATCACAAAGCACAATAGTGTGAATAGCTTGACCTTTTGAAAGGAAGAATGAAAAGCAAATCCAAGAAAGCTTGATGAGTCAAATCGGTACACTCGCCCCTCCAAACCAAACTCCCTATCCACATGGAACTCACCTCGCTCAACCGGTCTGCACTCCTTGCCCACACGTGCCGCGCTCTCTTCAGTCTTCTTCCCCACTGCAGCTTCATCCTTCAGAGTCACACCCTTCATAGTCACATCCTTTGTCACAGGAACCTTGGCTATAGGAGCCGATGCTTTCACCACTCGTGCCGCATCCTCTTCTTTGCTTTTCACGGCCGCTACGCCCTTCATAGTCACATCCTTCATAGTGACGTCCTTGACAGCGCCCTTTGTAGTCACATCTATCGTTACAGGAACCTCGGGCGCCACTGGAGCCGCTCCCTTCGCGGAAGCCTTTCTCCCCCCCGCCCCCGCGCCCCTTCCCCCTGCGCCTGTCCGCGCGCGCCTCTGGTTCTTCCCCGCAACGGGGGGCGCGCGTGCATCCTCCTTCCCCCGCCGCGCATCCTGCGCGTTCTCTGCCTCCTCCTCGTCCGAATCGTCCGCATGCGGCCGCACCGCCGGCGGGGACGGCTGCTTGCGCTTGAGCTTCTTCGGTTTGACGGCCGCGGGTGGGTGTTGCGGGCAGGAGAGCACGTACGCGTCCTGGCGGGGTGCGTATAAAGGGTGTGCGTACAGAGGGTGTGCACATATTCGGAAATTTATCAGAGTTTAGAGTCGCACCTTGGCTTACGCGTTTGAGCTTCGTCGGTTTGATGCCCACGAACGGCTGTTGCGGGCGGGGGAGTATGTAAGCGTCGTATGAGTGCTCATAGAAAGTGTGCGGATAAAGGGCTTGCTGATTCCACTGAAGCGGCTACAGTGAAGCGAAAGTGCAACTAGGGGTAACTTCTTACGTCGTCGAAGTGACAGCCGGGAGTGCGTCGCGCGCACGGCACGTGGTACGTGTGTCGGCACGCGGGGACGCGGCAGCCCAGCGCGGCGCCGCGCCCGCCGCACACTGAGCAATAGAGCCCCCCCGACCGCCGCAGCTCCTTCTGCACGTTCATAAATCGGCCCTTGGTGAAATGAACTTCCGGGGACCTGCGGAGAGAAGTTGCGGAACGAAGAGCGCGGAAGTGAAGGGGACGGGAAGATTGCTGGGTGAGCCATAGGGGAGTTAAAAATCAGGGGAGTGAGGGACTAAAATATATAATGTACTGGTACTTTCGGAGAACAATCTGGGACCGACGTCGTTTCCAATGACCACTTGACACAAAGGAACCAGTTGCACCATAATCGAGGCGACCCTTGTAAACGCAAATCTCGTCAGACTCAAAGATCATATGGATATCCTCGATATGAAACTCTGAACTCACCAGAGAAGGCAATCCTCGTGGACGCATATCTCGTTGGGACTCAGCTCGCCCGCGAGCTCAAAAGCCACGCCCTTATCGTCCACCGCCACCAAAGCCCCCGTCGACTGACGCATGGAAATTCAGACAAATTAAGAGAGGGGAAAAAAAAAAGGCAAGAATGTTGTTAGTGAAATTTTGAGTAGAAAAACCAGAAGGTGATATCGTATTGAGCGCGGTAACAGCACCAGCGACACGATAACTGCATTTCCATACGTGATACCACAAAATTTGCAGAGATCACAATCGATAGACTTTACCGAACTGTTGTCAGGCGCAACTCCGCTTTCTGAACTTACCTCGTCCGAGCTGGTTTGATCGCAGAAGCAGCACCGAAGCTTCTTCTTCTTCTCCTTCGCCACTCCATTCTCTACGTCAGCATGCTTCTCGACGTATTCCACGCTTGCAAGAGCTTTCGATTTCCCGCCATCTGCCTTCGGCGGCTCCTCGAACCTTCGAGAATTCTCGGGAGCGGCATTACGAGTTTTCGTTGATGCACTGGCATTACCAAGGTTGATACTGTCTAAAGATTTAACTCGTCCCTTGACTCTCAGAATGTCCATCCCCGATTCCATGTCGAACTCGCGAATCGGAGTCGAAACGATGGTGCCATTCGCCGCATCGGACGGTGGCAAAAGCTGGATGCGTTTGTTGGGATGCGCCAGCGACGGCGGCCTGTGATCCATTCCGGGGTGCGTGTTGTCGCAGCTGATTTACTCTGTCGGATTTGGAACGAGTAGGAATGTGAAACACTCGCAGAAGTCGTGGACGTCTAAATGTTGTGCGATGCTGTGAAAAGAAGAAACGATTGTGAGAACTCTCTCGAAACGGGAATGGAACTGGAGTTATGAATTATCAAGTGCACAAATGAAAAAACGAGGGTGGTGAAAGGGAGGGAGCTGAAATTCGGAAATGGCTGAGAGTGGGGACGGGAGCTGTCGTTTGATTCGCCCGTCGTCCGCGACGGAATTCGCGAGGTTCGTCTATCATTAAAGAAATCAGGAAAATCCTGGAGATTCAAGGGTTGACGATTTCCTAAGGAAGTTCGCGAATTCCCATGGATACCAGTCCCCCACCACACGTTTGTTGGAGGCTTGCAAGCGCCTCGTAAATATGGGAAGGGAGTTTGAATTTGAATTCGACATTCGAAATTCGAACCTACTCGCTTAGTATTCCGGCTCGACTACGTACAAACCCCCGACTATACAAAAGCGACGGAGAGCCTGCTAATCTTTTCGCTACTCTCTATGTTCAGCTCATTACTCTAAATTTAGTCCTTTTTCTTTTCTTTTGTGTTTGCTCAAAATTTGGCAAAACGTCATCTACATCAAATTACAGAGAACAGAAGATAGGCATGTCTAAATTAAACGCATGAATGATTGAGTGACAAACCATGCACTACAAAAATTACAGAATCGTTTCCTACAGGCATACACTACATCTTACCAAACAAATATTTAAACTTAGTACTTATAAACACACATAACGAAGACTAATAACTTATGCAAAGCCACCTCTCAGCATCATCCTGTTCCCCCCCATCATCCCCTCCATCATCTCCTCCATCTCCTTGTCATCCATCTGCCTTGCTACCATGCCATCTCCAGTTGGCATCATCACCTTTTCCTTATCTGTTGTGATGCTTTCACCCTGCATCATCATATCATCTTGATTCATCATCATATCACTCTCCTCCATCATCATATCATCCCCTTCCATCATCATACCGTCCCCTTCCATCATCATATCATCCCTATCCCCCATCATTTCGTCCATGCCAGGCACATCAGTCATCGCATGCTCCTGAGCGTTCTCCATCACAAGGCCATTAGCGAGACTGTTCTTAAACGCGTCAAAAGTGCTCATAGTGTCCAACGCTGCTCTGCCGCGCATCATTCTCCGCGGATACTGCGCGCCGATTCCACTAGATCCAACCACGGTATCCTCGTTTGAGGGCAATTCGATTGCGGGAGAAGACGCGCCAAACACACGGCGGAAGAAGTCACACATGGATGAGAAGAACGCGCAGGGAGTCGAACTGCGCAGAGGAGCAACCTCGGGAGGTTCGGTACCCGCTCGAAAATGCATCGGGTGTTCATTCACGTCAACGATATCCATACTATGGGTAGTACCCATCATAGGCACGTGCATGCGTCCGCGATGCATATGCATGAGAGGAAAATTCATCTCCCGCCTTCCTCCGAAGTGCATCATGCTGTTCCTGCCGCCGTTTGTGGTGGTGGCGGCGGCAGCAGCGCTCGTCGAATCCCCAGATATCCCCGCAATCTTTCCAACGGCTCGCATGCTTCGTCGAATCAGCTCCAAATGGGGGGGCTCCTGACTCTCCCCGCCGCCGTTTCCCCCGCAGTCGCCCGCGGGGAAAGCTTCGTTTTCTGCGGATTCTTTTTCCGCCTTGCCCCTTCGGCCCATCATTCCGCCGCCCTTTCCGCCCATCATTCCGCCCCTGCGGCGCGAGCGGTCCATGGAGTTGCGCCAGCGCCACATGCTGTCGTGCATCGCCTCCATCTCGCTGTCGCTGAAGCCGCCGCCGTCGCGCGACAGCAGACGACGATTCGTCGGCGACACCAGGCGACGATCATTCGCAAGGGTTTCGGAAAGTTCCGAGGACGAAGCGGGGTTCGCAGCGTGATTGGCTTCCGTGACTGCAGACCCAAGGATGAAAAGAACTGATGTCAACGCTATCCAAAGAGATAAGCGACTCATGGCCATAAACTCTAGTAACAGGCAAGCGCGCAGTCACTGGCAGTACTAAAACAAATGAACGAGTTTCAGGTTAGAGAATGGCGGGGCGGGGAATCAACTCTACTTCCTCAAGCTAGTAGAAGGCCGATGAGAGAAAACAGAGAGGTTGCTTGCTGGTGCGGGTGCTGCAGAAAATCGCTGCCAGCAGAGCTGTGGACAGAAGGGAAAGCTTGCGGCGTGGACGGTGGAAGGGAGGAATGTTGTTGGTGGAGGGAAGGAGGAAAAGGGTGGTTTGGGGGGGGGAGTTGTGGATGGGCACGAGGAAAATGGAGGGGATGCAGCAGAGAGTGAAAGAGGGAGAAATTGCTGGAGAAGCATCGCTCCGAGCAGCACAGTGCTGGCGAATCGCACCGCCAACGCAGCATTGGCGGGGCGCGCTCACTTCCACTGTGCCACTTCGGGTCAAGCAATGGGTGTTCATCAAGGCTTGGCGAAAATCGCATGGATGGTTACGAAGGAAGTCGCATGGACGCTGGCGTTCGCGATGTGACCCCAGCATTTCGACTTTCGCAAGTTACGGCAACTCAACAATATCAACCAGCCAGAGTTCGCCTGTACCCGCTTTCACGATAAGGTGTATCACTTAGCGGAGGCGATAGCAGTATTTCCATAATGCTTTACATTGATAGGAATTTGCAGAATTTACTATCACCAATCTTTGACATAGCCAGCTCAGGGCCTACACCCCACGCTCCACATACAGGCTCCCCCCAAGTGACAAAGTCAGATCCAACAGATCCTCATTATGCTTGCAGCAGTTCTGGTGAACTGGAGTATTATTGGTCTCCCCATCACAGACCTCTCCACATTCATCTCCTTTCTCGCCCTCATTATTCTCCTCTGCCTCATCCACTCTCTTCGAGACTGCAGCAGCCTTGTCACATTCTTCTTCCACCGCCTCTTCAGATGCGTCTCTTAGGTTTATTCGTAGAGGAGGCAGGCCACTGGAGGTAACAGTGCAACCACGCTCAACTCCCAGCTGCATGCCATCAGGAGTAGCACCACTGATTTGCCAATTTCCGCCATTGCCGAAAAAATACGTTGGAGGTCCGACCAACGCCACCCTTGCACCGGGGACAGGGAGGCCAAAGGCGCCAAGCACTGGAGCGGAGTTTTGAGTGCTGGAATGTGCCCAGATCATGGCCCCTGACCCTGAAAGTTCAGGTTGTACCAGGTCAGCAGGTCCAGGTAGAGATTGAGGGGCAGATGAAGGAACATCATGGCACATCCGAATGTGCTTGTGTGGATTGGAGTTGCTGGTAACGGGGATGGCAGCCGCTGTAGTCATTTGAGGCTTCTGGGAAGAAGGGGTGTAAAGGTTGTCAAATGTTTCAAAAGCGGGGCAGCCAAAAAGTGATGCACTGCACGGAGGGGAGGAGAGGATGTCGCCTGGACAGGTTACTGTGTAGCGAAGCGAAGGGTTGCACGAAACGCTCTCAATCGCATCTTCGCTTTGCACACACCAGGGTCGCTTGTGCGTGTACGCGTTATCAGCAGCTCCAGCAGGTCTCGCGCGGGGTGTACCGATACCCACATTATTACATCCAAGCTCGTCATTCCACTCTGCCGACATCGCAACATGGGGACTCTTGAACGCGGGGGTTTCTAGAACCGAACTTCTGAATGCTGCGTTTTCTTCAACCCTAGTTATCTCCGCACCAGAAGCAGCAGCAGTCGGAGTACTAGCAGCAGCAGCTCTCGTTGTTGTGCAAGTAACGGCAGCCTGCGCTCCCTTAGCGTGACGAATCCGCCTTTTCATCGTCGAAATGTTCTCCTCTGTCTCTGCGAGCTCCATTGCTGCTGCTCCCGTAGCCGCTTGGAGTTGGAGTTGCTCCATTCCTCCCGCCGCCGCCTCCGTCGCTGCGGCATGGCCCGGCACTCGTCGCCGCGTCACCGAGGCCGCGGCGCTTATCGCCATGCGTTGCTGAACCATGACGCCTTGATTCGACGCGTGAAGTAACGCGGATATCCGACGCGCTTCCTCCTGATCCGATCGGGCCTCGCAAGTTAAAGCTGCCGTAAAACCACTGTTAGTAACAGCCGCTGGCGATTTCTCAGCAAGATCCTCCTCCGACGCCTTAACCTCGCTGAAAAGAACGGGGTTGGTAACCGCACAGACCTTTCGTTCCTCCTCCCTCAGAACTCGCAGCTGACGTGGCATGCGGTCTTCGTCCTCCTTCGGTTGCGCCTTTGGTGGCGCGGGGCGCCGATGAGGATGCTGTCCGCTCTGCCGCTGAGGCGCTGGTTGCGCCACGTGGCATTGCTGCTCCCAAAAAGCGCGACGAAGCTGTAGGCTCGGTGTCCGTGATACAGTCGCCGGCGGCTGTCTCGGCGCATGTTCTGGGGGGGAGAGCGGCGAATGAGAGTGCTGCCATGGCAGGCTCGTCGTTCGTGGCACCGGTTGTTGCGGCGGATGTCGCGGCGGATGCAGCGGCGGCGAAGGCGGGCCAGCGGGGAAATGCTGCTGCCATGATCTCCGCTGCTGCGGCTGCTGATTCCAGGCGGCTCGAAGGAACTCCCAGTTCTCCTTCAAGGATTGCGACTCGGAGTGCGACGAGAAAGGTACCTGCGATGAGCGCCGGCGACTCAGTCGTTCATGCGGCGAAGTATCTTCGCACGTTCTTTGCGAAGCTTCGAGCACCGCCGCATCGTGTGCTCGCGGAAAGAACGGCTCGTTTGATCGCCAAAAGAACTTCGAGCCCTCTTCTTCAAGTTGTTCTTTCTCAGAAGGTAAATGGCATTCCACCATCTTCAATCGCTCTGCGGCAAAAAATGGCTTGCCTCCAGCGTGAATACCGCCGGGACTCGTGGGAATGGCCATTGACGTTGTAACTTGCTCTGGCGACATAGCTTCGAGAAGTTTCGCGAGAGTCAGCATTGGACCAAGACAGCGGGTTCTAGTGAAGCGGAGAGCTTGCTAGGACTGTCACTCAAAGTGAGGACCGAAGTTCAAACGAAGAACACTGATCCTTGGTTCTCGAATGGATTAAAGACTAACCGTGATGTCAGTGTCTGATGACGAGCGATAAGCATGGCTTGTTGAGTTGGGTATGATGCTTTTGCACAGGGTAAGAAGCATTCAAGCAAGACGCAAGGACTGCTGGCTGGGAAACGACGTCATCCTTGCCCAGTTACCACCTGGTCGGTTCCACATCACTGATGTGTAAAATCCTTCGCAACAGTACTATCCTCCGTCGTGACAGTTAGCAAAGTTAAAGCGTGGCGAAGAGCAGCAGGAAGGCAGGTCTATAAAGGTCTGGTTTCGCACGGTTCAAAATGCTTAGAAACGGTTCAAAAGGTGTTCATATTTTCACGGTTTCTTACCATTGCAAACCGCAAAACAGTGCGTTCTAGTAGCGGGTTTCAGTTCGTCAGTGCTGTTCAACGGAAATTCAAGGGGGAGCGTTGCCATTTTTCTTGCCCCAGATCTCGACCAGTTTCGCTGCAGCTTGTCTCTGTCGCCTCATTTCGCCTAACCCATCGCAATAGTAATACTGAGGGGTGTTCCTTCATGAGCCGCCGAGCGGGACGGGCGTTCCCGCCAGACCTTCCTGGTAATGTATCTACACTCAATTGACGTTTTCCTTCTCTTGCGAATGACACCGTGCTGTGGTGGGGTCCCCCTGATTGCTCCTAATCATCATCCCGTTCAGCATGGATTGGCATTACAAAACGGAAATTTATGTACTGTACACGTCAGCATAACCAGCTGAAGTGTGTGGACCTTGTACAGTCGATGCTCAGCCTATCACAAACTTTTGCTATAACGATTAGAAATTTAGTCACTCGCGAACGTTTTGCCCGTGAGTGACTAAATTGACCATTGTGCTGATTTCGGGGTACATTCACCAAGTTGCGGAAGAAAACATCTACAGTCCATAAACAACAACGGTTGCCTGTCATCGGAATTGTTAACCTGGTTATAAACTTAAACCCCTATACTCGTTTCACATTCCAGTTTCATTTTTGTCACATTTTTGCCCGTGGCGACAAGGGCGAATGTGGCGAAATCCGCACAACTCGTTTCACGCACATGCCGCCCGCCTACCTGGGTTTTTGAAATGAGCACCGATTGTACACAACGGAAATTGATGAGAAACAGTGAGATATTTATGCCGAAGTGTGGCAGCCTTGACCATGGTTGGGTTGGGTTCTGCTGTGACTTTGTGTTGCTCAACAACCTCACCACCACCACACATGTGTGCTGTGCTGCTGTGAAACGCATGCTCTTCGCTGATATTTGATGAGGAACAGGTCTGCCACAGTACAGTTGCCCCGTCGTCTCACCGTGCGTCGTCGTCAACCAAAGATATCATTGGTTCCTTTCCACTGAAGGTACATGACTGTGGGAGCGCCAAACCGACGTGCATGATGAGGATTTCTTTGAACTATGTACCAATTTTCTTGCAGATCTATCGAACAAACCGCTCAAGGAAATCATTCTCAAATTTACCTCCATATGGCTATTTCTCAACGGTGGCCTGGTTCCACCTAAACAGTTTCCGAATTCTCTGGTTGCCTGATCCGTACACACTTAGCTGAAATCACCCACACCCACATACTGGTTTTGTACGTCCCCAACGGCCGAAATTTTTATAGAGTTTATTTAAACTTCATGCACAGAAAAGAAGACCGTTAGCTCTTGAAAATATTATCTGGAAAATATCATGTACTGATATTTAAGCCGAATGCACTCACTGCCAACAGCTACATGTCAAATACCGACCAGATCTAATATGAAGGGAGCTGAGCCACGCCAAAAAAGGAAGGTGGAATGAATAGTCAACTGCCTTCTGAATCCATCACAGAAGTTCCGTTAAGGACGCGTTCGTTATTATCTCAAAATTGAACGTTTATGATAACCAGCAGTCGTTCATGTAGCTAGAATGATCCTAGGAAAGACTAGGATGTGTGAGTGCAAACTTACGTTTCAAGCCAACTGTGAACCAGTTGCCCACACCATTTTTGAGAACATTAGCACTCAGGCACAAAATCAAAACAGTTGTGTTGTAGCAACAATGCAGCATTACATCCAAACATCAGCATATTTCATCTCATTGGTGCTACCATACATGCACCTAGAAACCATCACCTGCCATTTTATCAATATCATCCAGAAACACACCACCATTCTGGTAACTGACTCTAATGCTTCTCCCCCCAGCAACAAGAACAGCTCCCATCATTTGAGGCGCCTAGGGACCGCCGCCTGCCATTCCATTAAAGCTATCCAGCATCACCCTCACCATCCCAGTAAATGACACCAAGTAAATGACACCCAGTAAATGACACCCAGTAAATGACACCCAGAAACAGCGCCGGCTCCAGCAGCATCGGCAGCACCTAGGCTCCGCCACCTGCCGTTCCATCAGGGCTATCCAGCATCACCCTCACCATCCCAGAATCAAATCCAAGATCTTCTCCAGCAGCATCGGCACGCGCATCCACAGCAGCATCAGAAGCAGTTTCAGCAGCAGCAGCAGCATCGGCATATCCAAAACCATCCGCACTCGCGAACCCAATGCTCGGATCTTCCCAAATCCCCTTTCCACTCTCTTCTGCCGCAACTTTCCCCACAATCTGACTCTCAGCTAAGAGATACTTCGCTAACAGCCCCCCGGGTTCGTTCCCAGGGCAGGGCGGCGGAGGGGGGGGAGGAGGCGGGGGGAAACCGAGGACGCGGGCCAGGAAGCTTCCCGCAGCACGGAGGAAACCAAAGAGGGAGCATGGTGGGGGAGGAGGACCGGACGGGTGAGGAGGGAAAGGGGGGAGGAAGGGAGGGGCGAAGGGAGGGGCGAAGGGAGGGGCGAAGGGAGGGGCGAAGGGAGGGGCGAAGGGAGGGGCGAATGGAGGAGGGAATAGCGGAGGGGGTCGGAAAATGTTAAGGTCTAGAGTGGAAAGGATGGGGAGGGGGACAGAGTTGTTGGGGAGGGGAGTGTGGGCGCAAGGGGGAGGGGGGAAGGGCGGAGGAGGGCAATCCTGGCCAGGGGGGCAGGGGGGGGGAGGGGGACAATCTTCTCCAGGGGGGCAGGGCGGAGGGGGACAGTCTTCCCCAGGCGGGCAGGGGGGAGGGGGACAGTCTTCCCCAGAAGGGCAGGGCCCATGGGGAGGTTGCGGAGGATGGGGAAGAGGGTGGGGAGGCCTGCACGCGCCCATGTGAAAGCACGCCGGGACCACCTTCTCCCAGGGCTTGATGTGGATAACGGAGATGACCATAGCGAGGTAGGGGTACTGGTGGATGAAGCGGCACATTGCCCTGATGTGCGGGGGCGCGTGCTCGTCCTCCGCGTGGCTGCAGATCCACTTGATCTTGGCGCGAACTGACTGTTCGATCAGATGAAAGCCCTCGATGATGCACGTGTCGCAGGTTTCGCCTCCTTCATCTCCTTCCTCTGTCTCCCTGTTGTTTGCTCCTTCAACGGCAGCACCAGTGGAAGCATCCTCGGAAGGTTCCGGGAGGGATGATGACATGACCATGCCGATGCTGTTGATGGCCATGTGCACGCCTCCCATGTCCATGTCCATGCGCGCATGGCCGTGCCCCAGGAGGCGGCGTGATGGCGTTGCGACGCGAATCTGAAATGGGGGAAAAAAAAAATCAAACAGGCGCCAGGAAAAGAAGCCCCAAAAAAAAAAAAAAGTGTGAAGTAAATGGAGTTATCCCATCATGAACACAAGATGCACTGCAACTCTAATGAAGATATAATGGAGCATGTAAAAATGAGCAAGAAGCCAACAGCAACATGACAGAATGAAATAAAATATCACCGCATGGAAAGCAAAAGCGAAAATCATAAATATCCTGGCAAAATCAAGACCAATATTCCCAGAGAAGCACTCACCTTGACAGGTGCATCATCCGAAGCAACCACCTCAACCGTATCAGCCTCGACACCAGGCTCAGCAACAGCCTGCTCCTCGACCAAGCCCTCAGGTTCGGAAGCAGGCTCGGAAGTCGCTTCGGGAGGGTGAGGCTTGGGCATGCAGGACCCGGAATCAGCACAGACCGAAACAGCCATGGAGAGAGGGTTGATGTGGAGGTTGGAGAATACGCCAATGGCTGATGCTGTGGTGAGGTTGGTAAAGAGGCGACACTGGGGGGGGGGGGGGGGGAGGGATACAGGCAGAGAGGAGAGGCGGGGAGGGGAGGAGGAGGGAAGGAGGAAAGGGGAGGGGAGAGAAGCGGAGGGGAGGGGAGGGGAGGGGAAGGGAGCTTCTTTTAGGCGCATCAAAGTCAGGATCCATGGCTGGAGCAGACGGAGACAGCCATGGAGAGAGGGTCGATGTGAAGGTTGGAGAATACGCCGATTGCTGATGCTGTGGTGAGGCTGGCAAAGAGGCGACACTGTTGTGGTTGTGGGTAGGAAGGGTGGGAGAAGGAGAGAGGAAGAGGCACGGGGAAGAACGGAGTAGAGGAAGGTTGAGGAGAGGAGGAGGGAGGAGTTGGGAGGAGAAGAGGAGAGAGGAGTTGAGGAAGGGGGGGTAGAAGAGGAGGAGACGAGGAGAGAGGAGACGAGGCAGAGACTGACAAGGGATGGAGCATAAGAACAGGCAGCTGCTGCTGAAGGAGCGTCTTCAACGCATATGGTAGTGGCAACTCCAGAGAGGGCCTCCAGAAGGTGGTGTCTGTTGCCAGCGCAATGTCGGTGAAGAGGGCCTCCAGAAGGCGCTCAACGCGCTGACTGTCCTGTCCTTGTCGCTGGAAACTCAACGGGAAACTTACGAAGTGGCGGTGAGGAGGGTCTGTTGCTGCTGAAGGAGCGTCTTCAGCACAGATGGTGGTAGCTATGTCAAGGGAGGGCGGAGAAGGGAGGTCTGCACAAGGACGAAACTTACGAAGTGGCGGTGAGGAGGGTCTGTTGCTGCTGAAGGAGCGTCTTCAGCACAGATGGTGGTGTTGATGTCGTTGGAGAGAGCCTTCAGAAGCACCTCAGTCGCCCTCGTGACGCACTCTGACAGGCGGAGGGAGGGAGTGGGAAAGACGGGGAGGGAGGGGGAGGGACGGAAGGAGGAAAGATGAGGAAGGATGAGGAGGGGGGGCAGCGGCTCACACAATGCACCCACAGGTTCGAACCGTCAGCTCATCACACCCACCACACCACACCACACCCCACCACACCAAGCATAAACAGCCTAACCTACACAGGTAACCTCTTCCCCCTGTTGCCTCCTCCGCGAACGGGCGGTACAGCGCGCCCATCGCGCGCCCCACGGCCGCCAGCAGCTCAAACGTCAGCTGAACGCACCCACATCGCACCATCACACGGGCTTACCTCCGCTCCATACGATACCCCGCACTCAACCACACCATCACACGGCCTTACCTCCGCAAGTATGTTCGTCCCCCCCCGCCTGCACGCCCGGGTGGTACAGCGCGCCCATCGCGCGCCCAGCAGCCGCCAGCAGCTCAAACGTCAGCTGAATCGCGCCCGGGGGAGGGGGAGGCGGCGGAAACGGCGGGTGCGGGTGCGGGTGCGCGTCTGGGTGCGGACCGAAGGGCGGGTGCGGGCCGAAGGGCGGGCGCGGATGGGGATGCGGGCCGAACGGGGGGTGGTGGGGATCAAAGAAACCGAAGGGTCCGCCCCGACGGGGTCCGTCTGAGCCGTCGTCGGCGGAAGCGAAAAAATCGCGCGGGGAACCGTGCGGCCAGTCGGGCCGGGAGGGCCTGTCCGGGTGGTCGGGCCGGGAGGGCCTGTCAGGGTGGTCGGGCCGGGAGGGCCTGTCCGGGTGGTCGGGCCGGGAGGGCCTGTCCGGCCCATCAAGCCCGCTGGAACCAAAGAATGGGTCGTCAAAAAGTTCGCGTGGGGATCCGTGCGGCCAGTCGGGCCTTGAGGGCCTGTCGGTGTGGTCGGGCCGGGAGGGCCTGTGGTCAGGCCGGGAGGGCCTGTCCGGCCCATCAAGCCTGCTGGGACGAAAGAATGGGCCGCTGAAGGGATCGCGAGGAGGGCCGTGCGAACCGTCAGGCCCGTCAGGACCGCCGGGACCGCCGGGACCGCCAGGGCCCCAAGGACCACCAGGACCGCCAGGACCAGCAGGACCGCGAGGACCAGCGGGACCATCGGGAGGGCCGAACATGGGGTAGAGGAAGGACTCGGGCACGACGAACTCATTTCCCTGCGGAAAAAAAGAAAAAAAGAAAACGGACGACGATGGACGGAGAGAAGTCATTTGCTTGTTGCAAGGGCAGAAATTAATTTGAGGTGACTCAAACAGCGGAGGAGCAAGACGGCGATGGGAAAGGAAGGAGTATTTGGGGGCTTTGGGTCGTAAGGACCAAGAAAAACGGCCGGTGGAAGCAGACGCTGATTCCAAAAAGCAAGACACTGAAGCAATTAGAAATTAAGGACGTTTGAGCAATAAAACAGCAACATGAAACCAATTACAGAAGTAAATAGAAATTGCAGGAAGGGAGGGAGATTCGTGCTCTTACCGAAAAAGGAGGAGTAATGGGAGCGGGATCCAGCTTGGGATCCGTAGCAGCTTCGCCAGAAGCTTCTGCAGCGAAAGCTGACGTGGCGAGCGCCGGGAGAAGCACCAGAAGCGTCAGCATCCACCATGATGACGTCAGGCGAGCCATGGCGGGAGGGATCGCCGAGCCTGAATCACGCATTAGTAGTAGGGTAGCGAGCAAGAATTCGGTGGAATGCTGAATATAAAACGGTAGGAGAAGCATCGAAAGTCAAAGGGCCTTTGCGAAGATAAACACGGAAACATTGATTGCATGCGAAGAAAATCTGAACGCAAATTTGTAAACGAAAGCTGGAGCTTCTCAATTGCTAGAATCCTTTCAAAATAATAATTCGTGCGAAAAGGCGAAAGGTATGGGAAAATAGCGGAGAAAATTACCGTTAGCAAGATTATTTTGACCACAGGAAGCGTTGCCAGAAGACGCGAACAGGAATTAAGCACCGCCGAAGCGCATTCCCCACAGAGAAGTTGCTAACCCGCCAAGCTAGAAAGAACTACTCCCTCCAGTGAAGGAGAGTACGAATATATACAAGAGGAATGAGCTCCGAATGTAAGCGCCAGTCAAAATGTGGTCCCACTCTCGGCCAAAGGATCAGTCAACGGGGAGCCAGTCAAGAGAGCATTTTCGGAATTCGAGGAATTGCCACTTGTAAGGAGCGGGAGAGGAAGAAAAGGCAGGTGAACAATATACACTCAGTGAACGCTACAGTCTTTCTCGATTGGATGTTATTTCAACATGATTTCTAGGTTTAGTGCTTGACTCTCGCGTTCAGTGGCTGTGCTGCTCGTGCACGCAAACGACCACACTGTTGTGCATATCCGTGGTGCGCTTGCATCTCATTGCGGTGCGGACTTTACGAACAAGCTCAAGGAAAGACGCAGCAGTCACCATTTCAAAATAGCAGGTAATACTTCTTGAAGTAGTTTCAGTTCTTATAGCGAGTAATATGTGTGAAAATCTTGATGACCTGAAATTGCGAAGCGAGAGAGTGATTGGTTACGCCATGGGATGGCATCTTATCACCTTCATGATAATCTGCCCGTAGAAAGACGTTGACCGGGGCAGATAGGAGCAATGTTACTAGCAAAGCAACATGCCCAGTTTCGACTTGTGGTTATTATCTATGGTGAGAAAAACACACCTCACATAAACGTGCTGCCCGAGTCAAAAAATTCGAACCATCGGAGAAACTTGCCAGTGAAGACGGAAACCACGACGGGTCAACTGCCAATGACTACATTCTACTTCTTTCACTTGCTGCGATGTCTCTTGGCACGGATATCCTCGTTTCTGTGACCATGGATATCTTCTTCAACTCATACATGATGTTATTGACAAAAAAATGATGTTATTGAATGGACCCCCTTCATCATCTGTGAAACTACAAATAGTTCTCAAATCCTGTACACACAAGACACGGGTTTAGTATGCGAGTGCGCCTGCTTCTTGAAGGATGGGGATGAGATCCCTGTTGTAGTTCATGCTGATCACGTCTGTAGCAGAGAGAGAGAGAGGCAGAGACAGAAGTGACCATGTTAATAACACACATGGAATATCTTAAAACATAGCGGGGAAACGGATCCAGGAGACTCTCTATCATGCTGAGCATGTACGGGATACAGCAGAGGGAAGGAATGGAGGACATATCAAGCATTCACACAAAATGGTGGGAAGGAAACACGAACAGAACATTAGATGGTAGTGAATGACGGGTGGGAGACTTGTGATGGTGCAAACTACCTCAAGAACCCATCGAAGGGAAGGTGGACAAAGGATGTGGAAATTATGGGTAGACATTATGCGTGAAAGACATCTTTGCAGCATAATGTTTAGGATAAATGGGGGGGTAGAGGGTGCATGAGATGAGACCCACCACTGCGCAGCCAACTAAGCGTAGGTTGATGAATAAGGAGGGTATTGAACGTGTTTCAATCATACTCGCTACAAGCACCATCAAAACAAGAATAGCGCTACTCACTGGAATGAATAAGGATACTACTCACCATCCAGACCGCCAACGAAACGTCCATTCACGAACAAAGCGGGTATTGTATGCGAACCAATCATACTCGCTACAGCGTCCTCCAGTTCCTCGCCGTCATACTCTTTATCGAGTTCGCAAACCTGGTAGAGAAAGAAAGATTGCAAATTGTGGAGAACAATAAGAAAAAGGGGGGATGTAAGAGGAAATACATAACACGACAAGCGGGCAGGGCAGCACTTTTTGGCAAAGGGCCACACAGTACAAGGAGGAGCAGGGTTACACGGTAATTAGGGGAGAGCACTAATAGGAATAGAGTTAGACAGTAGTTGGAGGGGAGCACTACGGGGATTAGCACTACATAATACCAAGGAGGGGAGGGGAGGGGTGAAAGGGAAGGAAATGGGGGAGCACTACAAGAAATTGGGATACACAGTACTAGGAGGGGAGCACTATTGAGTAATTAGGGTTACACACAGTACAGCACTGACTCGACTTACACTGGGTCGCACGCCGAGTCCGTGCAGCACGCTCTTGACCTTCATGGACGAGGGGTCGTAGGATTTACTGTAAGAGGTCAACAGGGGACAGAAAACAGGGAACAGACACGCACGGTAAGAAAACGTCAGCAAAGGGGAAAAAAAAAGAACACGAGAAGGTCAAGAATCCGTGCAGCACGCTCTTGACCTTCATGGATGAGGGGTCAAAGGATTTACTGCGGGAGGTCGAGAGGGGACGGGCAAGCACGGAAGAAAGGGAGAACCCCGAGAGAGCATCACGATGCCGTGAGGAAGAACACACGAAAGGGAGGGGTCAAATGATTCACAACATGACGATAACCGACGGACGGGCACGAAAGGAACACGACAACATTAGTGAGAATGTTCTGTAAGTTCAAGTAATATTGTCGTGCCATCGTAAAGGAGTGCGGTACGCAGAGTCGAGAGGGACGCTATGAAACCGTTTCGGGAATGGCTAAACCAGAGCATCTTACCTGAACAGCATGACACGGTTTTCCTCGACCATCATGTGCGTCCGCTGCATCGACTTGGGACTCGCCTTGCTCGCCTCGGCGCCCATGCTGACTGCTTTGAAAGGTGCGAAGTATTAGAACGGCTTGTTTTTTGAAGTGTTGATCGACGGACGGTTCTGCTTCTGCTTCGCCTTCTCGAAGCCTGTGTATGCGTGTATGGCTAACTCGCTGGCTTTCTGACAAAGTTTCGCCGGAAATTCGCTGACTTATAGCTCGGTAAACTGCGGTAGGCTGTGGCAGTGATTCACGGTACAACTAGGAACGGTGGAGGTGGATGTAAGAAGAATCTGGATTGAACTGTGAATGGTAGTTTGAGTCTCAATAGGTTTCACTTCCAGATTCGGGTCCATACAAGACGAGGCGGGAGGGAGAGTCATGTGAAACAGCCAAGGCCAAATCATCAACCTGACATTTCAAAGCGCACTGACCACAGCCGATCCGTCATCTTCCCAGGGCCGACGCGAGCGAGATTATCGCGGCTTGGGAACACATCCGAGCCTCTGAATTAGACATGCGCGTTCAGGGACGTGTTTGTTGGGTCTGCGGGCACGCATGCTACAGTGTCTGCTTCCATACTGTCAAAAAAGAGGAATGCTTGTTATTGGGAATGTCATTCACCTCGCAAACAGCTCCATTCCCAGGGGCGTCGGATGTGTAACTATTATATTCCGCACTACGAAACCTCACGTTTGAGGACTGGCTTTTGGGAAACCCCAAGCGAAGGATGTCTTTTCATTTCAAACCCACGGACACAGGGCCTCCAAAAGAAACCTGCCAGAACGGTTTACAGAACAGGTTTGGACCAAAGAGCCGAGGCTCGGTAACAGCCTTCCACATAATCACCAGCCGCGTCATTTTAGTCACAGCCAACGTGTCGCCAGACCATAGCGGTTCGAATCTGTGCTTTATCGAGAATTTCGATTGTCCCACAAATCCGTCTGCACTATCAGAGCAAAGCCAAAGATGCGTAACCACATACCGAATGACTAGTACAGCATGTACAGTTGTTTGAGGTAGAAATAGCTCTCATAAACCACTTGCAGCAAGCATATATAAACAACGCCATGTGTGTTTCTTTTGTTCCTTGCCATTTGGGTGCCCCACTCGAGCATGATGGCTACAACTTCTATCAATCTAACCCTTCAAATCTTCTTGGGCTCATGAAGCACCTGCACATGTAGACAGCACCTCGAGGAACACTCAGTAAATCTGGTCAAAAGAAGACTACATCATACACTTGCGTGCCCATAAAACATCACCTGGCAGTGGTACAAGTGCTGCCGCTGGTGCTCTTAGTGAGTTCTATCCTCGCTATAGAGCGAATCGCTGTGCTGCCGATGTCAAAGGCCAGCATCGGCTTCCCGCTGATGCATGCGGAACGTCGATAAGCTATCGACGAGTTGACTGGGGTTCCAGGGCAAGGCCTGCGAGAAACCAAGTAATTGCAAGAAAAGGAGGGAAATAGGAGGAAGATGGGGAATGAGATGGAGGGAATTGAGGGGAGGAAGGAATCGAGAGGGGATTGACAGAGGGAAGGAACCTAGAGAGGGAATTGACAGGAAGTAGGGGACTGGTGGAGTACGGTATGCATCCTAGAAAATGATGCAAGGAACAAGGGTTGGAAGGAGAAAAGTAAGATGGCAAGTAATGGTGGGAAAAGTAAGATGTTGCCGAGGGGGGTAGGAGGGAGTTATGAGGGGAGTAGGAGGAGAAGACAGAGAACTACAGAATGCTTACGCTTCAGGGTTATTAGAAACCACGCTCCATTGCTTATCCTGCGAATTTAATGGAGTATCCATTAGCACAGTCAGCCCTCCCATGCATCCCCCCACATCCAGCATCATCAACTGCACAGCCGACGGGTAGAAAAATCCAGGGCCTATTTCCGACCGTTGGATCGTCACCCGGTACGAGAATCCAGCCAATAGCGTCGCAGTGACCTGCCGCAGAAGCGGCCGAGATGCGCCGTACCGCTGGGGAAAATCGTCATCGTAATCGTTATCCGATCCCACCGAGACGAATGTCGCGTTATCCTGTAACCGCGTGAACGTAACATAGCTGTACGGGCGCCGCTTGTCCTTTCCTAGTTTTGCTGTCTGATCTTTAGTGACTGATTCGTTGTAGAAAAGAGCGAAGGATCGGAAGCAGGCGGCAGGTCCGGTGCAGGTATGGGCGGACCAGGAGGGTTGGTAGGAGCAGGCAAAGGAGGGGGAGGAGCGGAGGGAGGGAGGCGGGAGGATGGGATCGAAGGGAGCTATTGCAAAGCCGAAACCAGCGGCAGTTGAAGCGGGTCTAGAAGGAGTGGTGGTACCGCTGGTGCTACTGCTGCTGCTGGTGGTGCTGTTTCCTAACAGAGACCCGTCGAGGTCCCATAAGGCATAGAAGTTGGCGAGCTGAGCGCCGGATCGAATGTAGCCAGAGGCCTGGAGTGAGGAAGCGAGAGGGAGAGAGGCAAGCGAAAGATGGAGGTGAGAGAAAGAGGGAGGTGAGAGAAAGAGGGAGGTGAGAGAAGGAGGGAGGTGAGAGAAAGATGGAGGTGATAGAAACGAGTGGCACCATGTTTACACATGTGAGAGAAAGATGGAGGTGATTTTCACTGGTTTGGGTGAGGCCCAGAGCTGCATGGTGTCAAAACACATGTAACTGGCGAGAATGACATTCTCATGTCTTCTCATAAGTGACCGGATGCCACAACACTTCTGTGAGAAGACCACATGAAGACCACATGAAGACCACATGAAGACCACATGAAGACCACATGAAGACCACATGAAGACCACATGAAGACCACATGAAGACCACATGAAGACCACATGAAGACCACATGAAGACCACATGAGAGAAATATCACTCACCGGGTTGGGTGAGGCCCAGAGCCTGTTGGTGTCATTGGCAAAGCGAAGGCCCTGCATGTGTGGTGTGATGTGGTGTGGTGTGGTGTTGTGTGGTGTGGTGTGGTGTGGTGTGGTGTGGTGTAGTGTGGTGTGGTGTGAGTGAAGGGGTGGCAGGGGTCATAAGGGAGAAAGTGTGGAGAGCAATATGAAGGCCTTGAGCGTGTGGTGTGGGGGTCGGTAGGTGCAGTAGGAGAGAATGAAAGAGCTGGAGAGAATGAAAGAGCTGGAGAGAATGAAAGAGCTGGAGAGAATGAAAGAGCTGGAGAGAATGAAAGAGCTGGAGAGGAAACGGAGAAGTGAAGCCAGAGAAAAAAAAACTGGGTTGCTGCAAGAAGCAAGTGCTGGAGAGAAGACTATATGGATGGTGGAGGTCGGGGGGGGGGGTGGGGGCGTGTGTGATAAGTTGATTTTTTAGTCGACTCAAAACTCGACTTATCACAGACGACTGTATGGATAGTTGGAGGTCCAGGGGGGGGGGGGGGGGGACGGTGGTGGGATATCTTGCGATGGTGATGGAATTTAGACGTCACACATTAGCATGAATTTGAGGTGTTAATTGTCTTGGTTTTGGTTAAATGTATATATAACAGATACATCTACATATGTATGAATATATTGTTTAGTAGGGATGACTGACCTCTACAGCAGTGGAGGGCGTCCAGAATCCACCATACGGGTTAGTGGTGAGCATTATAGCGGGGCTGGCTGCTCTACACGTGCCAAAGGACGCGAACCTGAGGGTCACAGACAGGCGGGTGGGGAGGGGGGTGAAGAGGGGGGAAGGGAAGGGGTGTATAGGCGAGGGTTACATTGGGGGGTTGCAGGGTGGTCACGAGGGGAGCAGTTTACAGGAAGGGGTGGGTGGATTCATGGGTGGGCGTTATAGCGGGGCTACCTGCTCTACATGTGCCCAAAGGACGAGAACCTGACAGGTCACAGAAGGAAGGGGAAGGTTGCAGGTGGGCGTTACAAGTGAGCGTTACAAGTGAGTGTTACAAGTGAGCGTTACAAGTGAGGGTGACAAGTGAGGGTTACAAGTGAGCGCTACAAGTGAGCGCTACAAGTGAGCGTTACAAGTGAGCGTTACAAGTGAGCGCTACAAGTGAGCGTTACAAGTGAGCGTTACAAGTGAGCGTTACAAGTGAGCGTTACAAGTGAGCGTTACAAGTGAGCGTTACAAGTGAGCGTTACAAGTGAGCGTTACAAGTGAGCGTTACAGGGAGGATGTCACAGAGAATGGATTTGTGAGTGAGTATTATAGCGGGGATGGCTGGTCTGCATGTTCCAAAGGACGAGAACCTGACGTGTCACAGGGGTTTCAGAGTTACAAACACGGAGGTGGTAACCCCACATGTAACTAGCCATGAGCTGGTAACCCTACCATGAGTTGGTGATTTTATTCGGCTCCAGCAGGTCTCGCGGCGATATCTCTGTTATCACTACATACAGAGTTAACACCAGGGGGGTTCACATTACAAACACAGAGGTGGTAACCCCAATGTAACCCTACCATGAGTTGGTAACCGTACCATGAGTTGGTGATTTTATTTGGCTCCAGCAGGTCTCGAGGCGAGATTTGTGTTATTACTATACCCAGAGGCGCCTCAAAGCTCCCGAAATAATAACGAGACGTGATACTAGCGAGAATAGCTGTTGCTGCTGCTGCTGCTGCCGCTGCTGTAACTGTCGCTGTAGCTGCTTCTGCTGCTGCTTCTGCTGCTGCTGCTGCTTCTGCTGCTTCTGCTGCTGCTGTTCCTCCGCCTTCTGTTCCCACTGCTGCTGCCACGGCCCCCAAGCATACCACCTCCTGTTTGCCTCCCCGCTGGTAACCCATACACCTCCTTCACATGCCAACGCTGCTGCATGTGATTGCCCCAATGCTTCTGCTGCTGCCAATGCAGGTGCTTTACAACATGATGTCTGTGTCCCACATGCTGTTGCCCACCCATAATGTGCCTGGTACTCACACGCTGCTGCCCATATACGAGACTATGCCCAGCAGAAAGCACTGATTCCCCCCCTGCCTCTCCCACTTTCCTCCCACCTTCTTTCCACCAGGACCCCCATCCCAGCAACATTCTCCCTTTCCTCCCTTGCCTTACTCTCCCCCAACGCCCCTCCCTCCTCATCCCAGTCCTACCTGCTTTCCTCCCCACGTTCCTCCCCCTTTTCCTTCCCCCACCCCTACTGCTGCTGCTACTGCTGCCACTGCCACTACCACTGTTCCAAGAGCTGCTTCGATCTGTGCCGTCCATTGGATACGGATCGACGCTGCCCACCGTTGGATGTGGATCAAACACAGACAGGCCCAATGAACGGTCCACAGGCAGTGACAACCAATCCAACGGCTCAGATTCTCCTTCCTCTCCCCCTTCACTCCCCACATCTTCCCCCTCGTTTTCCCCTCCCACCCCCCCTCCCGGCCTCTCCCAAGCCTCTGCCGCAAAACCCAAGCCTGCAGGCTTGGCAACAGCCCTGACAGGCTTGGAAGAACTGGCAGCAGCGTTGCCGGGCCTGTCTTCTAGGCCCGTTCCTACCAAGCCTGGGGCTTGCCAGTCCGTTGTGGGGCCAAAGTCAAAATCAACAGCTGGAAATGAGTCAAAATCCACGGCTGATACTTGAGCTGGTGTTGCTGCTGATTGTGCTGTTGCTGTGAGTGTAGCTGCCTTGGCCCTGCTGCGAGTGGGAGGGAGGGGGGGGGGGGGGGGGGGGGGGGGTTGAGGGGAGAAGTGGGGGAGCAGGCACATGAAAGGCGGTCCTGGTGCTGCCATGCCATTGGTGCTTCGTGTGGTGGTAGTGGTGCTTGTGCTGTTGGTGAGGTAAGCTACCTTGGCCCTTCTGTGGGTGGAAAGGAGGGTTGGGTTGGGGAAGAATTGGAGGATCAGGGACATGAGATATGCAAGTTTTGAGACTTTGGTCCACAACAGCCCCCGCACGCGCCCGTCTTGACATGACTTGTCAAAAGTATGGAGAGGCCGTTACCAACTTCCACTCTCACAACACCCACCCTCACCGCAGCAGTTTTCCCCGCACCGCACTGCACCACTGCTCACCTCCCTGCTCACCTCCCTGCTCACCCAGATCTGTGAGGTGAGCAGGGTTCACAGATCTGCTCCCTGCTCACCTCACAGATCTGCTCCCTGCTCACCTCCCAGATCTGCTCCCTGCTCACCTCACAGATCTGCTCCCTGCTCACCTCCCAGATCTGCTCCCTGCTCACCTCCCAGATCTGCTCCCTGCTCACCTCACAGATCTGCTCCCTGCTCACCTCACAGATCTGCTCCCTGCTCACCTCCCAGATCTGCTCCCTGCTCACCTCACAGATCTGGGTGTGCCCAATAAACCGGCACTGAGCCACAACGACGCCCGTGTCTGTCTTGACGGGGATGGAGAGGTCAGTATTACCAGCACCCCTCCTCACCATGGTCAATTACCCTTGCACCGCACCACACTTCACCGCACCACTCCTTACCTCCCTCCTGATGGGCAGGTTTGTGTTCGCCCAATGAACCGGCACTGATCCACAACAACCCCTGTGTCTGTCTTGACGTGGATGGAGAGACCGGTACTACCAGCAACTCGCCTCCCCTTGCACAGCACCGCTCTACACCACTGCTTACCTCACTATGCCTGGGCAGCTCTGGGTGCGGCCAATGAACCGGCACTGATCCACAACAACCCCCGTGTCTGTCTTGACGTGGATGGACAGACCATTGTCGATAAAGAGGGAGGACTGGATGGTCATGAGACGCGTGATGTGCAGAAACATGCTGGGAGGGGGGGAAAGGGGGTGTTGGGATTGGAAGGGGGAAGGGGGAGAGAGTGGGTGAGGGAGAACATGCATGGTCAAGCCCCCAGCTATCTTGGCGTGCATGGTCTTGATGTGGACGGTTGGGGGAGGAGAGAGGCGAACTAGACTAGGCAACACAAACGCAACACACTAACACATACACATTTGTGTTGACATGCATTCACCAATTGAGCATGCATTCACCAATTGAGCATGCATTCACCAATTGAACATGCATTCACCGATTGAACATGCATTCACCGATTGAACATGCATTCACCGATTGAACATGCATTCACCGATTGAACATGCATTCACCGATTGAGCATGCATTCACCGATTGAGCATGCATTCACCGATTGAGCATGCATTCACCGATTGAACATGCATTCACCGATTGAACATGCATTCACCGATTGAACATGCATTCACCGATTGAACATGCATTCACCGATTGAACATGCATTCACCGATTGAACATGCATTCACCGATTGAACATGCATTCACCGATTGAACATGCATAGCCATCTGCTCTGCTGAAGGGTGCCTTTGATGTGCCAAAGGATGCCATAGGATCACTTCGGGAAATCCTTAGAGGTGACTTCTGAGAATTTTCAGGGGTACCTTAGAGGTGACTTTTGAGTCGACTCAAAAGTCACTTTTGTTGTGCCAAAGGATGCCAAAGGATCACTTCAGGGAATTCTTTAAGGTGACCCAACGTGCCATTCTTTTCTTTGACAGAGTGCCCCCATGTGGACTTGCCCAACTTCATTGCGGTAGATGAGGAAATTAGACAGGGTCACCTGCACACGCACACATACACACACGCACACGCACGCGCACACGCCCATACGCATGCACGCATGCACACGCCCATACGCATGTACGCACGCACACGCCCATACGCATGTACGCACGCACACACGCAACCCCCCCTACGGGTGACTCACCCAACTTCGTTGCGGTAGATGAGGAAATTAGACAGGGTCACCTGCGCACGCACACGCAAGGGGGGCGGAGGCACAGAGGACACCAGTCATGGGGCCGGGAGCATAGAGGGCTCAGCTAACGAGCTCTAGTATAACTAGAGTGTTCCTCTCCACACAATCACATTCAGGTACACTCACCCTGGCACCAGGCGCATAAGGGAACATGCCATGGGGGTAGGAGCGGAACCCAAACTTGGCTGAATGCGCCACATTCCCCGAGTAAAGGCCGAACTTGGTCTCTATGGGATGCATGTTGCGGGCGTTAGGTAGGAGCTGGGATAGACCCCTCATCCCCTCTTTAAGCTCTGTCCAGTACCTGGTTAAGGAGGTGCGAATAACAGCAAATGATAACACGTATGGTAAGAGTGTTGATAAGAGCTGGGACAGACCCCGCATCCCCTCTTTCAGCTGCCCTCATTTTCTGATAAAAGATGCACAAATGATAGAGAAACACAAGAAGCTGAAAACTACTCACCAATACAGTCGTTGGGTTTGTGTGGCACACTCCGATTCTCAGATAGTCACTCACTCACTCACTCACTCACTAACCCAGAGTCCTCCGAACCGGCTGCCACGTTATCAATGCAAACATTGTTGGGGTTGGCCCTCCAGAACGTGCTGGGATGCATAAACCACCACACCACATCCACACCACACCCACACCACACCCACACCACATCCACACCACACCCACACCACACCCACACCACACCCACACCACATCCACACCACACCCACACCACACCCACACCACACCCACACCACACCCACACCACACCCACACCACACCCACACCACACCCACTCACCCAGAGTCCTCCAAGCCAGCAGCCACGTTCTCAATGTAGTTGTTGGGGTTGGCCCTCCAGAACGTGCTGACTGCTGCAAGCACCACCACACAACCCCTCACCACCACACACAACCCATCTCACTCACCCTGAATCCTCCGACCCGGCAGCCACATTATCAACGTAGTTGTTGTTGGGGTTGGCCATCCAGAACGTGCTCGGCTTGTCGTCTGTGTGCTTATCGTACGACTCTTTAGAGGGGATGACCACCTTCACTGCAGGAAGCGGAGCAAGCGCACAAGCAGTCATGAGAGGGGCACGCGCATGAGAGGGGCAAGCGCATGAGAGGGGCAAGCGCATGAGAGGGGCACGCGCATGAGAGGGGCACGCGCATGAGAGGGGCAAGCGCATGAGAGGGGCACGCGCATGAGAGGGGCAAGCGCATGAGAGGGGCACGCGCATGAGAGGGGCACGCGCATGAGAGGGGCAAGCGCATGAGAGGGGCAAGCGCATGAGAGGGGCACGCGCATGAGAGGGGCACGCGCATGTCAGGGGCACGCGCATGAGAGGGGCACGCGCATGAGAGGGGCAAGCGCATGAGAGGGGCACGCGCATGAGAGGGGCAAGCGCATGAGAGGGGCAAGCGCATGAGAGGGGCACGCGCATGAGAGGGGCACGCGCATGAGAGGGGCACGCGCATGAGAGGGGCACGCGCATGAGAGGGGCAAGCGCATGAGAGGGGCAAGCGCATGAGAGGGGCACGCGCATGAGAGGGGCAAGCGCATGAGAGGGGCAAGCGCATGAGAGGGGCAAGCGCATGAGAGGGGCACGCGCATGAGAGGGGCACGCGCATGAGAGGGGCAAGCGCATGTGAGGGGCACGCAGCAACAAGGAATCAAATCACAGTCATGCACTGCACAGGCCACGAAGCAGCAAGCCACAACCGACCGACACACAGCAAGCAGCGAGCAGGAAAAGAAATTTTGAGAACTTTCAAAAGTGTTACGCGGCAATGCAATGCACCGGCGGGGGTAATAATCCCACCCGTCTTGAGCCCCTCTAACCCAACCCACCTTTCCTCTCGCTGATCCCCCGGTTCCTCCGAAACACGTTGTTGTGCTCCGATCCCTCCTCCACCATCCAGCAGTGCCTCTTGTGATGAGTCGGCTTTTGAGTCGACTCAAAAATCCGACCCCTCCTCCACCATCCAGCAGTGCCTCTTGCTCTCATATGCTACTGGGGGGACTTTCAACAACCCCCTCATTCTCATTCCGCCCACCTTTTCTGGCGCTGATTCCCAGGTTCCTCTTGAACACATTATTATTTTCCGACCCCTCCTCCACCAGGAAGCAGTGCCCCTTGCTCTCAGCAGAGGTAGCAGACCAATCAACCAGCACCCACCTTTCCGCACGCTGATCCCCAGGTTTCGCCTGAACACATTATTGTTCTCCGACCCCTCCTCCACCAGAAAGCAGTGCCCCTTGCTCTCGTACGTCACCGTGTCTTCGATTGTCATGTTGCTCGTCGCGTGAATCACCACACAGCGCTGCCAAAGGTTGAAATGGTACAGAGAGGGGTTTGAGTGGATTAGGGGTGGTACAAGAGCGGGTTCAATCGCCTTCTACCTCCTTGTATAGTAAACCTACCAAGAACCGTCTCACCTGCTTGCGAGGTGACTTTTGAGGCGACCCAAAAAAGGTGACTTCTGAGTCGACTCAAAAGTCGCCTACCAAGAACCATCTCACCTGCTTGTTGCTCACCTGCTTGCTACTCACCTGCTTGCTGTATACAATCGCGTTTTTCCGCACGACATGGCTCTGATTCGCCTCCCCACACACGTGGAAGTGCAGCGGGTACCGTCCCAGCACGCCCTGCTGCCCCATGTAAGCGAACTGAACTCCTTCAATGAATTGAGGGGTCTGCGTCATAAAGACCATGAAGTGCCCTCCTGTTAGGGGGGGGGGGGTTGAGGGAGGGACGGAGGGGTGCAGTGTGGTGTGGTGAGGCGAAGGATTCACACCACGTGGAAGTGCATAGGGTACCGCCCCAGCACGCCCTGCTGCCCCATGTAGGCGAACTGAACCCCCTCTATAAAATGAGGCGTCTGAGTCATAAACACCATGAAGTGACCTCCTGGGGGATTGGGGGGGGGGGGGACGATTGGCAGAGAGAGCAATGTGAGAGGTATGTCTAGATGGGTCTCCCCCCAGCACGCCCTGCTGCCCCATGTAGGCGAACTGAACCCCCTCTATAAAATGAGGCGTCTGAGTCATAAACACCATGAAGTGACCTCCTGGGGGATTGGGGGGGGGGGGGACGATTGGCAGAGAGAGCAATGTGAGAGGTATGTCTAGATGGGTCTCCCCCCAGCACGCCCTGCTGCCCCATGTAGGCGAACTGAACCCCCTCTATAAAATGAGGCGTCTGAGTCATAAACACCATGAAGTGACCTCCTGGGGGATTGGGGGGGGGGGGACGATTGGCAGAGAGAGCAATGTGAGAGGTATGTCTAGATGGGTCTCCCCCCAGCACGCCCTGCTGCCCCATGTAGGCGAACTGAACCCCCTCTATAAAATGAGGCGTCTGAGTCATAAACACCATGAAGTGACCTCCTGGGGGATTGGGGGGGGGGGGCGATTGGCAGAGAGAGCAATGTGAGAGGTATGTCTAGATGGGTCTCCCCCCAGCACGCCCTGCTGCCCCATGTAGGCGAACTGAACCCCCTCTATAAACTGAGGGGTTTGAGTCATAAACACCATCAAGTGACCTCCTGGGAGGGGGGAGGAGAGGGACGGAAGGGTGCAGTGCGGTGAGAGGAACGAGTTCGAGTAATCCCAATCAGTGGAAGTGCATAGGGTACCGCCCCAGCACGCCCTGTTGCCCCATGTAGGCGAACTGAATCCCCTCTATAAAATGAGGGGATTGGGTCATAAAGACCATGAAGTGACCGCCTGAGAGGGGTTGAGGGAAGGATGGAGGAGTGCAGTGTGGTGAGACGAAGGTTTTCAGGGCGTTCTCACACGCGTGGAAGTGTAGCGGGTACCTCCCCCTGCATGCTTTTGAGCCGAATCAAATGCAGAGGGTACCGCCCCCAGCACGCCCTGCTGCCCCATGTAGGCGAACTGCACTCCCTCTCTAGATTGATCATTGAGGCGTCTGCGTCGATTTTTGAGTCGACTAAAAAATCGGCCTCTCTAGATTGATCATTGAGGCGTCTGCGTCATAAACACAGGGTGGGCACTGGCTCATTCAGTCTTCCTACTTGCCCCACCTACACCCCTCACCGCCCCAGCACGCCCTTTGAGGCGTGCACGTAGCTTGCCCCACCTACACCCCTCACCGCCCCAGCACGCCCTGCTGCCCCATGTTGAACCCCCTCTGTCTCTATGGGTTCAACATGGGCCCTGCTGCTGAGGCTAAGTCATGAAGAGCATCACGTGACCTCCTGAGAAAGAATTGACAAGGTAAGGGATGAGAGATCAGGAAAGGAGAGAAGGAGAGCAGATACGGATGTGGATGTGACAGCAATCCTCCAGGTTAAGAGTCACACCTCTTCACAGTCACACTGACCTTCCAGCTCGTATTTCCCCAGCTCGTGTATCCCATCCCATGGATCCCATGGCTCGTAATTTTTGGTGCAGCAGCCCCACCTCCCCTCTCTAGCCCAGCGCCCCTCCCTCACCCTGAGGGCCTGTGGCTATAAACACCCACTAGGAGGAGCGCACTTCAATATAGTCACTCGTACCTTCAATAAACACCCACCTCCCCTCTCACGCCCAGAACCCCTCCCTCACCCCCTCACCCTACCCTATCACTATGAACAATCACGCTTGATTACAATCACTCGTACCTTCCAGCTCGTATTTTCCAGGCTCATGAATCCCATAGATCACAACGTTCCGGTGCAGAAGCCCCACCCCCCCCCTCACGTCCACCGCCCCCCCTTAACCATCACCCTGTCACAGCCACAAACCCGTGAACTCACACTTCATTACAGTCACACTGACCTTCCAGCTCGTATTTCCCCGTCTCATGCACCCCGTAGATCACGATGTTCCGGTGCAGCAGCCCCACCTCCCCCCTCACATCCACCGCCCCTCCGAACCCGTCCGGGACGGCCTTGGGATTGCCGTCGTGGGAGTATTTCAGGGGGGTGGTGAGCGATATGCGGTAGCCCTGAGGGAGGGGTGTGACTGGGGGGTGGAGAAAGGGGGTTGGGAAGGGGAAGCGGCGGAAGGAAGGAGGGAAGGAGGGAAGGAGGGAAGGAAGGAAGGAGGGAAGGAAGTGAGCGCAAGAGTACTCTGAGTGATTTGTACCGGAAGCAGGAGTAACTGAGACGAAGCAAGAGTAAGGAAGCAGTTTTGAGTCGACTCAAAGCAAGAGTAAGGAAGCAAGAGTACTCCTGGATTATTGTTCCTCTCTCAGTTGCTTCTTGAGCGTTTTCCAAACTTTACACTGTGTTCGCCACACGCACGCCGCACGTGCACAGCATTACGCCACATTCAACCGCACCGAACCGAACCGAAGCCCACTCCACCGTACAGTACTCACTACCTGCAATCACTGCTTTTTCGGCTTTAAAAATCCTTGCGCTCGCAGACAAAAACCCCCACTCTTAGACAGAGTATGTTGTGCTCTCCACTCAGCAACACCGCGCTGCACCACATTGAACCGCACCAAACCAAGCCAACCGGCCTGAACCGCACTCCACCCATACATACTCACCTCCCGCAATCACTGCTTTTTCGGCTTCATCCATCCTTGCACTCGTAGACACAATCGCAATCTCGCCTCTCACCAAACCGAACCGCACTGCACCCATTTATACACACCTCCTGCAATCACTGCCTTCTCGGCTTCATCCATCTTGGCACTCGTAGACGCAATCGCAATCTCGCCGCCCACTGGCCACGTGCTGACATCAGCGTCCACCACGATGTCCTTCTGGCCGGCGATCGCCGTCTTATTCAAGCGCACCCACACAGGCATGGACGGCGGGCCTGGGAGGCCGTGCAAGTCAACCTGCCCTCCGACCTTGGTGGTGGGAAAAAGGAGAGATGTAGAGGGGTCGAAAAGGGTGGAGAAGGAAGAGGAAAAGGAAGAGGAAAAGGAAGAGGAAAAGGAAGAGGAAAAGGAAGAGGAAAAGGAAGAGGAAAAGGAAGAGGAAAAGGAAGAGGAAAAGGAAGAGGAAAAGGAATAGGAAAAGGAAGAGGAAAAGGAAGAGGAAAAGGAAAAGGAAGAGGAAAAGGAAGAGGAAAAGGAATAGGAAAAGGAAGAGGAAAAGGAAGAGGAAAAGGAATAGGAAAAGGAAGAGGAAAAGGAAGAGGAAAAGGAAGAGGAAAAGGAAGAGGAAAAGGAAGAGGAAAAGGAGACGGTTCTTCTGTTTAAGCGCACCCACCCTGCCACGGGCATGGACAGCGGGCCTGGGAGGCCGTGCAAGTCTACCTGCCCTCCCACCTTGGCGTGGGGGAAAAAGAGAGAAGGGGGAGAGGAGAGAGGGGACGGATAGGGTGGAAGGCAGGGGAAGACGAAGGGTTCTATTCAAGTGCACCCACACAGGCATGGACCGCGGGCCTGGGAGGCCGTGAAAGACCCACCTGCCCTTCGACCTTGGTTTGGTGGTGGGGAGGAGGAGGAGGAGAGAAGTAGTCACGCATGTTACAACCACATGCATACATGCTGCTAAGCCCCACTCACACAGCTAGCTCCTCACCACTGCTCACCACACCAAACACCTTATAGCCCAGAGGCCTGGGATAGGCCGGCTCGGCCAGGGGGAAGAGTGCGAAGGCAACTCTCTCTCTACTCTGCCTTCCATTGAGAGTGTGTTGAGTCAACTCACCACCACATGCATACATGCTAGTTTGGCACACTTTTAGAGCTACTCACAGCGCCACTCACCACGGCAAACACCTTGTTGTGCCCCAGCGGCCTGGGAAAGGCGGGTTCGGCCGGGGGGAAGAGTATGAAGCCATGCTCCCCCTTCCTCTGCCGCTCCTTATGGATGTTGATAAAGGATAGGTACTCACCACAGCAAACACCTTATGGCCCAGAGGCCTAGCATAGGCAGGTTTGGCCAAAGGGAAGAGCGTGAAGGCAGACCCCCTCCTCTGCCGCCAGCTGTTGGTGCTGAGGCGACTCACCACCACTCACCACCACTCACCACCACAAACATACATGCAGCATCAGAGCCACTCACCACGGCAAACACCTTGTGGCCCAGAGGCCTGGGAAAGGCGGGTTCTGCCGGGGGGAAGAGCGTGAAGGCATACTCCCTCCTCTGACGCCCACTGTTGGGCGTGAGCGTGAACAGTGCCTGGGCGGCAAACTGCTTGTCCTTTTCCCCCACGGTCAGCCGCCCGGTGACTATAATGAAGTTGGCACGGATCTCGATGCGCGGCAGCCGTGGCTTCTCGTCCAAAAGCCTGGTAGAGGGAGGTGACAGGGGCGACATTGAAGGGGTGATGTGATTATAACGAACAGGGGGCTACAACAAAAGGGGCTATATCATGTCAGCCCCAGCCCGGATGTTGATGAGCGGCAGGCGTGGCTTGTCGTCTAGGAGCCTGGTAGAGGGAAGGAGGTGAAAGAGGGGTGATGTGATGTGACTGTAGCGAACGAACGAAGGGACTGCAACGAAGTATACTGCAATGAAGTTGGCCTGGACCTCGATGCACGGCAGCAGCCGTGGCTTATCGTCCAAGAGCCTGGTAGAGGGAGGAAGGTAAAAGAGGGGTGAGGTGATTATAACAAAGGAGATGTGATTACATCCAAAGGGGACTATACAATCTCATTCCCAGCTCGGATCTCGATGCATGGCTTGTCGTCCAAAAGTGGTAGAGGGAGGTGAAAGGGGCGAGATGTGACTGTAATAAATAAAGCGATTGTAACGAGAAGCACTATAACGAGGTTGACGTGGATCTCGATGGGCAGCTGTCAAAGTGATGGTTATTTCCTCCCTCCAAAGATGTTTCCCAGTACTCACTTTAACCACGCTTGCACATGTAGCGTGTCAAGGGTAACATTCGCCACATCCAGCAGCGCAGCCATGCTACACGGCACAGTGGTGCCGCCTGCTGTGAGTCAAACTGAGAATCAATTCCCTTGTCGCACCACCTACAGCCTCACACTCACTTCAACCATCCATGCACGTGTAGCGTGTCGAGGGTGACATTAGCCACGTCCAGCAGCACAGCCATGCCACACGGCACTGTCACGTTCCCTCCTGCTCTTGACCGCACCCCAGGAGGGTCCCTGCTGCCCCTGAAAGCTGCCCCCCATACAGTCACATCGCTCCATTTGCTCCAACCTGGCGTGATTTTAAAAAGAGGAGAGGGGAGAAGAGTGTTGGGAGGCACAGTCACATTCCCTTCCCCCCTGCTCTTGACTGCACCCCAGGAGGTTCCCTGCTACCCCTGTAGGCTGGCCCCCGTACAGTCACATCCTTTCCACCTGCTCCACCCTGGTTGGTGTGATTGTAACGAGGGAAAGGTGGGGAGAGAGGGACGGGAAGGGAGGGCGGAGGCTACGCGCGCTCATTGGCGGAACGTACCTCCGGGGGGTCCCCTCATGAGTGGAAGCGGAGCGGGCATGACGGGCGGAATGTGCGCTCATGGGCGGAACGTACCGGGGGGGTGGGGGGGAGGGGGGCGGGCGTTCATGTGCGGAACGTACCACCGGAGGGTCCGCTCATGTGCGGAAGCGGGCACGACGGGCGGAACACGTCCAGCACGCTCATGGGCGCAGCGCGCGCGGATGCCACGCCTCCGAGGAAGAGCAACGGCGCGCGGAAGAAGTGCGAAGGCGCGCCGGAAAACGGCGCGCGGAATGATGATGGCGCGGGGGAGGACGGCGCGGGGTAGAACGATGGCGCGGGGGAGAGGAGAAGCGCGACAAGGGGGAGGAGGAGAAACGCGTCGGCGGAGGGAAGGAGCGGACGGCGGGAGTTGCGGAGGGAGTGGCCATGATGGCGAAAGGAGCGGGAGAGGCGGGGGCTTCCCGAACGAGAGAGGTAAGGAGCTGAGGCTGGAAGGGCCATGATTGGATGGTGTCGCGTGGTGACTGGCTATAAGCAGCACGCGGCGCGTTTGAGAATTCTCAAAAGTGACCCGCGGCGTCAACCTGAGGTGAACTGATGGCCCATACGGAGCCGCTTAAGCGTTGGCGACACGGGGACGCTACTACTAGCGGTAATGTGTTAGTCGACTTTTTTGGGGCAAGCTGTGACTATCCGTGATAGCACTGTGATCACTCGCGATAGATACGAACTGTACCCATGTGACCAAACGTGATCGAACGGGCCTAATTGTGACTGCCCGTATACAGCACTTTTCTCCCAACCAACCAAATCGTGGGAGGAAACAACGAAGTTTCTGCTTTCGTTCTTCCGAATTCTTGCCGTGGCACCGACACCGGAGTGCATCGTGGCCGTCCAGATTCTTGCTCCCTGTGCTCCTCAACCATTAGCAATCAGAAGGTCTCACCAGTCGCCACCAAATCTCTTCCTCCCTGTGCTCCTCAGGTAGTACTCCCCTGGCTCCACAGTCACGTGGTGCTCTGTGGTTCTGTGTGGTACTATGCAAACCGCCAGCAAGCCCTGACAACGGAGGTCACTGGCAATGGTTTCTGTAACGCAGGATAGGCGACGTTCGCAAAACTCCGCCTTGCTGCATCAGCCGTTCGGGAATCGGGGCTTCTGCCTCATAGGTGTGCTTGCCGAACGTCGCCAACCAAGCAAAACCATTTTCGGGGGAGGTATTTTCTGTTTCCTGGCATGTGATGCGATGGGACCACGATTCGCTTCTCCTCTTCAAATCGAACCGTCCACACCGATTACGTCGATGGCCACGCTTCCTCCACCGCCGTCAAGCCATGTCTCTGATATAGGCGTTCTGCTCCCATAGTTACCAACAGTCAAACATTTACACCAAAAGCACATGCAAACTGCAGGTCTTGTCAGCTTGAAGCTTGCACTATCACTCTAGAAACACCATTTGCACTGTATTATGATACTACAAAGCATGAGCACCAGTCTACCTACCAGTATCAAGTGCTATTGCCTCAAGTCACACCATCACTCTCTACAATAATGACAGCCATCCCTACCGGTTATTTATGACTAAGCCCGCACACATAATTTACCAAAACACATCATGACGAACACTAAACAACAACCAACCACTCATTAATGCTACCAGTAATCTCAGCACTCAACGTTGTGACGGCCGACGAAACGAAGACGGGGGGGCCACAGCCGGTTGCGGTAACCAGTTTGTAACATCCAGATGCCGGCGCTGGCTTTCATACGACGAGCTATTCAGTGTAGCCGCTCGCTCCAGCGACACTGGGAGAATATTCACCCCATATCTCCCCTCGTCTTCCCCATCCCTATAACCATACCCATCGTCGTCATCTTCCTCTCCCCGTCCTCCCGCCCCATACCAATACACATCATGCACCATGGTAGGGCCTCTGGGAGCGTTGGTTCGGCCGCGGCTAAGCGGTCCCGACCTCCCCGACCCTATCTCTTTTCCTGACTTGCTTCCCCGTTGAATCTGCCGCTGCCTCTGCTCCTGCCGCTCCCACTGCTTCTCCTCCTGCTCCAGCTGCTGCTGCTGCTGGGGTGGCATTCGTTGCTGGTGCTGCTGCTGCTGGGGTGCCACGAATTGCGACCACTCCTCACGAGTATGAGAATATGACTCCTCCCCATACCCCTCCTCATACCCTCCCATTTCCTCATGCCAGCTGCTCGCTCTTTGGCTGTGTACCTGGTAACTGCGTCCCAGCGAGTTGTTACGGGTCAGCCCGGCACTCCTCCCTTCACCGCTCGCACCCCTTCCCAGTGAGTCATTACGGGGCAAGTTACCGCCACCAGCAGCGGCTGCTGGCCTAGACACTGAGTCCTTGGGCGGCCGGTTCACCCTCCTTAAAGAGTTGCTGCGATAGAAGTCAGAAGCATCACCAGCACCACCAGCTGCTGCTGCTGCTGCTGCTGCTGTGACATATTCAGCTCCAGTGATCATGGTCTCAGCACCAGCACCACCAGCAGCAAGGGCTGCTGCTGCGGCCTTACCAAGCGAATCGCCCCGAGATAACCTGCTAGGTCTGGCTCTCCTATCCGAGCCTTGAGGCTTCTCGAACCCAGAAGTCTCAAAACCGGATGTCCTACCTCCAGCTGCAGCAGCAGCGTCACCCCACCAGTCTCCACCCCCTCCTGCACCGCCACCCCTCGCCTCCCCACCACTCTCCCACCCGCTCCTCCCCCCTTCCCTGAACGTTTTCTCCGACATTTGTCTTTGCAACCTCCGCCCTCCCACCAGCCGCTTCCCTCCAGCCCCTACTCCTCCTCCTCCTCCTCTCTCTCGTCCTCCCGACAACCCCACTCTCGCGCCAGCTATCCAGTCTTTGGCAGAAATAACAGCAGGAGCAGGGGGAACGGGAGAGAGGGTTGCAGCGGGCCTTCGCCGATCAGTGAAGCTGCGCTGAAACTGCCGAGGAGCACTGGCAGCACGGGAGGCATGGGCAGCACTGGGGTGAGGGTGGTGGGGTGCTGATCCTGCTGCTGCTGCTGCTGCTCCTCCTGCTACCCAGTCTCTAGCAGATAAGCCAGCAGCAGCAGGAGGAGCAGGAGAAGGAACGAAGGTAGGGGGCGCCCTCCTTCTGTCGGTCAAGCTGCGCTGGAACTGGCGGGGAGCACGGGGGGCCATTGGGCCACTGAAGGGACTAGGAGAACTGGGATCAAGGGGAGCACTGGGGGGGGGAAGTTGAGCTGCTGGATTGCCTGCTGCTGCTGTGGCCGCTGCTGCTGCTGCTGCTGCTGCTGCCGCTTCTCCTGTCAGCCACTCTCGTGCAGAAACGCGGGGAACAGCACCAGAGGGAGAGGGAGCGGGCCGCCTTCGATCCGTAAAGCTGCGCTGAAACGTGTGGGGACCGCTGGCCTGGGGGTAAACAGGCTGGGCCGAACCAGACTGAGACTGCGGGTGGTATGCTCCTGCAGCAGGGCTTATAGGAGCTCCTGGTGCTGCTCCTACAAGCCACTCTCTTGCAGAAACACGGGGAACAGCAGCAACAGCAACAGGGTGGGGAGGGAGGACGGGCCGTCTTCTGTCCGTGAAGCTGCGTTGGAACGTCTCGTGCCCACTGGGTTGGGGTTGGAACGACACTCCTGATCCTGTTGCTACTCCTGCTCCTGCTGCTGCTACTCCTGCTGCTGCAGATCCCTCCTGAGGGTCTGAACCCAGAGAGGAGGAACGGGGGAACGTACCTGCTTCAAATGAGCCTGATGCCTTCCCGACCACAGAACCAACCGCCGAACCAACTGCCGAACCAGCAGCAGGGGCGGCAGCAAGGCCCTTCCCAGGAGCAGGGCGGGGCAGCAGCAAGGGCCGCTTCATCTCTGACTGGCTGCGACGAGCCGGAATTCGCTGCGCCTGCTGCTGTAACTGCTGCTGCGGCTGCTGCTGCTGCTGCTGCTGTTGTTGCTGTTGGTTTGACATAAGCTGCTGCTGCTGCCTTTCATGGTCGGAATGGCTCTTGGAGTCACTGCTATACCCATCGCTGTCATCCCCATACTCCTGCACTTCACCCTCCTTACCTCTCACATCCGCCCCTCCATCCCTCCCATCCACCCCACCTCTTCCATTTCTCTCGGCCCTTCTAGACTCCCTCTCCCTCGCCCTCCATCCCTCCATGAACCTTTGCCTCGCCCTCCCGCCCTCCCTGGGAGCTCCAGAGACCATTTGAGCCTGGAGAGTCAAAGCAGAGCCTTCGTTCCCATCCATGTAGTCACCTTCGATATAATCACCGTCCACGTCGTAACCTGCCAGAGCACCTGATCCCCCTCTGTTGAATTCACCTGAACCGCCTACTCTGTTCGGTACATGGGCACCTCTGTTGAATTCACCTGAGCCCACTCTGCTGAATCCACCTGGACCACCTCTGCTGAAATTACCTGATTCTGCCCGGTCCAGATCAGATGCACCTACGCTTCTGCCCGAAAAACTAGAAGATTGGGCAAGTCGGGAGCGCGAAAGTGACCTGAAAATTCCGCTCCCTCGTTTACCCTTCCCACTCCTTCCCCTAGCTTCCCTCTCCCCACGCCTTCCCCTAGCCCCCCCCACCTCCCTCCCCTCCCCTTCCTCTTCGTCTTCCGAAGTGCTCACTGAATCGGACCTGAACATCTCCCGGACCTGTGTCCCAGGTACGGTGTTGCCCGAGCCAAAACTGGCTCGGTAAGCATGGGCCGAGCTGGCATGGGGGCTTGGGGAGAGTGAGTGACTGTGGCGCGAGGATGGGGAGCGAGAGGAGGAATGGGTGTGGGGGTAGTGCTGAAGCTGGTGAGGAGAGTGCTGCTGCTGCTGCTGCTGCTGGGGAGAGTGTGGCAGTTGGTGTGGGGAATGTGTCAATTCGTTCGGGGAGTGTGGTGAGAGCTGTCTTGCATTTGTCATCCCTTCACCACCAGCACCACCTGCACAACTGCCATCGATCAATTCTTGAAACTCCTCTTCATCCACAAACTCCTCTCTCTCCTCCCCTTCCTCTCGCTCCTCATAGCCCCTTACACCTCTCTCCCTTTCCTCCCTATCCTCTTCCTCTCGCTCAGAATACCCGTCCCTTTCATACTCTGAAGCCCTTTCATACTCCGATGCTCTCTCATACTCCTCCTCCCTCTCATAATCCGACTCCCTACCCACACTCCTCTCACTCCCATGGGAACTAGCAGCAAACTGCCCTTCACAAAACTGCCTTTCCCGAAATTCCCTCTCACGAATCTCCCTTTTACGAATTTCCTCATCATCAGAGCGAAGCTGCACCCAATATGTCAGCTTCCTCTCCCCCTCCCCTTGCCCTTGCCCCTCCAATTCATCTCGCTCCACTTCTCCCCCTCTCTCTCCTCCCATCCATCCTCCCCTCTCTCCTCCTCTCACCTCAACCCCCCTCCTGCTCCCGCCCTGCCCCGCTGCCCCCATACTCCCCTTCCTAGGACTTTTTGTTCCACTTTTCTGCAGCACAAACTCCCACTCATCCAATGCTGCTTTC